CGTGCTTGGTCGGACCGGGCGACCAGGGAAGAAAAAAAAAAGAGGCTCCTCAGGCGTGAAATGACGCGTGAGGCGACGAGGCCAAGCGGGCTGGCGACCTAGCAGATTGCCAGCAAACGAGCAACGTGAGCGTGCACTCCAACGCCAGACTCGAGAGACAATGGCCGACACGGCAATGTGCGAAGCAAGATGATGGAGGAGGGAGATGGAAAACCGAGCGGGAGAAAAAGAGAAGCGGGAATGCGGGCACGCGGGAGAGGAAGAAGAGAGGCAGAGAGGCAAAGGCAGCAGACACGGACGGGCAACGGACCTTGGGGGTGGGCGGGCGCCTCGAAAGACGGGGAGGGGGCGAGGCAGAGCTGGTCATGACTGGAGCGCCAGCGCAGGGTACGGGCGGCGGATCGGCTGGGTCTGCCGGACACGCTGCTCCACCTCGCGCGCGCAGAGTTGCATGTCGCACGTCGAGTCGGCTCCAGGACGCTCCAGGACGCTCCAGGTTTGAACTCTGTCTGCCTTTGCGTCTGCGCTTTCCTCGTGGACCCCAAGCCGGCTGGGGCCGGGGCTTGGTTGGGCTTGGAGGAGGCGACGAGGCCGCGGCCGCGGCAAACCATGGGCAAAAAGGCTCGACTCCCTACGGTCCGTTGTCTGTCTCTCTGCCAATTCCCTCCTCATAGGCCGTGGATCATGTCCTTCCCACCCACCCCTCAAACCGGCCAATGTGCGGGTTGGGGATGAATTGTTTTGGTCTGCCGGCGCATCCAGGCATGCCACCTGAGCCGGTCGACCCTTCTGATCCAACGTCCAGGCTGGCCGGCCTGCTCCTTGTGCTCCAGCCGTCGCGTCAGGCGAGACGGGCTCTTGGGCTCTGGCTGGCTGAGCCTGGTGCCTTCAAATGTTCCACGCCATCCACGGGCCAGCCGAATCGCGGGCCTGCGCATTTGCACCAACGTGCGCCAGCCATGCCGCGTGGGCAGCAACTCCAGACCTCCAGACGCCATGTACATGGCCGCGGGCCCGGTGGGAAACCGATCCAGGCATTGCAAAGTCAGACATGGCAAACGCAAGTGAGCAGAACTGGCGAGGCTCGGCACGGCGGCGCTTCCCGACCGAGCCTGGAACCCACCCTGCCTCCTGCCTCCTGTCTCCTGTCTCTGTCTCTGTCTCTGTCTCTGTCTCTGTCTCTGTCTCTGTTTCCAGTCCAACATGGAAGCAACGAGGCAGCCTGGCCCAGGTACATGGACCATGACTTGCCAACACTGGACCTGCCAGGATGGCCGGGGCGGAGTACGGAGCTTCATCGTAACAGCGCCGGAAGGCCGCAGATTCGTCACACCTTGGCGAGTTCGCGGATTTGCGCATTGCATGTTTGCCCTGCCCATCTCTGCCTCTCGACCTCCCTACAAGAGGCAGATGCGTCACGTCACTGTTACGGAGCACGCGAGGCCAAAATATCAAACCACCACCTCGACCATCGAATGAGGTCGTGGGCTCGCCAGGAGGAGTCGTTGCCGCCTGTGTGCTCGTGTCACCCCCAGCGCGCTGCTCTTTCCCTTCCGGCTTTGCATTCTCGGGGTGGGATGCATTTGTGTGTTTGATATCGAGCCAGGCAAAGACCAGACCACCCACCACCATGACAATTACCACCACCCCCTTTTTCAACTTCCAAGACTTCCATGTCATCAACAAGGAGGAACGGGGAGGTGACGGCGGGAGCCCAGTGCGGCGGGCGAATAAGGCTCGTCGCTGGGGTGCGCTGCTCGGCGGAAGGAAGGCACCACCAGCTCTGGAACGGGGTTTCCTCAGATGCGGACGGTACATGCCTGGCGAGGTAGGTACCTTGGTGCGTACTGGATACTTGTCTCTCGCGGTCGTGCGGCCCTTACGCCGTGTCCTGGACGGCGCATGTGCTCAAGTACTCGAGTACCTATCCGCTACTCCGTGCACATGTGCTCCGTGCTCCGTCCCTGCTCCTGATTTGGTTGCCCAAATGCTGCGTTTCTGTAGAGATTATTTTTATCCCGCTTCTCCTACTTAGTACCTACCCTTCGCGCCGACTGCGCCCATCAGACTCTTCAATATTGCTTCCAGCAGAGACCTCAGCCTGCCAGGCCACTTCACTTGGCATGGACCAGACTGCCCCATTTCATTTGGTGGGCTCGACAGATGTCCAATACATTGACCCCTTACCACAGCCCCCAGTCCGGTGAGGTCTGGTGGCCTTCACCCACGGCACACTCACGACCAGGAGGCGCCGCAGATCCTGCTTCCTCCGCACTTGTCGGGGCACCAGCTTCATGCCCAACACCTCTCCCGTCGTGCCAATTTTAAATGAACGGAATCACCACAAGTCGGACACCATGGTCGCTCCGATGCGTCAGCAGCGGCTGCTTGAGCCCGTACCAAGCCGAGTCGACGTGTCGATTCGATTCGACGCGGAGTGGCGCGCCTCCACCAGTAGAAATCAGATAATGTTGCGGTCCGACCAGCCTTCATGCTTTGCCGTCTCATCTTTTTCCCCCACGGATTCGGAACCTCGCCTTATTCCCTTGTGGGGCCGAATGTCTTCCTGAGGCTTCACGGAATCGCCAATTTGCCCATGCCCGACGGGGGCTGGCCTACTTCTCATGTGCCTGTGTAACCGCAAACCTCAAATGCGCCCTTGTTGGCTTTGGAAGAGGCATTTGGACCTCTGCCCAGTCAAACCGGCCCGCGAGGCTGTCGCCAGTAGGAAGGAGCTGGGCGGGATTGCAGACCATCACGCCACTCTCCTCGCGGCACCCCATCTTCTACACCGCGCTTGCACGGAGTACCTGATTATTAAATGGAAGCTCATGTTGCCTTCTCATGGCTGAGCGCTTCAGAGCGTGTAGCACGGCGTAGTCAATCAGCGCATGCACTCGTGTGATGAGCCATGGCTTGAGTTGATGGCTGGCCATCCTGTTTCTAATTTTGAAAGCCCAGCCAACGGGGGTTGGATCCCAAGCCCGCCTCCTCCGGCTCGAAGTGACTGCACCCGATCTTTCTCATTGGCCACAGAGACAAACACCTGGGAAAACTTGATCTCGACGGCCACGGCGCTTGCCCGCGCTCAACGTTACCACTGTTGATGGAAAGAAGTCCAAGGCATTGCGACCTACCGCGTTGGGGTCCTCATCCGTCATCGCGTGAGCTTGCCGCACCGGTGACATGAACAATTTAGCATTGGTGGAGACATTCTAGGCCGCCAGTGAGGCCGGACGGCTTCGGCCCTGGTTGATGCCAGATCCTGCTGGCTTCCCCACACCAGGTCATTCATTATTCAACATTCAACGTTGACGCTTCGGCCTCCGGGTACCTGGGTTCGGATTGGGGTGTATCCAAGCACGGAGCAGGAGCACACCAATATTTCGTGTGCTTGCTCGGCGTTTACAAGGACACGTCGAGTTGCTCGTATGAAACACGGTCGAGGACACATTGGCAAATTTACTACGCCTGGACCGACACGGCCCGATGAAGATCATGTGTCGTGCCTGCTCACAAAACACGCGCTCAAGCAACAAGAGTTTTATTGCCGCGGAAAACTGGTTTGGCGACAGAGAGAGCAAAGGCGAGGGAGGCATGCTGGCAGGCACGCAGGTGAGTGGAAAGTATGGATTGATGGCCCGAGCTGTGAGACAGGCACAAATCGGCAACCTGATGCGAGGGTATTGTGCGCATGGCCCGCCATGGCGAAGGGGTATGCAGGTTGCCACGAAATACCGGGTCATGGTGCGATCCGAGCATTGGGGGCGGTCGTCTCTTTGCCCGGGAAATTTGGGAAACCAAGGGTGCTTTGAAACAGACGCTGCAAACATTGACGCCGGCTCGGCCGCGCTCCTGGCGTTGTGTGTCCTGATCCAGACGCTCGGAGATGATGCTGGTCCCAGCTTTTTATGACGTGGCAATCGGTGATCCACGCTCGTCGGTCGGCTGGCGTCAAGGCGAAGGCCAGGAAGGGTATCGGCATACGGAGTATTACCGCTCACAAGTCCTCGGGCCCTAGGCTTGTGCTGCGGGACGCGAGTAATCCTGATGTCAAGCTTTGTTCGCAGAGAGGGTACGGAGTAGTTGCTTGCACGTACTCTGCATTTGTTTTTTTCTTTTTCCTTTCTTTTTTCTGCTTGCCGTCTCCTCAAGGACCATGCCCCCGGTGTGAGTGAGTGTCCTTCCCGGTGCGGATGTGACTGACTGGTCGGCGAACTGCCCGTCTCCTCGCGTCTTCTCTGCCAGCATGCCACGTTGACGGGTAGAGTCACCAACAGCACAGCTGTTTGAAGATAAGAGACGATTTAAATTAAGCTGAAAGGTATTGCGGGCTATCTGGTCTACTCCGTACTCAAACAGTCAATTTGTACATGTGGGCTTGTGGGCGGGCAGACGGGGGTCAAGACCATGTACCTGGCTGGCGGGGCCATTACTGTTGTAGACATAGGGTACGGGGTAATGTATGTACATTGATGAAAGACACGAGAGAAATGGATGCAAGATACTCGTCTACTCGTTCCTCGTGAGGCATCGCCATTTCTAAATTACTTATGCCAAGATGTGAAAGAAGAAAAAGAGACAGAGACAGAGAGATGGATTTAACATTGTATTCGAGTGGCATCTCCCATCTCCCATATAACCGTACAGACTACTGATATGGGAAGGCTTTTTCAAAACGAGAACCCTCAACTCATATATATAGTGACAAGTTGCATCCCACAAAACAGCGTTCCCGTGTTACAAACACCCGAAAACAGCTACTCCGTTCAAAAAATATAAATGGACGTAGACACAGAAACGGCACAGCCACATACTGGGATGCTCGTTTGGAATCATGCGCTGACAAGGTTACTTACCTGGGCAATCAATGAACAGGGCGTCACGGTATGAGATATGATGGGAGCTTTCCCCAGCATTTCATTCAATATCAGACAAAGCATGTTGAGGCCCTCGCCTAACTACCTAGGTAACTAGCACTGCTCGTATCAATGTGCAAATCAGCACGGGTATGTTCCTGTCGGGAAAGCAATTGCATATTCCAGCGTCAATCGCACGGCCTTGCCCGCGTTCAGGCTCACATCCCAATTCACCTCACCGTCCTTCTTCAGACTAGCCTTGGCGCTACCCCAATCCTTATTGTCTCTGGCCTCCAAGCCCGGGGCTCCTGCTCTGACTTCTCCGCCGCCCAGCGACATGCCCTGGGGGTTGAGCACCTCCACCTTGAGCTTCTCGTCCTGCGATACCGGCACTTGATCGAGCACCAGGAGGGAGGTGGGTTTGCCGGCGGATGCGCGGGTGTTGTGGAGCATGATGGTTCTGGTGAACATGGCCGTGTTCTCTTTGCTAAACAGGCCTGCCGTGGCCCGTTGGACGACGGGCTTGGGGTACGTGACCTTGATAGCTGGGTCGATTCCCAGGCTGAGAGTAAACGTTTCACCAGCGCTGCACCGCGGCAGGCTCGTCCGGCCCATGAAGCTTCCGTCGAGGGTCAGCCCCGCGCGTCCCTTGAATAGCGTCATTTTGCTGGTGTTCTTGAACTTGGCCTTGAGGAATGCCACGGGCTTGTACTTGGCGACAACGGTATGACTGTAGGCTATGTTTGAGAAGTGGACGTGGGCAACGCGTTGCTTTGTAGCAGTAGACTTGGGGATGAGCGTCCTCAGCCCAGGAAGCTCGTATGTAGATGTAAGACCAGTCTCTTCCATGATGGAATCTGCCGAGTCGGACTCTTCCTCATGGTCTTCATCACCGTCATCATCACCGCCGCCGCCACCCACAGAAAGCATATCCGAGTTCTCGCGGCGTCCCACAACGCTTGATAGCATTCTTGCTCTCGCAACACCAGGGGCAGCTGACCCGAACCCTGCCGTCGATGATGGCGGTGCACCACCGAACAGTGGCCCTGACGCTCCCCGGGTATCTGAGGCAGGTGCTCCAAAGAGGCTCACACCAGCTGGTTGAGCTGGAGGCGGGGGAGGCATAGCGCACTGCGCTACAGGGAAGGAAGTAGGAGGAGTAGCCGAGATGGAAGAGTACTGGGCGGCAAGGGCCCGTTGCTTCTTCTTGATGGACTTTCCAGCCTGGAAACTAGCAATGGACTGGACTCCATCAGGAATACCAAACATTTCACTCCGAGCTTTGTGTGGCCCAATTTGTTTCTGCTTGGCCAGGAAAATACCCGTGTTGGAAACTTCATCGCCGCTTCGGGCTATCCGTTCATGGCTCTCAGAATACCCGAATGGAGGAGCGCCATGCGCGAGACTGATGTACCACGGATTGAGTGTCGGGATAGCATCGTCCAGTCCTGAGAATGTCGCCTGGGACGTCGACAAGACAACCTTGCAGTTCGACCACGTCTCAGACGTAGAATTGTGAAGCTCGGCATCGAAACTGAGTGTCCCTGTGGCACTCGTCGTGGAAAGCTGCAAGTCGTATGTTGGAGACCAAGATGCTGACGAGGTGACGTACGACAAGACCAGGTCGCACAGGGTAATTTCGCCGTCGGCCGCCTCGTCAGCCGGCGTGTCATCTACAACTGGCTTGGAGACACGGGTCTCGCTAGACATGGAAGTCCTCCTCGAACTCGACGGGGTAAAGGTATCCGTCTCAAGTGTAATGCGGACAGCGTAGCAGTATTTCGGCCAATACTTCTCCCTCTCCTTTCTGACTCTGTTCTTCTCCTTCCTCTGCTCTTCTTGTCGCCTGGCCTTTTTGAACATGTCCTTGGACCTGGCTTTGCGAATCCTTTCTTTTGCCCGTTCGGCTTTAACGCGCTCTTTGTCGTCCATCTTTTGCAGTTGGTACACTTGATCGATTTGATCTTCAATTTTTTCAGACACCTCACGCTGCTGCTTTAGGCCAGTCATGTAGTCATCGTAAGCTTTTGATCGTTGTGACTTGTATGTCTCCAGACTGTCTTCAATAACAACTCCACGTTTCTTATCCAAAGTCTTGCCGTATGCGTCGAGAAGCTTGAGACGGCTTTCTGCGCTGGCGACGGTTTCATCTGCCCGTCGGCGCGCATCCTCCAGCTGTGTCAGCTCTTCCTTGGCTGCTTTCAACTCAGGGCCTTCTTTCCACCGCCTGTCGTCTAGATCGTCGTCATCTGATTCATCTGAGTCATCGCTGTCTGGCTCAGGATAGACTTCTTCAAAGATTTCTCGGTTGGGGAGTTGTTCTACTGAGACGTCACTGATGGTGAAGCCTGCTCTGCCCTCGACCTTGACTGAGTCTTCATCTACGGTGGGGCTGAGTCCAAAGATGGTGATTTCATTCGTGCCGGACTGTGGATGATGTTAGTCTGGAATCATGAATGAGATTGCTGTGACACTTGCCTTGAGATTCACGCTCTTAATGTCCCGCTGGATCTGGGCTCTGGTAGGGAAAAGGGTTACGGAGCGCGTACCGAGGTCTCGGAGTTTGTACTCAATCTTGTGGATGGGGTCCATGATGAAGAGCCGATGGTGCCAGTATGGTTTGTTGATTTGCTGGAGCGATAACCAGGTGAAAGTTGTTGTTGTTTGGCTCACAATTGAGTGGTAGATTTGAAAATTGGGTCGCGGAATTCGCTTCAACAAGCTGTTGACGGTTGGGCTGGGTACAGAATCGTTACGATTGTCGAGGGGCGCATAAATTAAGATGAAGTAGACGGCATGAGGGGAAGAGCGCCATGTTATATACGGCAGAGGATGTATGTATAAAGGCTAGCAGATGCTCAGCCCCGAGTTTTGGCTTGATCCCAGACGATGGGATGGATGGTCCATGTCGCCACTCGCCAGTACCCTTGTCGGAGTTTGCAGGCATCCAACTAGGCAGCGTCCCAGGCAGAATAGACAACACAAGGTAGCCAATAGAACAACAGCGGAATGACGGGACCATTCGTCAGCGAGGAGAAGGGTTGCCAAACATAGAATCACGGATGTAAAGTGGAGGCATACAAGATGTAGGCTGCAAGCTGAGAATGGGCTGCCTCTATGAGGTCTGCAGGTGGAAAATTCACGCCTGGCCTGAATGGTTGGCTATCAGTGGAGCAGACGGCTCTCCAAAAGTTTGGCGTCGGAAGGTGCAATACAACATGCTCCTTTCCCGTTTGACAGATCGACTGGATCGGATCAATGATGCCTGCCAAAGTCATAGCAGTCAGCTTGAGTAATAATCCCAACCCTTCAATGCTGCTCCTTTGCGGGTAAACATTTCAAGGGCAAGAGTCCCGCAGTGGTGGGAGTGACTGTATTTTAAAGCAAAGAGCAATTTTGTTGCACTTGAAAATACCCAAAAGTATAAATAGCTCTCTGCGATAAGGGATCAGGGTCATCTAGTGCATGATGTTATTATTTCTTCTAAACCAATTGATTGGTGTCTTTCTTGATCTTCGCGCCCCCTTTATCTTCTTTTTTCCCCCGCATCACGCGCCGCCTTATGTAAGAGGTGATGATGGGAGAGAGATGAGATCTTCGCAGCCTCGATATACACATCGGTGAGTCATCAGGGTTTTGGCCTATCGGGGTGGTTGTTTGGTGAGCAGAGGGAATGGGAAGAGTCGGTGGGTGTGGTGGAAATCAATACCCAGAAATACATGCTGCTATTGAACATGTCCGTCTCTATGCTTCCCAAGTTATCCACGAGGGCCAGCGTGACAAGGGGAAGCGGTCCGGGGCGCTGCAATCATGCTTTTGCACGTGCAAACAAGGGCCGGAAAATAGAATGGCTTCAATGTTCCGGGCCATGCTCGACCTTGGCAGAGAGGCAGTCCCATCAGCTGCGGCCAATAGTGTCACACGGCACTGTGGCTTTGCTCTCAGCATCTGCCAGCACCTGTCACTCCATGTGGTTCACGGAGTATTCATCCATGCATGTGTCCATGTCCATGTCACCCCAGAATGACGCCCAGAATGACGCCCGGAGTGATGCCCAGCATGGCGCCCACTTTACCAGCCCCCCAATCAAATCATCGCCTAAAAGCTGGCAGTTGAACCGCAAGTGCTCATCCATAATTATCAATCTTGGATGCCGCTCTCCTTGACTATCATCGAGGAGCCTTGCAGCTTCTTCGTCTTGCCCCAACAATGGCATCTCCAAGCTCCCAACCGCCCATGCGGCCCATAGACCCCCAGCCGATGCTATCGCCATCTAATGCTCCGTACTTCCCGCCTCCTCATGCCGGACTACACGGTCCTCCGGGCCCTCCTCCGCCAGGGCCAGGTCAGGGCTTCGCCTTGCAACTCGGGCCCGACTCCCAGATACCAGATCATCCCGGAAGCACAATGGACATCCCGACCGTGCCAGGGCATACCTTGACTCCCATGGCCCCTCCCGTACCGTTGGATATTCGCAACGTCAAGGCCAGCGCGCGGTTTCACCTCCGTGAGTTCCTACGTGTCCGGAGCCAGCTACAAGAAGGTGGCGGCGCAGCGAGATTCGAGCTTGAATCCCGCCTCAGGAGCCAGGTTGGTCTGGCACTGGGCGACCTGAGCACCTTGCAAGCCGAAGTGAGAGCTCTCGCCAAAGCTGCTGAGAATCATCGGTGGAGAAGATTCCTTGTCGGAGGCGCAATGTAAGTCATCGAGTCCAAGCTGCCAGCCTAGCACGACGCTTGAATTTTGCCTCGGTTCCAGTTCTAATGCCAACCCAGCGCGGCATTCATCCCCGCCGTCCGTAAAATCTTCCGCCGCAACTCGGATGAAGATTCACGGCTTTCGTCCAACGACACCGAGTACGCCTTTCGCAAATCCAAGGGCTTACTGTCCGGGATGAAGAGGGCCATTCTGGGCGGAGGCATGCTTGCCAAGGTGGCGTTTTTCGTCTTTGCCATTTTGTATGTGTTTCAGAATGAAGTGACCATCAGAGTGGCCAAGACCTTGAACAAGAGGTTGAGGGAGTTGACCGAGAGGGTCGAAGGGGGAGATCCCGACTTCAATGAAAGTGATTTGAGGACCTTTGACGGGTGGCGATGGAGGGTGCTGTTGTGGTGATGTATAGTCTTTTAGAAACTACCTAGTAGTAAAGGAAGACATCATCCTTTGCTCCAATATGCGCCCAATTAACAGACGCAAAAGCTGAGAGTCTCAATATTCGAGTCTTCCGGTTCATGTGAGCGGCAACTGAGTGCATCAATGGTAGCTTGGCACCGCAGCGTGATGTATCGACAAGTCTACTCCGCCAGACTATCAATGGCAGCCGGCAAGACGTATTCAGAGACCAGGAGTGGTCAGACAGAGATGCTCTTCTTGGTTGAGGATGGCATCGGTCAAACATACTGGCCTAATGGTTGAGTGAATACTGTACCATCATGATAGCAGCGGATTTTTGGCTCGGTTATCCTCCTCAGAGGGAGAATGGCTCACCGCATTGGAAAGAGATCATAGAAGTCTCTTCCGACTCGTGCTTTTCCAGACCTGTTGCAACCTTGCAGCTGTTTAGCCAAGGGTTCGCCTACTAAGTGCGATTGAAGCCAAAAAGTGGAGGGCTGTGCTCGAATCTCGCCGGAACGCTCCTTCCGCACCACAAAGTTACAAGCTCAACTGCATTCAAGACTCAAGTATCCATTCGGCTGTTTGTCAGGCGGGCCTTGCTTGCATCTTGCACAGCTCCGCACAGACAATGCCGAAGAATGAAGAGAGTATATCCCAACAAAACGATGGGAACGACTCCCAGCAGACCGTCGTCGTACATTCTGATGGGAAAATGTCTCTGGGTGACACGTTTTGGCATGGGACCATCCAACCCATAGCAGCACTTGTCAGCTGTACGCAGCCGGAGCCGCAGCCGCCCCACTTGACACCCTCCATGACACCAAACTGCTATCAACTTCAACGTTTGAACCACTAAACTCCAATCGCCGACTCAAAATTCTACTAGGGTTTGGTGCATCGCGCATCCAACTGCTTGCTGGGCAACTGGCTGGGCAACTGGCGGTGATGTAAAGCGTATAGTCCGAAACAAGCGTAATCGAGGTCCATGCAGCGCAGACGAAAAGCCTCTTTGGAGGCTGATACGAGTGTGAAAGAACAAGCCGATGGGAGCTTAGTGAAAGCGCCAGGCAACAAGACCATCGCCAAGCCATCCAGCAGAAATGCGATAGATCGGCATTTTCGAGAGCTTTATTCCACACCGCCCGACTTTAAAGAGCTATCTCGTTTGGATCCCGAGTTTGCTGCCGTGTTTGTCGCCCACTTCCAACATTAGTTCGACTGTGTGGCAAGGCTGATTCGTTGAGCAGTGCTAAAGGGCGAGATGTGGACTTTCGGAACCCAAAGTCGGTCATGCAACTAACCAAAACACTTCTCAAGTTAGATTTTGGTATCAAACTAGAGCTTCCAGACGATAGATTATGTCCGCCAGTGAGTCCCAAGTTGCCCTTCCCTCAACCGGTCTGCACACTCACCAAACCGCCAGGTGCCAAACCGCCACAGTTACATCCTTTGGATGAAGGATTTACTCGACACATCCTCTTATAATGAGCCTGGACGGAAGCTTACCGGAATGGACATTGGCACCGGCGCCAGTTGTATCTATCCCTTGTTAGGATGTGCTCAGCGGCCATGGTCCTTCATTGCAACAGGCACGTCCGAATCCTTATCATCTATGCCATACTTGGACCTTGCTCATGCTTTAGCAGACATTGACCCTGAAAGTCTAAAATGGGCAAAGAGGAATGTCGAAATTAATGACCTATCAAGTCGCGTCAATGTAGTTGCCCGCTGTACAGGCAGCTCACTTATCCCGCTGGACGAACTGGCGCTAGATTCCATCGATTTCACCATGACCAACCCCCCCTTCTACAGGTCAGAAGAGGAATTGCTCAGCAGCGCGAAAAGGAAACAGAGACCGCCGTACACTGCATGCACGGGCAGCAAAGCTGAAATGGTCACACCCGGCGGAGAGTTGGCCTTTGTCGTTTGCATTCTCAAAGAATCCTGTGTTCTGCAGGCACGAATACAGTGGTACTCGGCTATGTTTGGGTTTCTCTCCAACCTTGTAGATTTTATCGAGCAGCTGCGGTCATCCGGGATTGAAAACTATGCAGTCACAGAGTTCGTGCAGGGGAATAAAACCCGGAGATGGGCTGTGGCATGGTCTTTTCAGCCAATGCGTCCAGCGCAGCATGTCGCGCGGGGCACGAGATCTGCGCTATCGAAGAACATTCTTCCTTGTGTGACGGAGGCGGAAGTGATGTCAGTTGAGATACCTGAGAGCATTGGAGAGTTTGCTTCCAAAATCACTGCCGCTATTGAGTCCCTGGACTTGATATCTTGGGACTGGGACACACAAGCATATGAAGGAACTGGCCGCGCGGTCGATAAAGTATGGGCGAGGCCATGGCGCAGACGGAAGAAGAGAGAACAGCAAACGCCCGACGAGAGCACAGGGAGCTCGATTTCGAAAAGCGACCCAAGGTGTATGTTTGGCTTCAAGGTGTGGATTCGCGTATCAATGAAAGAGGTATTGGTGGGATGTCGCTGGACGGAAGGGTTTGACGCGAAGGCGTTTGAGAGTTTTCAGGGTTTTCTACAGTCGACGGCCACAGCCGCCGCAAATGTAAAATAACCTACACCCGTACGAGCCAGACGCTCAACGAGAAGGAAACATCTCCAAGACTCTTCCGCCTGCGAACGTGCCCTGCAAAGGATAAACACACTCACCATGAATAACTCTACTCAGCCCCCAAGCTTCCCATGGCCCGACGATGAAGGAAAATACATGACCAACCCACAGGGGAATGCTTTCACAAATTCTATGTTTTGTGTCCATCTATGCTGTCTGTCTACTTTGCAAGTACGTCTAATCCTCACTTGGATCCATTCACCACGGATCCCCTCGGCAGATGCCTGTCATAACCCGCCCTCACGAGCCTCTCCATGGCCGCCCACACACCATCCGGAATGACCTGCTCAACCTGGAACCCCAGCGCGGGATAGTCCCGAATCCTCACCAGGTCCCCGACCATGATGCTGATAACCAGGTCCCGCGGGTTATCCGCGTCCGGGTACTCCTCAAACGTAAACTGCGGCGACGTGACGGCGAAGCTCGCCTCCCCGGGCCACTGCTTCCTAAACGTCGCCCACGTCCGGCGCTCCATGTACGGCTTCTGCACCAGGATGAGCGACTCGGGGCGGAGGCCCATGCCCTGCAGCAGGGCGTGTGTGAAGCGCACATTCTCCCCCGTGTTGGTCGCCCTCGGCTCCACGACCACCCTGTCGCCGGGCACGCCCATGGCGCGGGCGACGTCGGCAAAGGTCTCTGCCTCGGTCTTGGCGAAGCGTCCCGCCGTGAGCTGCCCCGAGGCGCCGGAGAAGATGACCATCGGGGCCAGGCCGTCGAGGTAGAGCTGGGCGGCGCGCCGGGCGACGCGCGTGTCGAGGCTGCAGAGGCAGAAGATGGCGTCGGCGGGGCGGATGGGCATTCGCAGTTGGTGGTAGTTGTAGATGAGCTCGGCGTCGAGTTGGATCTGGGCCGAGTCGGCCATGTTTACGGGCCCTTATTTTTCGGTTGATTTGATTTCCTTGCCGGTTTTCCCGGGTGATTTTGTCACTTGTATGCGCAGAGGTGCGTTGTTTTCCTTGCAGGAGCGAAATACGAGCTGAGCTGTCAACTTATTATCCGACTCCTGTCAGGGTTTACTAAGCCCCCACGATCATGTCTTTAATGTTTACGTAGTTGCTGGTGTTGAGATTCATGAATTTGCTACTACTCAAAATCTTCATATTAAAAAAAATGATGTACCAAGAGGGAAATTCCCAACACAGAGAAAACAGCTATAGCGTCATGCCGGAGTGCCCCCCGTCAGGATCCAAAACGTAACATCTCCCCTCCCCCCGATATGACACTGGGAAAGGCTCGCCGATCCGGAGGTAAAAACACCTCCTTGGCCTCGCTGCTGTTCAGAATCATCTCGGAGTAGTACATCAGAGGCAGGCGTTCATACGCTAAGTGAGGATTGGAGTTCATAAAACTGTCAAATGACGACTGTTCCGCAGTTTGCTCGACAGCAGCCAGAACCTGCTGAATCCAAAACATCTTGCAGGTAAGCCCCTCTGCCGATGGCCCCGAAACTCCCAGCGCTTTGTTGACGGCTTCGACAAGACCGCTTCGTCTTTTTGAAGTGGCCGTTGGCCTGTCATCCGGTCCAGCCCGGACGCCGAGGTTGGCCACCAGGGTATCGTAAAGAAACACAATGAGCTCCGTGTGACTCTTGACCACGCCGTCTACCGCGTCCGTATCAGACAAGGCGGCCGCATCACACACGGCAGCTACCATCACCGCAAGACTCTCTGGGGGAGGCATGCGCGGCGTTGTGGCAACACCCAGCCCGGCCTTGGACGCCATGTGCAGTTTCGCACGGCTGCTGCTCGACTGTGGCGGGATGGAGATGAGCCCGGGTAGCGGCGCTTGATCCGGGTTGACAAAGGCAATGCGAGCCTGCATACTATCCCACAGATCAGGGGAATAATACCTTTTCCACTCGTCACCAGAAATGTCGAAAAGGGACTTGAACGCCGTCAGGGTAAGACTTGTCATGGACCCGTGCCATCCTGCAGTGCGGTTTAATCCATCCCCCGGCGACGATTGCAGAGAGGCAAGCGCTGCATGAACGTACTGGATCCAGAAGTAAGCCTGGGTCTCGGAATACGGGCTAATGTTTGACAGGGAAGCCCTCTTTCGCATGATGGATGTCTGCAAAGCACTCAGAGCATGTTTGATGACAGCACCTCGACGGAGTCTTGTTCCCAATGTGCTCTGAATGACTGTCAGGGCAAAGCGAATTAAATGGTCGCTATCCGCAAGTGGGATATCGCCCGGCGACGACTCATGTTGGACGGGCTGTGCGATGGATGGGAGTGGTGACTTGTCCGGCAACACCCAGTTCGCTCGAGCGTTGGGCGCAAACATCAAGTCTTTGGAGTAGTGTACTTTCCACAAGCTGGCATCCATGAGCTCCGGCGTATGAATTAGAATTTGGGGGAAATCTTCGCGACAAGTGAGGCCAACCAAGTGCTTGAGGTGTGCGTATCTGATGGTAGCTACCTGAAGTTGGAAGAGCCAGAATATCGTCATTGTACTATATTTCGTCAGTCAAAGGAGTTTCGGGTGCTTTTCGTTTCATGAAAGCATCATACCGGTGGGTGGTGTTGCGGAATCTCTCGGGTCTCTTGGATCTCAACATGTCTACATGGTCCATGAACATGTCTGCGCATTTCATCACAGTGTTTCCGCAAGCCATGCCCTCCAGAAGCACAAAATACCCAGCTCGCAAATGATTGTAGTGGTCCCAAACGGGTAAATCAGCATCAAGGAAGCCTTGCCAGAAATCATCAGCGGATGCTGTGTTCCTCTTGACATTTTCATTGATGCGCTCTTTCGAATCCGTCTCACCCACATGGCTGCTCCGTGGCTTGTCGTCATTTTCCAATGGTTTTGGAGACTTGCCCCCTGGTATAGCGTCCGCTACTTCATCAAGCAAGGCAGCGGCATGGCCATGTTCAAAAGCATTGAAACCGGGTGGACCAAAGATGCGTACCCTCCCTGACTCTACAGTCTTGGATAGCCCCTTTTCCAGTTTTGTTCTGATCTGTTTGACAGCTTCATCGCGTTCATTTTGTGGCAAAAGATCCTGCTTGTTGAGGACAACCCACAAGTTCTTTTTACCATGTTCGTTGTCCAATTCATTAAGAAGACTTTGTATCTCGGGGACGACCTCGTCAAATCTGCAGGTGTCTGCGCAGTCTACGATGAAGAAGAAGACGTCCGTATTTTGGAAGTAGTGCCGATACAGAGGACGCATTTTGTCACAACCTAGCTCACAGTGTTAGCTGCAGTCTTTCCATATGCCTCAATTGTGATGGATTTTGTGACAAATCATCAAACGAAATGTTGACGCAGGGTCTCTTGGGTCGTAGCGATACATGCCTCCAACATCCCACAACGTGAACTTGTGGCCCTTTGTGCTCTCCACGGTTTCGACATTGAATCCAATGGTAGGGATCGTCGTGATCTTCTCATGAGGCAGCTTCAGCTGGTAAAGTAGCGTAGTCTTGCCGGCAGCGTCAAAGCCCATCATGAGGCCACGATACTCGGGATTCTTCCCGAAGAGCCACGATGCAAGCTCTTTTAATCCCGTCAGTGTCTGTGGTATCATGTTGACTGTTGAACAGGAAACTTACTCATGGCAGGCTGCTAAGTGATGATGATGCAGCAGCGATGTATGAGTAGCGATGAACGGCTCATCGTTCCTCAAAGGAGGCAATTGAACACGTTCCACTTGATATAGGAGTTTCTCTCGTGAAACCGTGGCATGAAGTCGAGATGAAAACTGGCCAGATGCTAGATTTATCTCGCAGCCTGCAGGTACCCACGATGTTGGGCAAGGTGGACACGAGAGGCGCTGGATGCCTGTCAACTTGTCGAGATAATGTGACATGGGCTCTCGATGCGAGGCTGAGTCGACTCAGCCGCAGGCCAGGCTCTCTTAATTTCATAGGCATCATCGTTTTGCAAGAAGGCGGGTGAATGAAGATGAAAGTGGACGGCGGACGCCATCAAGGCAGCAGCCACGAATGTGTCTACTTGGTGTTTACGCATGCTGGCCAGCAGGGTGAGCGATGAAGCAAAGCAGGTAGGCTCAGCCAAAACATACACGAGACAATTGCAAAATACACTGCCCATGACCGAGAAACACCATCGTCGGACTGCCGCCCTCCGAAAAGAAGTGGGCGACTGTCACCCCGCAGACAAGGCGGGAGGGGAGCTCGCTGCATCATTCACGAGCTACACATCTATAGGCTCTTGGCTTTTTCAATCACCCTGCACGGCACAATTTCAATTACATCCAGCCAGATGGCTTCTCAACCACACGCATCAGAACGGGATGCCCTCACCTCGCGCGTCCTCCCGTCCATGACGCTCGCGCAAGGCGACGACTCCAAATACACCATCAACAGCCCAGCCACGCACACGCACCCCCGGGACTCGGCGCAAGGCCGCTTCGCCGTCTCGGGAAACGCCATCGTCACAGGCGGCACCGGCGCCATTGGCCTCAAAACGGCACGGGCAATGCTCCAGCACGGCCTCGCGGGCCTCATGCTCCTGGATCTCAACGCCGACGCCTCTCAGCGAAGCATCCAGCAGCTCAGGGACGAGTTCCCAGGCGCCAAGATCGAAGCACTGCCCGTGGACGTCACCAACGAGGAGCACGTCTCTGCAGCCGTCGCGGAAACCGTCTCCCGCCTCGGATCGGTCGACGTGCTCGTGTGCTTTGCGGGCATCGTGGGCTGCGCGCACGCCCTCGAGACGCCGGCATCCCAGTTCCGCAGGATCCTCGACGTCAATGCGACGGGAAGCTTTATATGCGCGCAGGCGGCGGCCCGGCAGATGGTGAGGCAGGGCACCGGCGGCAGGATCGTGCTCACGGCGTCTGTTTCCGCGCACAGGGTCAACTTTCCCCAGCCCCAGGCTGCGTACAATGCGAGCAAGGCGGCCGTCGTGATGCTCAAGAGCTCGCTGGCCGCCGAGTGGGCCAGGTATGGCATCACGGTGAACAGCGTGAGCCCGGGGTACATGGACACGGTTCTCAATGCTGGCGAGGGTCTGGCCGACGCGAGGAGGACGTGGTGCGAGCGGAACCCCTTTGGGAGGATGGGCTTGCCGGAGGAAGTCGCTGGGGTGGTGGTGATGCTGGTGAGCAGGGCTGGCTCGTACATGAATGGGGCGGATGTAATATGTGATGGCGGCGGTGTCGTATTCTAGACGATGGGAGAGCTACGGAAAACGAAAATACGTTTTTGCTGCACAAGGTTGGTGTTTACGACGGAGTCATTCAATGCATGCATGCACATGTGCTTGTGCTGGGGCTTGTGCTAGCATTGAAAATTGCATCGACTCAATCCGTTGCATTACTCAGTCACACGACCATTCATAAAACATCAACACAGAATCTATTCCAACACCACATGTCATTGTCAACCAATCCTCCCCTCCAAGAGTCGGCTTACCGCATTGGACGTGCGCACCTTGACGCACACCGCAATGTTGCAAAGTATATGCATGTCGCCAGCGCCACAGATGTCCTGCGCGCATTTCGCATCAACGTGACTGGTGAACCAGTTCGCATCTCATTCTAAAATGCGGCCCGGGAGGCTCTTTCGGTCCGGCCGACGAATCAGCGGCCCCACGTGGAAGCGAGCGGTTGCGTCGTTCGCCCGCAGACGGGACTTGTCGGGTCGACGGTGGCATCGATGCTTTTCATTCTTTGTCCACACAGGCCCTCCGTGAGCCGGGCGGCTGCCCAAAGTCTGCCGACATGCCAGTCCCTCGTCCCTCATCCCTCCTCGTTGGTCTCCTCCGTGCCCACCGTGGCCCCCGTGCCCCCGGGCTTGACGAGTGAAGCGTCGCGGATCGGCAATGTGCCCTGGCGCCGAGTTGTCGAGAGAGCCCCGTCTCTCCCAACTTGGCGGCGTGTTGCTACATCTGCTCAATGCAGGGAATCTGGTTGGATGGGCTTGTGAGTTGTGACTACGGAGGAGGGGTCTTGGTGGAGGGCGCTTTTTGGTGAAGCCGTCTGCCGCGTCTGCTTTATAAAGTCCATGTTGCAATCTTGACAACTCCAACGGAACAGCGTCTCCTTGTGCTCTCGGTGTTCTCTCTTCTTCCCTGTCCCCTCATCTATATCAAATGCACACAAGTCATAAAAGGCAGGCGCTTGCAACAATGGACAAGGGTTCGCTTCTGGCAGCTTCCAAGGTGGAGCCCCTGGTTTCCATCAACCCTCGCTCTACCGTCATCGGTCGTCTCTGGCCTGCTCTTGCTTCCGCCGTGCGATTCCAGTACATGATCAGCTCTTTTTCCTCCTTCCTGTACATCCAGACCTATTTCGTTGCGAGCCTCGCCGTGGTCAACGCCCTTTATGCAAGCCGTTTCCTCGCCATCCAGGCTTATATCGCGACCAGGTTTGGGGCCTTTCACGGTTTCAACATGTCCGCCAAGGCACTTGCAGATTTTTGGGATGCCAAAACAACACGGATGCTGAGGAAAAAACTCTTTTACGAGTTTGCTGTCTTTATCCTCGGAAGTGGAAACCCTATTATCCTATTGCTGTTCTGGCCGGGGTGGCTGATAGTCGGCGGGGCTTCATTCGCATTGTGGCAGTTTTGGGGGTGAAGGCCGGAGCGAGCCACAATCAGGCATGATACTTATTAGCACGTCGAGCGTGGGAGAGATTTCACCCAGCACCTCCAACATACAAGACGGCATGGCCACTGTTGGTAGAAGCCCCCTGGCGCACTTACTCTGGAACCGACCGATAATCCGATGTCGACGCCACAAGTCATTTGGAGAAAAAATACGTGTTGCCGCCGGTATCCTTGCGTATCTCGCTGGAGTAGTCCTTCTCCGGGTCAAACTCCTGCCAAGTGCTAGCAGGGTAGATGTGCTTATTTCTCTCATACCACCGACGATCCACCACCTTTGTCCTCGTTGGGTCTTCCGAAGCCCCTTCGAGGGTATCGATGCTCGCCAAAGACTTCGCCGCGGCTGCCCGCGACGCAGCCGTGCTAAGACGGTTTTCACTAGACGGACTAGACTGGTCCATCGCAGTCTCCTTTCCCACAGGTGCCTCGGAACTATAGTCAAATAGTCGACGGCCCCCGGGCCCAGTGGTCTTGTTCATCACAAAGAAGTGAAAATCGTAGTGCTAGATAATGTCCAGGTCAGCTGTGAGTAGGATGATGGACTGGGAAAATATAGAACGTACATGTGGAATGATAACGGTATCTCTTACGAGCATCAAGTCATCAACACCAACACGTGCCCACGCCCGCCGCGCATTGCTTTGGTCTCCAACACCCAATTCGGCACCGACTTTGCGACTCTTGTCCAGGAACACCCACACAAAGTCTCCCTTCTTCATTCGCACGGTCCCCCCTTGTGTATTGGCTCCATCGTAGAAAACGAAGGGGACCGCAATCTCGGTGGCCTTGACAGCTTCCTGGACCGCCACGAATTCTCGCCGCAAGGCCTCTCGCTCGGTAGCCTCTTTCCGCAGGGCTGCTTTCGTGACGGCTTTTGGCACGATGCCCACGTTCGCATTCGCCTTGAATTTTATCCTGCCCGTCTCGCTATCGCGGTCCGTATCCGAGTCCTTCGGCTTGCTCCTGGGATCAGGGTTGCTGCTAGCCTCGCTGTCGCCGTCTTCCTCGTCGTCAAAGGACAGCAGCTTCTTGCCTTGCTTCTTCTTCTTCTTCGGCGGCCGTACACCTAGCCCGCTGTTCGAGTCACTGCCGGCGTTGTCAGGGGTGCCTGTCAAAGAACGGTCCGGTGTGGACGTGCCTGAGATGGCAGCCTCGCGAGCCTCGCGCTCCTGCTGCTCGAGCACCTCTGCTCGCCGTTTGCGAAAGTCGGATAGCGCGACAAGACCAACGGTGTTTGTTGACAGACGCTCGTTCGTCGTCCTGTTTTGCGGCGTGAACCGCGAGTTTCCCTGGTCAGACATGGCGGCGTGGCAGCCGTCGGCTTGTATGTCATGAGGTTGCGCAAAGCAAGTTCCACCACGGTGTGGTTGAGGCGTGAAGGCAATGTCCGCCTCGGAGTGCGAAATGTCTCTTTGTACTGTACACTTTGCTGGTTTCTGCTCATGTGTCACTGTGTGCAGAAGCTACCCTGTACCCGTTGTGGATTGGGGCATTACAAGTTCCACGAAGGCGCTTAGGAGGACTATGTCATGATGGCGAGTTTATTGAAATGGTAATTAACCGTGTCATTTTGCATAATTCATAGTCAAGTCTGAGTACTAAGTACACATGATAGCGTCTGGGCAAAAAGTGCAGGATACTCCTCTCCGGACCGATATCAAAGTAAAAGCCAAGGATCATGAAACGGGTTCGGTATTCCGCGTATATTATTTGGAAGCCACATTGCGTCCCCTCAACGCAATCCAAGATGCACAAGAGTTGAGCCACCTCAACTTTATGGCAACCTCTGTCCTTGTCTTGTGGCCTGCCCGACGAGCGAATTTGTGGTATCATCCGCGTAGCGTTTATAAGCTATAATATATCGTTCATCAGCGCTCCATGTGTCCTTGACGCTCTGTCGGTCAACAATGGCATGGTACCACTTGAACCAGCGTTGCCAGATGGCATCTCCATCAGCTTGTGGAATAGCTAGTCCGCCGGACTTGTAGTGATCAAGCAACCATAGTCGTTTTGCCCAAGGGGCTAGGCTAATGTCGACTAAACTTAGGTGCTCGCCCAAAAACCATGGCCCATCAGGATCCATTTGCTCTGTCAGGGTGCGTATATGGCCGTGAAACTCTGCCCGAGCCTGCTCGATGCTATATGGCTTCTCCGGGGTATGCTGTAGAAAGCGGTAGAAGGCTGGGACGATTCTTGTGCCAATATGGTCGATCCACAGCCGGGCGCGGGCACGCTCGTAGGGATCAGACGGAAGCAAACGACGGCCGTGCTTGGCTTCATCCGAGTACGCGTCCTCCAGGAATTCACAGATGACCAGACTTTCATACAGTGGTTTGTGGCTCTCTCCCTCTGGCCCGGTGGGAACAGCCAGTGTTGGCACCAGGCCGCGAGGGTTCATGGCCAGAAAGTCGGCTTCTTTCTTATAGGGGTTGATTTCAATGTACTGATGTGGAATTTGCTTCTCACACAATGTGATCCAAGCCCGCTGAACGAAAGGGCAGAACCATCCGCCGTATAGCTTGAGTGCATGTTCAGAGGCATGGCGGGAGGCCAACTCGGCAGCCGCGCCCGACGGCTCTGGCGGAAGTGAAGTATCGACGTTGGCCATGTTCGGGGAATCAAACGGGTTGATGCTCAAAGAGGTGGCAGGTGAGAAATCGATGGATACCGAAGGGATGCATCCGTTTGCATGACGTGATGCTATCAAGCATCAAACCCCGCCTCCCCACACATAGTAGTTGTAGTTTCATGCAAAAGGAGGCGCGGACAAGCGCCATAGTCTCCCAAGGCTGGACATGAGTAGAAAACCAGTACCTTTGGACCACTCATGATGCTAGTCTCGGCGTGTACTTGAGGCTGTCATCATTCGACGCCTTGACAGGTGTTGTAACTTGTAAGGAGCCACCAGTTGACGTTATCCAACGTCACCCAGCCAACGCAAGCGAGATTGTTGTAGCCCCTTGAGTCCTTGACCGGCCATACAGACATCATTATTCATTAGACTTCATCATCAATAATCCCCTCTCAACACCAGGCAAACGTTCGTGAGCGTAGGAACGAATCTACTACGTACTTTTGAGTGAAATGTGAAAAGAAGGTGAAATTAGTCAAGGACTTTTCCTATCCCAAGCTTGCAAACACGTTTGATGCAAACATGTTTGATTCACAGCCTGTACATGTAGCCTGTAGCCAAGTTCACCGCCTGTACCGGTGTTATTGCATAAAGTCGAGAGCTTCACACACGCCTACCTGGCGAAGAAATTTACTACAACATTTCCTAGATGAAGCTGCCAATCTTCCTTCATCTCAACCAGTGTTCTGCCCAAGAAGCCTGTGCCACCGGTGCACGCACATCAAAATCCACAAGTCTTGCTTATACACAAAATGGACGAGACCGACGATTCCAGCTTGCTAAAGAAGCATATTGCCTTGATTCAAGCTGACACCAAGAGCTTAGAAGAAAGTGAGGTGAGTGGCACGCCCATCTTCACCGAGTCTGTGAGACAACATGGCAACAATGCGTCCACCTCGAATGGGGAGATATTTACTCAGTATGGATTACTGGGAGGGGACGTCGCAAAGCTCCACGCAAGCAAGGACATGGAGCTGGACATTGAAAACGACCCGAGAGTTTTCTACAACATCAAAGCCCCCTCGAGCGTCTTCATTTGCGGCAGCCAGGGCTCGGGGAAGAGTCATACCCTGAGCTGCTTGCTTGAGAACTGTCTCATACCCACGGATGCAAATACCCTGCCCAGACCTCTCACCGGCATATTGTTTCACTACGATCCCTTTTTTTCGGATAACCGAGGCCAACGCTGCGAAGCCGCCTCCATCTCTTCGCACGCGGGTGTGAAAGTCCGTGTCTTGTGCCCCCCAACAAACGTGGGACAAATCAAAGTAAGTGAGAAATACAACTTCACCAAAGAGAGAGACTGTAGAAGTTGTATTCTAATCACGCGTAGAAACTGTATAAATCGCTGCCAAATGTTGAAGTTGAGGAGCTGCGAATCAGCCAGCGAGACCTCAATACCAAACGAATGCTGGATCTTATGGCAGTCAGCTCCATTCAAGGAGGAACCATGCCACTGTATCTGCATATCGTGACTCGCATCCTGAGAGAACTCAGGGTCCAGCAACAGAAAAAAGGCGGCCACTTTAATTACAGAGCTTTCCGCAAGGCCATTGCGGCAGCAGAACTCAGCCCAGGGCAGTCTGGACCTCTGGAACAGAGACTCGACACTCTGGAAAGTTTCATGGCAGAGGAAGACGTTGCTGAAAGCAAAATCCCCGGGTTTACCTCCTACAAGCCCAAGGGCAAGCAGTCCATGTTTGACCCCAACGAGTTCACAAGCACAGCCACCACATGGGAACCAAAGGTAGGCCATGACGTTGCCGGTATGAAAAAGTACCATCTCACACTAACTGCGATATATGATACTAGGCCGGGCAGTTGACCATTGTCGACTTGTCCTGTCCCTGCGTCACCGCCGAGTCTGCGTGCTCGCTGTTCAACATCTGCCTGAACTTGTTCCTGGAGCAGCCCTCGGACGACATTGGACGAGTGATTGCCCTCGACGAAGCCCACAAGTACATGACGGAAAGCGCGGATAGCCAAACCCTCACCGACTCACTCCTGTCCGCCATTCGCCTCCAGAGGCATCTCGGCGCGCGTATCGTCATTGCGACGCAGGAGCCGACGATTTCCCCGAAGCTCCTGGACCTCTGCTCGGTGACGGTCGTGCACCGCTTCACGTCACCGAATTGGCTGGGCAGCCTGAAGAACCACCTGGCAGGGGCGACGGCAGGCTGGAAAACCGCCACAGAGGGAGAAGGAGAATCTGGGAAGAGCAGCGCAGAGAGCATGGCTGAGCTCCTGAGCCGCATCGTCTCTCTTCGTCAGGGGGAAGCTCTGTTGTTCTGCCCCAGTGGTATCGTTGGTGTCAAGACGCCTAAAAGGACTGATGACATTGATGGAATTGCGGATGGGTTTGCAAAATGGTGTCTCGAGCAGGATCGTTCGGGTGCGTATTCTGATTGCGGGAATGGCCTGGACTATCTGGGCCAAAGGATTATGAAGATTCGCGTCAGAGAGCGAATCACCGAAGACGGAGGAAAGAGTGTAATGGCCGGTTAGTACGGAGGCGATATAAAGGCATGCAAGGAAGAAGGTTGCGGCATCTTCAGACGGCCACCGAGCTGTTGTACGTGGAAGAAGGTGCTCCGAGGAAATCGTGCTGTAGGTTTTGGGTTCGCGACGTATCAAGGGAAAGAAATGAAATGTTGGCTCTGCTCGTAGGATAATAATTCACACTGTTCGCCTCATATTCTCTATTGCTAGACGACTTGCATGAAACCATTGATATGGCTTGAGCCTTGGTCAAGCCACCACCTTGCGACATGGCGTGAACATTTGTTACACGGCTCACAACAGACCTCGTGCCCAATCCCCGGAGTTTTCGTGTAATGAACTTGGTTGGTTAAATATGCAGCTTACAAGCGGTCTGGTCAGATGATATGGGGTGCCATTTTACCACCCAAGATTGAAGTGATGATCGGCAGCTAGCTTACAGGTTACGGCGCCCTTCAATGTTGGCCGATGCAATGTACATTTGACCTAAGTAGGATCAATCTTAGCGCAGGCCGGCGCCGGGTACGGACAAACTATATCCTGTCAATAAATAGAAAGTAAACACGCACAGGACAATACTGGCGCCCGGCAGCACTTGAGGTGTTGGGCAGCTCGTATTTGATGCCGGCAAGCCGCGACTGCGACGCACAAACTCCGCCCTCTTATTTCGTGCCACGCAAAAGCGTCACTTTTATCCACATCCAAGACTCTCATCACCTTCTTCAAACTGACGTATCCTCTGCAAAATACACAAGAAGGGCCAGTCGTCGCTCAGAAGAATAAAATACTCTTCACTCACGAGTCACCAGTCACCAGTCTGAGGTCTCTGTCTCCTCCGCCAGACACCAGCCAGCACTCACCCAGCCCCAAAGTCCACCACAATCTTCTCAGACGCCATCAGAATGAAAAAGGTGCTCCTTGCTCTCGCCTTCCTGGGACTGGCTTCGGCCTCCCCCAATGAAGCAGCGTGGCCTGAAACCACCCATGCCAGAGGCTTCCGCCTCGTCGTCAATGTCACCCATCCTTCCCGCGACTTCAACCCGCCAGTTCACAACACGTACATTACCGGCGTCCACTACGGCGAGCGGACGGATGCCGTCGTCCCCGGCCAGGACTTCAAGAACGCCCGCATCTTCTTCGTCAATGGGACCCAGGGAGAGGCCGACGCCGACGTGGCCACCACCATCTGGGCCGACTGGGACGTGTACGAAAGCTGGAGGCTTAGTCCGGAGCCGGGGTCAGAGACGCTCTCCGAGGTGCTCATGTCGGGGGCAGATGGCGACAAGGGAATCGGCATCAGACACTACAAGAGCCCGTTCGTCTTCCTCACCCCAGAGACATATGTTGCTTGTCGCCAGGTGCTCCCGATTGGGGGTGAACAGGTTGTCATCAAGCAGGCCAAGACTACTTTCCCGCCAGACGGCTCGCCCAACTACAATATTCCGAGGGACTGTGCTCCTGTTCGTCTTCTTCCCGAGTGCGCTGAGCTGCTTCCTCTTTCTCCCCGTGCTCGGTTTGACTATCGGTTTGCAGTCCAGTCTCAGTGCTATAAGAACGTGACTGGTATTGACTGGGCCAAGTACCAGTCATGATCTAGAAACGGGACCGGCATTGTTGTCCGCCAGATAAAAGAGATACATGGTTCAGATGCCCAGATGACAGTTTTGCCGGACCATCGTTCACTCGGTGGAGAGCTAGGTAGAGACGGGAGGAAAGGATGGCGGACTATGGCGCTAACGCGGTAATGACTGTTCAGTTTCACGTAATGAGCATGAAGAAACTTGGGGGAGATTGCCCGAATGCAAGGGTTGTCATTTGGCGGTGGTTGGAAACCGTAGACTTGTTTTCTCAAGTATGAGTTATTAGGGTATCCATCTACACGTTATCAATACACCAATAGGCAAGCACTTTTTTACACTGACAATTTGTTGAGTATCCTGATTTTTCCTTCCTCAGGTACTACTCCGTTTTACTATGTAGGGTCAGAACATGAGCAAAATACGCAAAGAATCGGCTGCGAGGAACTTTACTGCAGTTTAACTAGAAAATAGCTCAAGTATGCAAAACGGAACCCTCAGACTACATATAGGTCCCAGGGCAACGGAGAATTTCTCCCCGTCTTTTCCTACACTGATGCCAAAAATGCTCCATTTACCAGAAACGGCTGAGGCAACGAGGGATAAAGGAACGAATAACATAATTCACTAACAAGAACAATGAGATGCGTTTAATATCCAAAACTTTATTCATCGAAATATGTAAACTAGTACATCTTCATATTCCTTCTCCAACACCGGCGTCAATTCGGGTGGTTGTGAATTTGCATCCGTAAATCAGTGGTCTCGTGTGTTGAAACTGAGACAATGCTGGCCCGTGGGAATCTTTGGATTGACAAAGACCCTGATGCCAAGATGTTGACAGAGGGTAAGGGGCAGTGGTGACAGCCGGGCGGGCGAGGAGATCCAGTCGAGTTTATCCAAGTCTTGAAGATGTATAGTGGTTGTCGAATTTGAAGTTTTTTGGCCGCGTTGGTCAAAGGTATGCGGTAGCTACCGCGATACATCTGTACGTGGGTAGCTTGAACCCTCATCTAATTGACCGCTTTCCGAGGAGTATTTCGAGGGGGAACCAGAGGATGGGAGTCGGCCTCATTCATTACAAAAAAGAGACAAGGCCGGAGGCTGCAGCTCCAAAGCTACAGCTTGCTTGCCTGCGTTGCTTCTCGATGGCGCAAAGCACAGGCAAACCTCCGCTTTACACGGGTGGTTTACAATTAAACAGGCAAAGCGCGCATATCCCGGACGGCGCCTCGATCATGTTCGCGCAGCCATGAAAGCATTCACATGGAAAGCATGGTTTGAGCCGATGATGACGAGGGTTGGTGTCGACCGAATCCGAGTGGTCATCAACCGGAGCTGATTCAACAGGTCCAGAAGGCATTTTTAAGGCTGGATATAGTACTGTAGTAGATATTTCTATATCGCCGTATTGTTGTTGTTGCTGCTGTTGTTGTTGGATGGTTTTGTGCGAAGCGTCGTGGATATTCTGTGTTGTTGTCTGAGAAGCTCGGTGCTTGGTTTTGTTTGAGGACTGATAAGGAGGGCAGGAAGGAGGGCAGAGGTCTTGGAAAGATGGGAGAATCTATACATTTTTCTAGATTGAAACTTTGTTCAGAGATTTTTCAATGCACACAATATATGTCACTGAGCACGATGCGAACACCGTGTGCCAATGTAGCATGGCGTTGCATCACAGCACGGGCAGGCACTCACAGGACGAGCAGCTGAGTTTTGTTCATTCGAGGCTCACAGTAGAATTACTAAAAATATTCGAACTGAACCAGCCGCATCATGCGTGGCTAATGCGCTCATACCATTGTCGTAGTGATTCATCAATAATGCATTTAACCCTTTCAGAACTCAGTTTCTCTGTGCGGTCAAATGTGTATAGTCCGTTCGCTTCTTGTTCGATATCAGTCCTAGTCACAGTCAGCCTTTGATCGTCGCTCTCACACACAAACAAGTAACGGGCAACCTACAACTGCGTATAGACAAAGGCACAACAATGCCCGCCGTCGGCAACACCCCGTACTAATTTCTCAAACCTAGTCAAAAGATCTGCCGAATTGCTGGCAGTTGTGTATCCCCAGTCGCGGACATTCTCCCCGCTATCCTTGGCTGGCGCGATATTGACGCCGCCAAACTCAGTGCACATGATGGGCGTTCCAGGGACGTGCTGTGCACCTTGGTCTCGACCTTCGATAGCAGGTACAAATAGATGACGGTCCGCCTTCTTGTCCAGTATGGCATCCAAGCTGGCACATGTCTTGGCTAGCTCAGGCCCATCGCTATAGTCGTGAAAGGTTGTAAGATCTGTGTGGACGTGCTCCCACCCGCAGTTATCGTTGATGCTGCGCGTTGAATCCAGAGATCTGCGTGCGGCACTGAGGTTAGTCATCGGAAAATGATACACAGACTCGTCATGCTGTGCTTTACCTTGTCAAGAAATACAGCGCTCGGATATGATTGCGCTGCTCAACACTATCCTGAAGCGACGTGTACGCCCAGCTCTCATTCACCGGCGTCCAAGTCACAACCGAGGGATGATTGATGGCCAACTTGACCGACTCTACCCACTCCTGGTTGAAGCGGTCGATGTATTCACGGCTGAATTGGTAGGCGTTTGCCATCTCTGCCCAGACGAGGTAACCGAGTTTGTCGGCAAAGTGGTAGAACAGCGGACCTTCGACCTTTTGATGCTTTCTGCAGCCATTGAAGCCCATTTTCTTGGCCAACTCGATATCGTGCTTGATTTCGTCCGAAGAGCCCGTCATGAAGGTCTCGGGCCAGTAGCCCTGGTCTAGACAAAGAGCCTGGAAGTAAGGCTTACCATTGAGTCGCCAGTAGCCATCACCAGCTTGCCATTCTATGGATCGCATTCCCGTTGATGTCTTGACCGTTTCCAAGACATTTCCGGTTGATGTATCGATAAGATTAATGGTAATGCCATAGAGCAGCGGGTGCTCTGGAGACCACAGGGCGACTCCGTCTTTCCAGCACCATGGATTTTGCAATGAATCTGTGTCAATGGTGCCGGGCAAGAGGCTGGACTTTTGATTCTCAGACATGCGCATCTTGAGTTCGACATCAACAGAATCTTTGTCATTCGGCAGGGCTATAAGCCCCGACTTGGAGACCAAGACGCCCCCGAACCAACTTTCCATCTCGATGCTGTAGTTCCGGCCGACTCTTCGACCAAGCACGGCAACGTGGCAGTGCAGCGTCCCTGAATCAATGTCATTAGACCGAAGAACAGTTCCATGGGAGCTGTCAGCAATCCTCGCCCCAGGAGCAACCTCCAGCCAGACCGACTGCCAGATACCGCCCGAGGGAGTGTAAAAGATGCTCTCTGGCTTCGCCCCCCAGTACTGCTTCCCACGCGGCTGGGTCAAATCATACGCAGAGTCATAAACCCGGATCGTAATCCGATGCGGACCGGCTCCGGCTTGATCGACAGCGTCGGTAACGTCAATGTCAAACGGGACATGGCCGCCGCGATGCCCTCCAACTTCACGGCCATTCACCCACACGCGGGCTTCGTAATCGACAGCCCCGAATCGTAACAAGAGCTTGTCTCCGCGGTCTTTTTCTTGGCTTGATCGCAGGTCAGCGACGGAGCGCTCGTACCACAATACTTGATGGACGCCGCGGTCATTGATCCCCGAAGCAGGGCACTGGAAGACATAAGGGACATGGATCTGTCGCTTTCGGTTGATAATGGCCGATTCTCTGGACAAGGCGTTGCCCGGTAGGAGTTCTTGGGTGCCCGCAGCGATGCGTTGCGTGATGCTGTCACCTTCACCGCCGAGGCCATCATTGCTGCCGCCGCCGACAGCTTCCACAGCAATCTCGCTGGGAAGGCCTGCATCTTGCCAGCGGTTCTGTAGTCCCACATCGCCGTCGTCAAAAATAAAGTCCCAAGCGCCGTTGAGCGATTCCCAGTGCAGACCAGCTCGCACAAAGTCTGGGCGGGGGTAAGACGTGTCTGCCATTTTCGCACGGTGGAGGTCTGGTGGAATGAGCGCACGTGCTACGGAGTACTCCGTACAGAATCGATAAATCAATTTTGGTCTTCTTTGGGATTGTGCAGCTGGAATTTTCTACAGATTTTTTTCTATAGATTTACGACTACACGATTCATGTTTCGAAATGAAGGGAGCTGGGTGTGCGTCATTTTTGGGTTCGAAACAGGTCGTGGAGACGAGTTATTATTATTCCTCGCCATACGTCGATCACAACCATATAAAGTGACCGATGGACAACGTGGGGTGGTAGACGACGTTTCCTGGCAAAAGATCACTGCAAGGTCTGTCTATACTATCAGCGTATATCAAGGCCAGTTTACATGGAGCTCTAGCTCTACGTACTAGATCCATCAGCTTAAAGTCCTACCCTATGCTCGAAGGCTCTCAAAACCGTCGAGGCAAATTGGCATGCTTCTTTCGCTACGCAACATGCGGACCACAATGCACACCTGCGCAGAGGTGAATAAGTTCTTGAAGGGGGCGGCTTCTGCTTCGTCCGTAGATATAGTGCAAGGTTTTCCGAAGAGATATTTGACTCGAGGCCACAGTCTTTTAGAAAAAGTCCGCAATATCTGACCCAGGGCCGAAATCTCTTGTAATATCTGTCGCCTCACCGCAGCTCAGCAAAAATGAAAAATTGACTCACCTCTTGTCACACAAGGTTTGCCAAGGGCCCCCCGTGCAGAGACTATGATGCATAAGGTTGCAGCAACACTGGACTCGACGTCATCAGAGCCACCCAACCTCTTTGCCACGCGATGGAACCTTGGACACTGATAACGATAACCTCAAGGGCCCGCCGCCACTGCCACTGCCGCTGCTACTGTTACCGCTAGTATTCCGTAAATACTGGTTTGCATTGTCATGGCCCGGATGCCGAGACTTTGGTGTGGGGATGGATGGTTTACATGGTTCCTTGGCGCCGGGATTAAGAACGGGCAGTGTGCAAACCACGATTAGCGAAGACTGCCCGTCCAAATTGGCGGGGTCCACGGAGGCAAGGGTTTGCTCCGGATGCCGACTGCCATGGTGACGGTTGTTTGAACAGCTGATGGCATGATTGATATCATTCGGGGTATGATATTCTGGTCGCCCGGAACCGACAGCAGTAGACGAACTACTCGTTTCACCTGGCATCATAAGTATGTTCAATAGATTTTGCTTTTATGCACCTAACATGCAGGTGAGCTGCTGGCCTGCAGTCCGACACCGTTGAACAAAGAATCAGCTCTTCTGGGCCTCCAAAGACTGCTTGTGGAACAGGGATACAGGCGTTTCAATCCTGCGAGGGATGTATGTACCACCCGTCGAAGCCATGATCCGAGGTCCAGATCTGACCCTCGGTGCGTTATTCACAAGTCAATAACAACTCACCAGTGCGTCTGCGTATGTACCACGCCTCGTGATACAGAGGCCCATCGTACGAGCACATGCAGCCAACCCGAGCTGTCAACCGTCAACCGTAAAAAAACGTAAGGAAAATAAGCACGCAGCTGACAGTCGGTTGCGTTGCATGGACAAATCGTGCTCCGATTATGACTCTTGTTCATGTTCTGTTGCAGCTGACCCTTGCATTGAGCGGCATTATAGTCGCTACTCAGCCGCCTATACGGAGCGACTAACGTGCGAAGTGGAATACGAGATTCTAGTGCTGGGTCGCTGCAGATCTCATTGGACCCCCAAAGTTTAACTGGCCGATTCACAAACTGCAACGAGAGTATTATCTGGGCTTGCCCGATGCCCTCTGCTTGGCTCACGAGTCACGACCGTGCGCTGCTCCATTCTCCCCGCCTCGTTCTTGAGAGATGCTATTCCTGGGCCCCCACGGTGTGGTCCCTTTGTCAGAACCGTTTTCGGCCGTCTAACTCTGCTCGACCCAGCTGGTTGGTGGTTCATGCGCTGGCAGAAGATTAACTGTCGCTCGTCTTGTCTTTGTTTTTGTCGAGGTGAGATTGCAATGTCTCAGTTGTCGACGCGGTGAAGCGCTCGTGCTCACAGCAAAGGGCAAAAACCTACGGAGTAATCAGATTGTCAATTGATCATTATTACGCTGCGGTACCAAGTATTGACACAAAAAAACGGTGACTTGCAATGACACAGCCCTTTGCGTTGCTGCAGGGAGCATGGGTGACATGAGCCGGCATTTGGGCTTGTCAGGTTGCAGGGGCCCTTCGATGTTTCCGTGGCGGCCGGTTGGTCAAGACTCGATAGGCCCCGTTTGTATAATGTCGACCGGTATTGTTCAGGGAAACAATGTACGGAAACTCAATGTTTGCTGCGGAGTGGAATGGCCCTCAGCTCCTGTCAGCCGTCGTCGTCGTCGTCGTCGTCGTCGCCGCCGTCTTCGCCGCCCTCCGCCTCCCCATCGTCAGCCGTTGAGAGGCAAAAGGACTTGACGCTAACCTATTATCTGCTTAGTGCCAGCTGGCTGCCTGCTGCTTCCAGTTGCTTCGGCAAATACGAAGTCGGTGCTACGTCATTTGCTTGGCCGACGTCTGGAAGCTTTCACCTGCTTCACTCTGTCCATGTTGTTCCCGCCATCACCATCACCAACCTCAATGGTCAATACCCCATCAGTTGGTTGGTTGCCACACGCACACAGACCAGCCCACCAGTCTTACCTGACCGATTGGGTGTTGCTCTGCATCATTGGAAGGAACAAAGCTGTCTTTGGCCCTCGGCCAACGGGCCAGACAGCAGTCTCAACGCGGCTCGGCTTCTTTTGATGACCCGGCCAGCAACTTGTTGCTCCGGCTATAAGTATGTGGCAAGATCCCGTTCCCAAATGTAAGATCAGAGACATCATCTCACAAGATACAATAGCAAACAATCTCATCTGTTCAAACTTTCTTCCGAAGAAGTCTTTTGCTACCCTTTTCTTCTCTCTCCCCAAACCAAGCAATAACACCCTCAAAATGTTCAACATTCTCACATCTCTGCTCTTGGCCGGCACGGCCCTGGCAGCCCCGTCAACCCTAGACCTTCGCGCGGAAGAAACATGCACCGATAAGTCGATCAAGACCACACAATGGACTGTCGGCGACTTTGACTTCCATGCTTCTTACATCTTTACCACCCCTGCCCATCAGAACTCCTGGGGCTACGTCAACTTCACTCTGGAGAACCCCAACGTTGCATTCAAGCCCCAGTGCTCGGCCGCCTCCAACCAGCTGAATGATTTCTTCTATGGCAACCTCATCTATAATTGCGTCCAGCCCGAATCCGGAGACCCTGCTACCTTCACCTTCTCGTGGCCCGAGAAGGAGCTCAAGGTCAACCAGACATGGGCGTGTCCTGAAGAGGGCAGCCGCTTCTGGGCTCAGGGCGGTTCCAAGCTCGACTTGACCTGCACTGATGAAACCTGGCAGAACGATAACTGGACGATTGGCCAGATCTATTCTTCTCGCACCATCAGCTGCAACCACATTAATGCCCCGGTTCCTATCGAGGCCATGCAGGCTGTTGCATAAGCAACTCTGAAACCCTCTCTTGGCTCGCTGGCATAATGAAACGGAAAAAGGCGAAACCTCTCTTGGAAATTGTGGCGTTGGACTGCCAATTTATGGACTACTGCATTTTATTCTATACCGTTTGCATACGACGGCGCATACGTAATGTATCTTTTGGAAGATTTGTTTTGGATTGGGCAGTCGAGAAGCAGCAAGACGGCTGTCGTGGAGTTTGTAACAGGATTGATATGATGGATATTGGGGAGAAAAGCAAAGGCAGAATCACGCCATTGTATGACACTCCTTACCGCTGGATGCTCCCTCCTTTGAAACAATATGATACCGATGATAGACCAGGAAGGCTGGAGTAGTTGAGCCAAATTTTAGTAATGCTTACGGCTGATGGCCATGCAATACACAATCCATGTTAAATGAGGCGCCCGCTCGCGAGTCGTGAAGCCTGCCAGGAAATACGATTGCGTGACGGATCCATTTGAGCTATTTCGCAGTCATGGAATTATGGATGACCGGCTGAAGTGAGGTAGGGCCGAGAGGTCGCACTTATACATCATGCCATTGGTGAAAAGACGCCACGAGTCCACGAATCCACGGGAACCACGGATGATGCCGGCTCAGGAACGTTCCAGGGGCGGCTCAGGGGTGATTTCGAAGCAGCGAGGACCGAGAACAGGCCGCAGTTGATGGGAGAGATGGCAGTTGATGGTAGTTTGGTTGACGAGGGCCTTTATACACACCACAAGTGGCCAGTGTTGGCACGGCCGAGCTTGCGAGGTATCATCGAAATTGTGCCTCAACCCAGACACCACGTGCCACCGCCGTGTACTCCGTAGGTTACCAGAGAATCGAAACTTCAAGTGAACCTGCGCAACATCGATCGCAGCCATTTCTCCACCATTCCCGTCACCACAGAAGCCCCGAATATTCCATCACGACGCCACCACCACCACTCCCATGCGCACCCGCAGCTTAAAAAAGCCAGGGCCGAGCTCCATGCTTAAATCAGAGGTTGAAATTCAGCCCCGGCCCCATTCTATTTTAGTCCCCGACCCGCCTGATTGGCCCATGTTTCCCAAACCAGGCGGCTTTGTCGATCGCGTCATCGAAGCTAGTGCCGAAAAAAGAAAGACACTCCAGTCTTTTACCATGCACAAATTTCCTCACATTGGGTGAAGTCTACTGCGGACAAGAGAAGAAATTTTTACAGATTGTGGCTATACTGGGTAATTATCCGATTGAGCAGACAAATTCCCCGAGCACCGTAGCAAAGGTATCGGCTGAATAAAAAATGTAGTCGCAGCCTGGCGTGACGACACATGCAACAACGTGAGGCATCAAGCAAGGAGCCCTTATGCATTCCATGCCTAGAAAAAACGTCAACCAAGGGGTGCGATGGCACCATTCTCGCGAGACCCGCCTAGGTGAGCAAAAGAGGGTCAGGAGAAGCTCTAGACACAGCAATCGCTGCTTCTGATGGGCTTCTAGCGTCGCGACACCCGCTTCGGGTATCCACACTTCTTGTTAGGACGACGATGAGGTGCTTGGGGACCTTTGGGACCTGACTCTTGGCTTCGTGCTGCGGCGGGCAAAGATTTTTCTTTAAATATGTCGACGGCGTAGCAGTCCGTCCGAGCCTTTTTTCGTTCCCCATATTTGTTATGTTGTATTGGCTCGTCCCTATCTGTTGGTGTCTTATCTTGGTTCCTTCTTATTTGGGTTCTCGTGCGTTGATATAAAGCTTGGCATGTGTGACGGCCTCATCATCTGAACCGACGAGAAAGCCAACCTTGCGCACAAAGATGGACCGCCTTGTTGGAGGTGCCCACGCTGAGGGCAAGGACACCGTCAAGGTGCATCCTAGCGATGCCAGCTCGGGGCCCGACACAGAGAATGGTATGCTTGTTATCCCTCGGCCCTAGAGTTCGTTGCTGGCCAGCCTCACACTACCAAGGGCCTTTACACAAGACTGACAGTCATGAAACCAAAAATAGGCCAACTCGAAATCGCCCGCGAAAACAAACGCCAGATAGGCATTCCCTCGGCCTCCATGCTCATCTTCAACCGCATCATCGGTACCGGCATCTTCGCCACGCCGGCAACCATTCTCGCCCAGTGTGGCTCCCCGGGCCTGTCGCTCATGATCTGGCTTGTGGGCATGCTCATCGCCGCCGCCGGAACAGCAGTCTACATGGAGTTTGGCACGGGACTGCCCCGCAACGGCGGTGAGAAGAATTACCTTGAATTCGTGTACCGCAAGCCCAAGTTCCTCACCACGTCTCTGTACACTGGCTATGTGATCCTCCTCGGGTGGGCGGCGGGCAACTCCGTCATCTTTGGCGAGTACATCCTGCACGCCGCGCAGGTCGATGTGACGCGGTGGAACCAGCGAGGCATCGCGCTGGCATGTCTGACGGCCGCCTTCTTGATCCACGGCACGGCGTTGAAATGGGGAATCCGACTGCAGAATTTCTTGGGTATTTTGAAGATCCTCGTCATCGTCATCATCGTCATATCCCCGCTGGTCAATCTCAAAAAGGTGAGGGAGAACAACACTTTCTCCAAGCCGTTCGAGGGCACGACCGGCAGTGCGTACGGCGTCGTCACGGCGCTGTACAACGTCATTTGGAGCTTTGTCGGCTACAGCAACGCCAACTACGCCCTCAGCGAGACCAAGAACCCGGCCAGGACGCTCAAGTTCGCCGCCCCGCTGGCCCTCGGCACCATTTCCGTCCTGTACATGCTCGCAAACGTGGCCTACTTTGCGGCCGTGTCGAAAGAGGAGATGCTGGAATCGAAGCGCCTGGTGGCGGCCTCGCTCTTCCGCAACATGTTTGGAGAGTCTGCCGAGCGGGCCCTGTCTGTCTTTGTTGCACTGTCTGCGTTTGGCAACGTCCTGAGCGTCATCTTCTCCCAGGGTCGGCTGGTCCAGGAACTCGGGCGCGAGGGTGTCCTTCCCTTCTCGCGCTTCTGGGCGAGCAACCGCCCCTTCAACGCCCCTCTCGCCGGCCTCTTTGAGCACTGGCTCGTCACGGCGATTACGATTCTGGCCCCCCCATCTGGCGACGCGTACAACTTTGTGCTCAACCTCATTTCGTACCCGCTGGCCATCATCAACACGTTTGTCGCGGGCGGGCTGATTCACCTGTACCGCAACCGGGCGGCGAGAAACTGGAATCCTCCCCTCAAGGCAACCCTCCCCGTGGTCATCTTTTTCCTCCTCAGCAACATATACTTGGTCGTGGCTCCGTTTGTGCCCCCCGAGGATGGGCAGAGTGTGTACGAGAGCCTGCCGTACTGGATCCACTGCGTTGTCGGATTTGGTGTGATTCTGGCTGGAGGCTTGTACTGGTTAATCTGGGCTGTCATCCTCCCCAAGATCGGCAGGTACGAGCTTGTGCGGGAGACGGTCGTTGATGACATTGATGGATGGGAAAAGAGTTATTTCTTTACCCGGCCGTTGGGAGAGCGGACCAAGGATACCCAGGATCCTAATGGTTCTCAATGATATTTCGATGTATTCCTTTTCAACATGAGCCTAGTAATTCAACATAGCGATGTAATTGATATTTACTTTTTTGATACCACACATTTGGCTTCGCATTTGTTGACTTGCGCGAGTGTGACAATGTATATATGCTTATACTTGGTACACTCATATGCATATACACTAAAAGGTACATATATACCTATACACAGACATATGTACCTACTTAAGTACCTAGCCAAGTAGCAGGGACTACTAGGTCGGTGTGAACAATGCACCCTGTAGCCACGTGCTGAGAGCCTGAGGCGGCATGTCATGAGTCCATGTCGTGACCATCTTTTCACACCGCGGCGCAAATGCACTACAAACCGAGATCCAAGCCACCACTTGGTCGGCCAAGCAAATGCTCAGCGCCTGAATCTGCATGCGACGAGACGATGAGAGCAATGCAAACGACAACGCTCGTATCAATGGACCCGCACCTGATCTGCGCCCATAAATGCCAAGGCGGTTGACGGAAGCCATGCATTTGTGCCGTTGTTCCGAACGCCTGCCAAGATGGGCCATGGTGCGAATGAACGAATGTATAGACCTTCCATGACTTCAAATTCTGTGTGGACTGGTCGGCAGAGCGCCACCACATGCTCTTATGCGTCGTGTTTTCGGCTGTTCCTGCCCGACAGTTTCCACAACGGGTAATGCACCCTGCCAAGATGATTCGACAACAAGGGGAGACTTCCATTGCCTGATCTTTCCAGCTACGTCATATCTCGACGTTGTCCCAGAAGAGGCCCTGGGGGTATTCTTCACCTACCCGTTCAGGCAGGCGTTGAGCCAGGTCTGTCCGTACGGGGTCACAGCGATTGATGACATGTCGGCAATTGGGGAAATGACACAAACCAACTCGAACATGAGGCCGGACCCGACGCAACGCCATACGGCGAACAGCCCGGAAAGTCCAAGACAAGATGGATTGTTCAGGATGCTTGTTTTCTTAGCCGAGACAAGACACGGCATCCCCATACCAGTGCGTGAAGCTGCATCTTCAGTTACGCCACATTCCGCCATTATCCGGAACCCGCACGGGGCCGCATGAAGCTTGGAGAGAACTTAGAAGATCGGCAGTTGAGCTTGGTGTGTGTTCGACACCATCACTCACTCGAGCTTCACCTGTCCTGGGTTCTTCCGGACTGACCTCGCCGTATGCAATGCTGAGAGCGCTATGACGCCGACGAAGCTATGTCGGGCAGTGATCTAGGTTCAAGTGCCAACCCAAAATAGCTACCGGTGAGACCTCATCATTATTAAGAAAAGGCTATGATTGCGAGCGCCCACCATGGCACCGGCCCTGCACACCCACCTTCCTGTCCTGACCTAGGCGCACTTGTGGGTTTGGTCCACGCAGCATTACCCATCTACAAACCACAAACACCATGGTATTGCCCGAGGAGCCGAAGCCGACTCTCATGATCGACCTTGGAGAAAGACCCGGCAACTAGGTACCTTCCTACGAGGCAGTAGGGAAAGCCGGCTAGTCTAGTCGAGTCAAGGTCCATTGGTCCTTCTACAAAAAACGATCTTATTCTTAGGTAATGCTAGCTTGATAGCTCCTGGTAATTAGGGTTCGTGCCACAAGACACATATCAATTGATATCTATATATATTCAGGGAGGAACCGCACGCCACTGTCTCTGTCCTCTGGCCATGCTCTCTTTTTTTTTATGCGACATTCTTGATATTCATCTTCTAGAGACTGAATAACAGCCGGACTTCCCACAAGAGGTCAAAACTGGTCTCTCCCTTGTCCCCCAGTTTTCTGCTTGGGGCTACCGCATGTTGTCCTCTCCATCCGCCATGCGTTTCTCTGCTGCATTTTTCCTTGGGCTAGTCTCGGTGACAGCCGCGTTCCCGAACCCATATCCCGATGAAGCAACAGACATCCCACCTACCAAAGAGTCCCTTGGCAAGCGAGATGGCGAATTCAGCTATTTAATCAGTGGAGCTGATGTGAAAGCTTCCCAGAAATACGGTGGCCATCTTGTCAACTACAAATTGCGTGCTAATGCGGTTGACCCAAGTAGACTTGGCGTTGACACGGTCAAGCAGTACACTGGATATCTCGATGACAACTCCACGGACAAGCATCTCTTCTATTGTAAGTCAATGTCTGATGAGCATTGCTAGTATCCATCTGGCTAATTCTCATTTTACTTAAGGGTTCTTTGAATCTCGCAACGACCCCAAGAACGACCCTGTTATTCTATGGCTTACCGGAGGGCCTGGCTGTTCTTCCATGTCTGGACTCTTCATGGAGCTTGGTCCCTCTCACATTGACAAGAACGGCAGCCTTGTCCGAAACGAATACTCCTGGAACAATAATGCCTCTGTTATCTTCTTAGATCAGCCCGTTAACACCGGCTTCTCCTACAGCAACGTTCCCGTCGACACCACAGCTGCTGCTGCTAAAGATGTCTACGCCCTGATGACCCTGTTTTTTGAGCAATTTCCCGAATATTCTGAACAGGATTTCCATATTTCCGGCGAATCCTATGCCGGTCATTATATCCCAGTCTTTGCCTCTGAAATTCTCTCCCACCCTGCTCGTAACATCAACCTCAAAAGCATCTTGATTGGCAACGGCCTCACCGATCCCTACACCCAGTATGCCTATTACGAGCCCATGGGCTGCGGAGGTGGAGGATATAAGCCTGTCCTTAGTAATTATACTTGCCAAACTATGGAATATGCACTCCCCAAATGCCAGGCCGCGATCAAGGCCTGCTATAACGGAGAAGATGCCGCGTGTGTCAACGCGGGCGACCGTTGCAATACCCCCTTCCTTGGTGCCTTTGCGTCAACAGGCCTCAACATTTACGACATACGGAAAAAGTGTGTTGGAGGTGATCTATGCTATGAAGAGATGAACTGGATTCAAGACTGGCTGAATAGAAAGGACGTTATGGGAGCCCTTGGCGTCGAAGTTGCCAACTTTAAGACCTGCAACGACCACGTTAACGCTGCCTTCCAGCAGGCCGGTGACTGGTTTCTTCCCATCCAGAAACACGTTCCGACACTCTTGGAAAAGATCCCGGTTCTCATCTATGCAGGCGACGTCGATTTCATCTGCAATTGGCTGGGCAACGAAGCCTGGACAAAGGCTCTGCCGTGGCCGGGCCAAACCGACTTCAACGATGCCAGCATGGTCGAGTTGACAGCCTCTTCTGGAAAGGCCTATGGGAGCTTGAGGCACGCACGGGGATTTGCATTTCTACGAGTCTATAAGGCAGGGCACATGGTCCCATATGACCAGCCTGAAGGTGCTCTTGACTTTGTCAACCGATGGGTAAGGGGTGAGTGGACTGACTGAAACAAGTGTATACAGTTCTGCGACGAAGTATATTTAATTTGAATATTGTTAAGTATTTGCTCGTTTGCTCCAGCAAATTGCACTATACCGCGGGACAGCTTCGTACCTGCTCTACTGAAATACGTTTTGCACTTTGCCATACCATATAGCATTCTTCATGCCGCGCAAAGGCTTTTACAAAGCAATTCAATACCCATAATCACATGGGGGATTTACAATATGGGAGAATTTCCCGCCCGCAAACGTATTCGTGTTTCACTTTGAGTGCGTCGCAGTAAGATTGCGACTCTCTGGTCACGGAGGCGTAGTCTTAAGTTTTAACCGGGGAGCCTTAGCAATGCCGCATGAATGAATCGGAAGCAAGCCATAAAATACCCATGGGCCCTATTTCCTTTCAGCCGCGTGAACTTTACCGAGACTCCCGTGCTGGGCGGTGCATCGCATTTCGTCGCTGTCGGATGCACTCGTATTCGTATTCGCATGTGCGTTTGCCCTCCCGTTGGTGTACAACAAGCCAATACTAGAGAATACTTGCAAGGCTCTGGTAGTCAAGTTACAAGAGGTTTATATATTCTCCTTAGATCTAGCAGAATTTCTTTCAATTTTCCGTGTCGTTGATTGTACATATCTTTCTCCTTTATTTGCTTGGCTAGAGCTATCTCGCAACATCTTGCCCTGACCACAATTGTATTCTCCCCTTTCCCACAGCATCAACATGTCCAGCCGGACGTTGGTATCGGAAAATGACGCGAGGCACGCTGCCTTCGACAAGATTCTCCATGGCGCATCGTCCGAGTCCCGCGGCGGCTTGCGTGCCATGATGGGCAAGGACCGAGGCGCCAACGAGGCGGCCGTGAAGGAGTATTTCCAACACTGGGACAACAACAAGGCCCAGGACGAGACCGAGGCCGTCCGCCAGGCTCGAGCCGACGACTACGCTAGCCTGACTAGACAGTATGACTTACTTGCAGCCCCTTTCCGTGCCCCTTCTCGCACGAGTGTAGCTTTGTCCGGGTGAGATGGCCGACTTACACCACTGTTTGCAGGTACTACAACATCGCGACGGATTTTTACGAAAACGCCTGGGGCGAGTCGTTCCACTTTTGCCGCTTCGCGCACGGCGAGGCATTCCCCCAGGCGATCGCCCGGCACGAGCACCTCCTCGCCGCCCACGTCGGCCTCAGGAAGGGCATGAAGGTGCTGGACGTCGGCTGCGGCGTGGGCGGCCCGGCGCGCGAGATGGTCAAGTTTGCCGGATGCCACGTCACCGGGCTCAACATCAATGAGTACCAGGTCCAGCGGGCCAAGTCGTATGCCGAGAAGGAAGGACTGGCCGAGAGGCTGGATTTCGTCCAAGGGGACTTTATGGTGGGAGATGCTTCGCCGTTCCTGTGTTCTGCACGCGGGCCGGCTTTTGGTCTGGCCCCGTGGCAAAAAAGTCTGAATGCTAATGGTGGATGCTTAGAAAATGCCGTTTCCGGATGACTCCTTTGACGCCGTGTACGTGATTGAAGCGACGTGCCATGCGCCCTCGCTCGTTGGCGTATACCGCGAGATCAACCGCGTTCTCAAACCGGGCGGCATGTTTGGCGTCTACGAATGGCTCATGACGGAGGCTTATGATAACGAGGACCTTGAGCATTGCCGAATCAGACTTGATATTGAACAGGGAGACGGTATCCCCCAGATGTTTGGGGTACGCGAGGGACTGGCGGCTATAAGGGAGGCCGGCTTCGACCTGGTCTACCATGAGGACCTCGCGGCCACGGACAGCGGTCCCGCGCCGTGGTACTGGCCGCTCGGGTCAGACCTGAGCTACGCGCAGAATCTTTGGGATGCGCTGACCGTCTTGAGAATGAACCGCTGGGGGAGGGTGGTGGCGCATGCGTTTTTGCAAGCCCTTGAGATGGCGAGGATTGTGCCGTCTGGCACAAAGAAGACGGCCGAGAGTCTGGGCAGGGCGGCCGACGCCTTGGTCGAGGGCGGGAAAAGGAAGTTGTTCACTCCCATGTATCTGATGGTTGGGAAGAAGCCAGAGGTGGCTTGATGCAAGGGGCTTTTTGTAAAGCGTACCGAGAGTAATTGTCTTGTTGACGCATGAAAGAGACACACAGATGTAGACAAGTATAGGTTGTGATTTCGAAAGTGTTTACTTATATCTATTTTGCCTCGAGCACCTAATTTTCACGCCTGAAAGGTGCTTTATCAACCTGCATGGCCATGCTAGGTGGTAAAATTGGTTAACATGGAAGGACTTTTCAGACCGCCTGCAATGCCAACTTCATTTTCCTCCAGGGGTGTCATCACCGACCCTTACAGAACGTTTCAAAATCTTGGCCTTGGCAAAATTTCCTCTCGAGTTTACTCGCTTTGTCTGGCAGTGTTATATTATCAGCACTGAAATCCTAGACTCGTTTCTTGTAAATTTACCTTGAGCTCTTTCTGTGGGTGGTTGACAATCCGTATTTGCCAAGCGTTGCCAGCACCGAGGAGAGACTTGACGACTTGTTTCGAGAGCTACCAATATCCCCTTTGTAAGCACTGGACACAAAGTCGGTCATGTTTGGGCCACGGTATCGGGAGAGCAGACTACGCACCCGCAAAACACGACAGACTTCCTTCAGTCGGGCGTCAAACGTTTTGTACGGCTCCTAACCGCCTTCCGAGACGCACCAGTATGGAACTTGAGTATCCCCCTGCTGGGACTTGATAGCGGCACCCTGAATCGTGTCAATAATCTGCTTCCAACATTTGGCGGTGTAATCACCAGAAAAAGAAAAAAAAATACCACAATGCCCCATGAAATCCATTCAATTGTCTGGTCATTAGGTATTTGCCTTAGCACCCTTCGCTGTTGATCTTCAACGGGCGGCAGTATTTTGACAAGTTCGGCCTCGGTTGGCATAAAGTCTGCCGGTGGATCGTCCATGGACTCCCCCTGACGGCGCTCCGGTCTGTCTTGTGAGAATTCAGCACTGATGCGATTCTCTTCGCCCTTGGGCAAGACTGTCCTCCACTCCAAAATATACGACCAGTCGCAGATGGCATCGAATACCTGGCGAACCCTCTGGCGATATTCTTCATCTGTCTTGGGAAAAGATTCGTCATCTGTCGGAAAGGAACAATCCGACACCGGTTTGCGATGTAGCTCTATGATGGTTTTCAATGATTTATCGGCATGATGCTTACTTTTAAACAACTCCTGAAATACTCTAGTTGGAGATTCTTTACTTTTGTCTTGTATGGCCTTGTTTTCAGGAGTCATCTCAGCCGTCGTTGGAGAAGATTTGCGGGCTTTCTTCCTTCGGGGACCGCTAATATCATTGAATTCGTTCTCGACACTGCGTTTCATGCGCTGTGCAGTGAGCTCAGATGCGTTTTCAATACCGTCAATGATAGTCTCTGATGTGGAAGAGTGTTCTTCATGGCCCGATCCTACGGATCTATTGCGATCGAAAAATCCACCGGGAAGGCTATAGTGGTGGCAGGAGTTGGTCAAAATGTCTTCATTCACAGAAGTATCTGGCAGAATAAGTCCCCCAAATGGCTTCATATTATTGGAAGTACTTTGAATAGAGAGATTTTAAATTAGCGTATGTACTGCGAATACGACATCTCCTAACTCACCCTGTGGATATCCCCGAAAAGGGCTGATGCATCGAGTAATCTTGAATTAGAGGTTTTTCATTGATAACGGGATCTTCGAAATGGCGTGATGTTTGAATAGCATCTCCCTCCATGCAGAGAAACTCATCATGACGGGCCCATCGAGGGCAGAGTTCCGATCCCCAGGCTTTGACCAAATTATTGTTGTATTCGTCGGTCCATAATTTTGGATGCTGGAATTGAGTCGACGATGCCACTGGCTCGTCGAATAACCCATCGCCATTTGTATTCATCATTGACGTGATGATACAAGAGCTGATTGATGACACTGTGAACTTGGCTTCTTGGTGTCGTCAATGTGGATCCTTGCACCCTTTCAGAATGGTCGATAGCAAAGCGGGAGGCTTGTGAAATAAGTCAACTTTATCAATGATCATTCTTGACTTGCAAACGAGCGAGAGAGCGTTCCATATCATCAACGGCCGTAGATTTCTCGGGATCCCGCATCTTCCCATTTTGAGATCGGGAATGTACATATAGACTGTTCCGGCTTCCAATTGCAAACGTGTTTGGTTGGGCACCAGTACATACTATATCCTGGACGTCCTTTCCCACTTTCACCAACCTCCAAACAAATAACCGGTCGTCTGATTGCTTCAAACACTACTACTCAAATAACGACGAGGCCTCCACGAAGAAATATACCGTCGTGTGTAAGAGAGCCCCCTCAGCTCTAGCCAGTTTCCAACCCATGTCGGCTAAAGAATCCCGAAGTGTGTTTATGCGGGGAGAGCTAGCCCGCTCGTAACCGATGCAGAGATTGTTCATTTCGGTTGTTTCACCGGCATGGTGGCGTGCACGGTAGACCAGGGCATCCTGCACACCTTATCGATGCGTTGATCCGAATGTCAGCAGGACTTCCAATAAAGGAAAACTCGTGGAAGAAACTCTGGCAATATGATATATATCGCATATAGCTGAATAGGCACTGAAGATAGCGGGCGTTTCTCAAGCCAACAGTCGACTTGCTATTGAGTTCAGCAGACAACCAGTCAGTCGGTGTTGTTCGTCTCTCGTATCCCGGAGGCATTGGGTGTTCATAGAAGGCGTGATGAACGACCTAGGTGACAAACAGCTTGCGTGACTCAAACTTGGGCAGTCGGTGGTCTTGGCCTCCCGACGCCGTCCGCAAATACATGAGGTGATGATGCGAGGCTGACATTGCCACCGCATGTTGTACCCGACGTCCAAGATGCTGCGGGCCGTTGTGCGCAGAGAGAAGACCGGCAATGGATCCCTTCCTCGTTTGATGGTTTCCTTCAAGACCCGTAATGTTGCCATACAGCTTGCATGTCCGCGGATCCTGCCTTGCTCCGTGGGCGCCGGATGCTCCAATGGCAAGCATGTAAGCAAATAAGCTATGCAGCATATAAGCAATAAGCCATGCAGCATGTCAGCAATAAGGTTTCAGCCGCACTTGAAGAGGCAAAGCAACGTTGAGGATTGCGAAGGCATGGCTAGTCCGCCACAAAATCTAAAGACCAAAGGAGTAATTAGACGAGGCATGTGTGGGGGTGGCAGCATGTTGGTGACAATTTGAATGGTTCGAGAAGCAAGCCGGGGGGCCGCAATGACTCCCTTTAGCGTCTGGTTGGCATATTTCTAGCCTCAGGCTCGCGGCGGCGGGGGGCGAAGGGATGAACCGGTCGCACCTGCCCTTGAAGTCGGGCGCCAAAGTCCGACACGGATCCGACGTGGACCCCCATGTCAATTCTACCAGCAGTTGACCACTTACTTGAACAAATCGATTAAACATTGAACGGTCCAGAGGCGTTTTAGCGGCTGTTGGGCTCCACTTCGTACTAAGTACTTTACCCGGATCGATGTCCCCTGGAGCCCTCCACGCCGGAGATTCCATTGCTGATGTCCCAACATTAAACCCCCCCGGCCCTCCGGGGCCCCCATTGCAAGATCCAAGTGGTTGGCCATTTTCAATTACCTCAGCTTATGCTCTAGTTTCTAAGACACGGCCCTTCTTCTCCATATAATAACCCTCCATGCTGCCGACCTCGGCCGAGTCGTGAGAATGTTTGATCCTCGCGCCAACTGGGGTCTTGCCGTGCTGCCACGGTCATCTTTCATCTCTTCTCGCTGTGTGCACGCGCCGAGATTGTGATACCTGGCCAAATTCGAGCGTCCTTGCGTCGGTCGAAACAACTATCCGCAGACATTTGAACCTTGGTCGTTTGATCCACGATCAGAATCCTCACAGCCCACCATGGCAGTCCCTGCGGATGAGAAAAATCGCGACTCGCTCAGCCAGCCTCAGATTGGCGAGACTGGTATGCTCTCTGACGCACAGGAACAGCACTTCAAGGATGGCATTTCGGACGAGGAAGAGGTCAGGTGTCCGTCACACACGACCGATCTCCGGCTTCTAACCAAGATTGACCTTCATGTCGTTCCGTTCCTTTGTGTCATGTACTTGCTGGCTTTTCTTGGTAAGAACACAATCAACATGTCTACCCGCCTTTCTGACGGGCTACTATCTCGATTTTGACAAACTAACCAATCCTACTTCACAGATAGAGTCAATATCGCCAATGCTAGGATTTTCGACCTTGAGACGGACCTTGGCATCAAAGATGATCCCTCAAAGTTTAACACGGCCATTGTCGTCTTCTTCGTGCCATATGTCTTGTTTGAGATTCCGTCCAACATACTCCTCAAGAAATTCAAGCCGTCTACGTGGCTCTCCTTGAACATGTTTCTGTTTGGCTTCACCACGATGATGCAGGGGCTGGTTCGAAACTATGCCGGCTTGCTGACAACTCGATTTTTCCTCGGATTGTTTGAAACAGGCATGTTTCCCGGTGGTAAGTGATGTCTTGCTTTCTCTCAGTTGCGCAAATTTCTCACACCAAGTACATTGGACTGATTCACGCTTCTTTCGCGGCTAGCATTCTACTTGATTGGCATGTGGTACCGCCGGCATGAAGCCCAACGACGATACTCCTTCTTCTTTAATAGCACAACCCTGGCCGGCGCCTTTGGCGGGCTGCTTGCTGCCGCCATTGGTAAGATGAGTGGAATGCGTGGTTATAGCGGGTGGCGCTGGATTTTCATCATCGAAGGCGGCCTTACTGTGCTCGTCAGCTTCTTTTTCTACTTTTGGCTCCCCAACTTCCCTGAGCAAGCAAAGTGGCTCAAGGATGATGAGCGCGAGTATGTCGCTGCCAGGCTCCGCCTCGACCAAGGCAAAGCTGGATTGGACCGCAAGATCACCTTGCGTGATGTCGGAAACATCTTTAAAGACTACAAGGTCATCGTTGGTGGCTTCATGTACTTTGGTCTTATTGTCCCGGCCTATGGTTATGCATACTTTGCGCCGACGATTTTGAACGGTTATGGCTACAGCAAAATTGAGACTCAGCTGCGCAGTGTACCCCCGTGGGTTGCTGCGTTTGGTTTCTCAATGATGTGCGCTTACGCCTCGGACAAGATACGACATCGAGCCCTCTTCGCTGTGGTCCCCATTGGCATTGCCATCTCGGGATTCGCCATCCTTCTCACCGTCCACACAAACCTGGATGCGCAGTATGCTGCTCTTTTCCTAGCTGCTATGGGCGCCTACACGGCAATGCCTATCATCGTCTGCTGGTTCAATATGAACTTGGGTGGCCACCACCGACGAGCCGTTGGGAGCGCCTGGCAAGTTGGCTTCGGTAACCTAGGTGGCATTATTGCTGCTTTTGCGTTTAAGCAAGACTCGGGCGCCAAAGGGGTCCAAGACTATAGCCTTGGTTACTCTTTATGTATCGCATTCTGCTGTGTCTCTGTTGTGGCTTGCGTCGTGTACGCGTTTGCCTGCTGGAAGGCAAACAATGACCGTCAAAATGGTAAACAAAACGTGGACCATCTGTCAGAAGAAGAGAAACTGGCTCTGGGCGATATGAACCCCAAATACCGCTATCTGTTATAGTTTTTAGGGATAGTGGCTGCTTGGGTTGAGGAATATTGGATTATTGAACCAGTCAAATTTTTTGCTCCATCACGATACCATGTAACATGCAGATGTAGTCGTCGCACGAGATTAAAAATACTGAATTATAATCATCTGCTGCAAGTTCTCTGTCCGGTCGATTACGACGTCGTTGAATGTTGGCAGGCCAACTTCCGCTTACAACGCCTTAAACACTCTTGGCTTTCTTGCCTATCGTATACTATGCTCGAGATGTCCGAGGGCACACTTGGCGAGACGGGTTTCATGACAATGAGAATAGCGAAAGACGTGGTAGATTTTATGGGAAAACTATCTGCAAAAGCGACTGACTATTGTTCCAAAGCCCCTTGTTGAAAGGAGGCTGCCCCTGATGCCATAGCCTCAGGAATCAGGATTTGATGACGAAACCCTGCAACTTGAGTACACCAAAATTCCAACCATATTTCCTGTTTGTAGATGCACCGTGATGGCACGATTGAAAAGAAGAGAAAAGAAAACACTGCATGCAGACACTCTGCCCACGGAGGTTGGCGGTAATGGTACGTGTGCCGTGTCATGTGCCAGCCGCATGCGAATGCAAAGCTTGAAAGTTGAGTGCGGAGGTGATTCGTGAATGCCAACGCTGGAGAGAAGTACAGGTGTCCTTACTGTCCATTCCCCAAGGCATCGGTATCCGTCTCTCCATTCATTTGTTGCCAACTGAACGTTTCTCCCTCTCGCAATAATGCTTCCCAAAATCCTTCCATCTATCGTCCCAAAAGGTCATGTCGGTTTTACGCATTTTTCCATGCTCGGAATACTTTTCTAAGAACCACCGAATTTTAGTCCAAGCTTTTGTCTGGTTATCCTCCGCAGACCTCCAAGTGTTAATCAGGTCGTTAATCGGCTTTTGGCGTCTGATCGAATCAAGCAAAGCCCTCTCGTAGACACGTGCTACCAAGTAGAACCACTGTCTAGCAAGATAAGCAGGGTGGTTGTAGTGGGGGATGACAGGACGCCAATCATTTGTTGTTGAAGGCACTTTGACCGTGACGAGAGCGGACGGGTCGATCATCATTGGAGACCGTAAACTTCGGGCAAGCAAGGCCGTGTATTCCAAAACATGGTCAGGGTTCGATGAGCGTAACAATGGGTGATTGTTTGGTAGAAAGACGCCAGCTGAAATGGCATAGGTGTCCGAAAAGGGGAAACCACCCTCTTTGGCGGCGGCAAAGATGGCCTCGATCCCTTTGTATATCGGGCAACTTGTGGTGGAAGATGGGAGCTGGTATCTGAGGCGACAGCGCTCCTTGTTGAAAAGTGGTGTGATGACACCAATGTGGGCATTTTGCGGCTTCCGAGGCTCGTCAAGACTGGGATCTACTCGGTATACAATCCACGTTGTCTCGAGAAGTGTGTCGTAGCCAGTGCATCGCCCTGTTTGCAGGAGCCCGCGAAGTGCCAGTAGTTCAGAAGATCTCATTGCGGACTCAGTTTGCACCCCCATGCCTTTATTGATAAGTGCATTGTATATCCGAGAAATGCGATCCTGGATTGTATCCTCAGAAATACTGCTTGGCGGATGTTCTGACAGCATTTCTTGGGGTACAAGGTGCATGTCAAGTCGATAACCGAATCGGTCAGCAGAGTGTGACCTTGTTTGGCCCCGTGCCCTTGGGTTAGGCATTTTTGGGAACCTTGAGAGGACTGTAGGATGAGATGTAGTTGTCGATGTTGAGATGACTGCCGGGTTGAATTGACTAGAGCTGGCTCTACGAGATGGCCTAGTTTATATAGAAGTAGAGGAATCATTTCAAACTGCCACGGACAATGAACATCGGCACAGAGTAGGAACGGCAACAAAAGTCGAACTCGGAAGACAATTCACCTCTATCCATGCACTTGAAACATCTCGCGGAAATACAGTCCTACGAACTGCAGAACAGCACCAGTGTGGACATTCACCGATGATTCTCTTAGCATATACAGAGCTTCTTTCAGTTCATGCAGCGCTGAATGATAGAAGGCAGAAGCAAAGGGCCCATTTGTGAACAAACGGACCGAGGTGTGGTGTAAGTGCCGAGCTGGTATGTCCATGTCGCAAGGCCTCATGTAATCGCATGAGACACCGGTGAACAGTGAAGAGAGTTGGATCTCGACATGCAGAGATGTACAATCACAGCACAGTAGAACGTGGTGCAATATATCCCACACGAGCAACTTCACCGACTCCATTCTGTCAACTCTGTGAACAACGTCCCGTCCCGGTTGTGCCAGTCTCTGGGTTGCTTCCACAACAGTGAACCCCGATGTGTCCTTGAACCAACCGCCACGATACCTCGGCGGAAGAAGTAACTCCAGACTACATGCATAAGCACCAGACGCAACTATGTATTGTCTGGCATTGAACAAAGATCCACCTAAACCCAACTAGCTTGACGCCTCCCCCACCACAACATGCTCGTGCGCCCTTCGATGAAAGCCCCGCGAACATACATGTATTCCTGCATCACTCCGGTGTCGCAGAAAGCTTCACGGCCCATTGTATGAAGCACAAAGAGAAACTGCCCCTTGAGCCAAAACCCTGCATTGCGACCCATCATAAAAGCACACTCAGACATGGCTACAATCAGACATGCTCGACGGGAAGGTATGCCCTCATTTGAACAACCAGGCCCCAACCTCCCAACTGCTCCCGAACTGACAAAACGACCGTTGACAGATGCCCCCGTGATCCTCGAGCTCATCCAGGCCCTCGCCGAGTACGAAAAGGAGCCCGATGCCGTCGAGGCCACCGTCGAGTCACTCGAGAGGACAATTGCCTTTGCCCCGTCCGACTCAGCCGGCAACGACGCCACGGTCCCCAACACCGAAGCCATCACTCCTGACCGGCCATCCCGCTGCTTGCTGCTCTTCTCCCCCGAGGGCAAGGCCGTCGGAATGGCACTGTACTACTACAACTACAGCACGTGGCGGGCCAAGGCCGGCATCCACCTGGACGATCTCTTCGTCCAGCCTTCCGAGCGTGGGCGAGGGTACGGCAAGAGACTGTTGGCCGAGCTGGCGAAGCAGGTCGTCGCCATGAAGGGCGGAAGGCTCGAATGGGTCGTGCTCAAGTGGAACGAGCCCAGCATCAACTTCTATGAGAGTCTTGGAGCGCAGGCGTTGGATGAGTGGGTTGGCATGCGCCTTGACGGAGAGGCATTGGACAAGTTGGCACATTCTTTGGATTAGACTCGATACCATAGAAGTTTCCCGCGCTACTGGGATAAGAAGAGAACAACATGGAAAAGGAATGGCAGTGCGGTGCTCCAAGTCATGCATCTGGCTTTTTGTGAATCTTGTTTCCCTTTCTGTCCACGCTTTCGAAAATCCCTTGCTGGGCTTTTGTTGCAGCCGGCAACTTGGATGTCGCATTTCCCCAACAGAGGGAGTACTGCAGCGTGTGCGGATCCTGTTCCACAATCGGGGTGAGCTGCCATGTCCTATTGTACGCTCTGCGGAACCATCTGTTTGAGACTTGCTTGCTGCGCTCATGACCACCGTACGGACCGAGATCGTATTGTCCCGTCCGGCGTTGTCGAGACATTGTCTTGGGTTTTTCGATTCTTGCGGCGGGCGTTGTGGCATAAGATTCCCAGCTCCAACACTGAGACGGCTCCGTGAGCAAAGGCACCTCTGATGACGCATAATGCCGCCGCCGAGGCACGGTCCATTCGCCTTCTGCTTGCGCACCGCTGCTTAACCGCTGCAACAGGTCCCATTCTCCTTTACCCAACGGGGGCATGATCTTGTCCGCACTCCTCCTCCACCAGTGAGCTCGCTTGGCCCTCACCAGGCTCTCCGCGGGCGGCTTCCCCCATATATTGGTCTTGGGGACGAATTGGTCGGGATCGACTGTTCTCACGGCGGTTCCGGGCCAGCTAGTTGTGCTTTTCGTATCTTTCTGGTGCTGCCTCTGCGATTCAAGGACTTTTAATAGCTTGGGTTGATCCCACTTCTCGAAGAAATTATTCTTTGGCTTGCGCGCCGGCTTCGCCTTGGAGACGTCTGCCCCTGGTTGTATTTGAGCGTCGCACTTCTCGGTCTGATCCATCAACGACTCCAAGGCCTTGGTGTCGCTAGGACCTTGCGGTTTGACAAGCTGCGTCATTAGCTCTCGTCTTCTGTTGCCGGTTCTGCCAAACCCCTTCATCATCAAGCTCTGCATGGCAATCTTGTCGCCGCTATTGGCAGCCCGCAAGGTTCGAAGAGACGACTTGGCCTTTGCCAGTCGGCCCTTGGTGTGTATGCCATCTTTGCGGCTCTTGTGAAATCTAGTCCGGATGGTTGAGTCGATGGTGGCTCGGAAGGCGGGCGGAAGATACGAAGCTTCCCGGAGGAGATGGCGATAGAGATGGATAGGTGAGAGAGATTGAGGGAGGGGATATGTCGGGACGGGCATTACGGCGAGGAATACAAATAGAGAATGGGAGAATGCAAGCTAGGAACGAATAATAGCAGGCATTGCAGAAGCACGACGCCTCGTAATGTTGAAAGCTCATCACTCAACAGTCTGTGGAGCGCCACTCGCCGGCCCGGACCAACCTCGGGGCCCACAGTCACTGATGATCAGGTTTCTCCCGTAAGATACGGTATGTGGTGGCTGCACGGATGTGGCCGGGCCAGCAGGTGCAACGATGATTCTGCAAAACCAGCAACAACTTAGTACTGCCCCGAAACTAAAGATTGAGAAGGATCAGATGCAATAGGAATGGCGTGCCCCCATCTGCTGACTATTTCAAAGATGCCATTCGATGGTTGTGTGTACCGTGCAGGCACTCAAGCGGGACCCACCCACGATCAGGTAGTAAAGGCTGGTTGGTGGGCTTACTAACCTCTAATTAGACGATCCGTCACCGCCGCCAAAAAAAAAGTCCGCGGCGCGACACGCGTAACACGCCTTAACACGACCCGTGCACGAAACCGACACGTCTTGATTAATTGACGGGCGGCATTCCACGACCACGCGCAGCGGCCAACGAGGCCGTATTGCTTCCAGACGTCGAGTTTCGTCATCGCATGATTATCAGACAGGCACTGGCAGCGCATGCCTCGTCTATCTGTTGCTGCACCCCTCGTTTTGAATTTCGTGCATTGGCCGGCACCCTCGCTTTTCCATTTACAGAAAGAGCGAGACAGGCCTCTTGCCTGTGTAACACTCAAACGCTTCGACAGTGATTGTGTCCAATTGCTTTTTCCCGTTTCTTTTTTCTTGCTCCCTTTTCAGATCGCAGCGCGGGCAGGCATCTGTAGCTACGGAGTACAAGGCTTGCCATCCGGCCGGGCCTCAATTGAATTGGCCCGTCTTGGTTAGCTAGCAGGCAGGGAAAGGCCGTCTTGGGGCATTCTGCACCTCCAGGCTCCAGCTTCCCCTCCTCTCCACCATTCCACAGTCGAGTTGTCTCTCACTTACGCACGCACTTGTGCACGCATAACTACCGCGGCGCTGCCCTGCAACCAACCCACTTGCCTGCTCCGTTCTCCGCCATTCATTTCGCCTGCAGCTGGGACTCACAACCCGACAAACTCCCCTTCGTCGACGCTGCAAATTCTTGTCGTATTGGTATACTGTTGCGACCGGATTCCGAGTAGAGCAGCCGGGCATCACGCTGCCGATTTTGTGCGCGCGCACATGACCCTCGACTGCCCTCGGCCATCCATCTGTTCTTGAGACGCCAGCTCCCTCCATCGCGAATTTCCAGGTGCCGCCCACACGGCGTCACTGCGCATAGTAATCGGCATCCCTCCCTTTTGGCCTCTTGCGTTTCTCAATTCAATTCTTTTTTTTAATGGCGCAAAATTTTGCCAACATGCCGTCAGCATCACAGTCATCTCAACAGTCTTTTAGCATGAGCCAACAGTCCCAACCGAGGCATAGCGCCTCCTTCCACCAAAGCTATAATGGCGCAGACGGCCCCCAGATCTACTCTGTACGAGCTCTCAGTCCGTTTCAAACCAACTACTTGAAAGCATTGTAGGTGGCTAACCGATTTGCTTTGTCGCAGGCTTCATATTCAGGTGTCGATGTCTACGAAATGGAGGTCAACAACGTGGCAGTCATGCGAAGACGTAACGATTCCTGGCTAAACGCCACCCAGATCCTCAAAGTCGCCGGCGTCGACAAGGGCAAGCGAACCAAGATTCTCGAAAAGGAGATACAAACAGGCGAGCACGAAAAGGTCCAGGGCGGCTATGGCAAATATCAGGGTACTTGGATCAAGTTTGAACGAGGCGTCGAAGTTTGTCGGCAGTATGGCGTAGAAGAGATTCTGCGACCACTTCTGACATACGATATGGGACAGGACGGTGGCGTTGCCGGCAGAGGAGATTTCAACACTCCCACCAAGGAGCAGGCCATGGCGGCTCAGAGGAAGCGATTGTACAACTCGGGTGTAGATGCCAGACCCAATGGCATGTCCGGCACCTTTTTCAAGAACATCTCTAGCACCGCCTCACATGCGGTTGCGGCCATCAGCAAAGCTCGCTTCGACTCTCCGGGGCCGAGAAGTCGAAACGGTCCCGCCCGAGCACCTAGCTTCAGCCGGCAGCCGTCGATGCAGAACGGCGATGAGTTCCCCGGAAACTCGCAACAGAGCTACACGTCCGACTACAGCCAACAATTGGATTCGGCATACTCTACGCAACAAGCAGCCGCCTTGGCCGGCATGCCCGAGCATGAGCCTCCTCGTAAACGCCAGCGGGTAACAATGACGCCAGTCGACAGTTTCAGTGGATACAACCAGAGTATGGACATGTATGGGACCGCCTTTCCAGGATCGCCCACTGAACCCAATGAGTCTTTCATGTACACCCAAAGTGCAATCCAGGATGGCGTCGCTGCCGGCGATGACGGCAATGGCTCCTTGCCTCCCTTGCCGTATGAAATGTCTCCTGACGTGGAAATGAAGCGCAACACCTTGATGGGCTTGTTCATGGATTCATCACCCAATGACACCTCGAAGCATGAGTTACTACGAACATTCAGTCCAGCAGAACTTGACATGCCTATCGATCCCCAGAGTCACACGGCGCTTCATTGGGCGGCCACACTGGCCCGTATGCCACTTCTGCGTGCCCTGATCGCAGCCGGCGCATCTCCATACCGGGTCAATGCATCTGGTGAAACTGCGTTGATGAGGGCCTGTTTAGTCACGAATTCGATGGACCAAGGCTCGTTTCCTGATCTTCTCGAAGTCCTTGGAGGCACCGTCGAGTCTCGAGACCACAAGGGTCGAACAGTGCTGCATCATATTGCTGTAACCAGCGCCGTCAAAGGTCGCAATGCTGCTAGTCGATATTATCTAGAGAGCCTTTTGGAATGGGTTGTTCGACAGGGTAGCGTACCGAGCAGCCAGGCCAATAGCAGCGTTCCCAATAGCTCTCAATCCGTCATTCCCAAGATGGGAATTGCTCGTTTCATGAGTGAAATTGTCAATGCTCAGGATAGTTCAGGTGACACCGCTTTGAATATCGCGGCTAGAATTGGCAACCGGAGCATCATCTCACAGCTTCTCGAGGTCGGTGGAGACCCCAACATTGCCAATCGTGTCGGCCTGCGACCTCTTGATTTTGGCATTGGTGGTGACAATGCAGAGGAAAAGACCAACAGCGAAATACCAGCCGACAAGAACGGCGGTGCCGGGTCAAGCCAAAGGACGCGAGAGAGCAGTGATGAGATTATTGCGTGTAAGTTCCACTATAGCCACGCTGCGATACCTTTATGTAGCATATTAGCTGACATGATACAGCCATCACACATCTCCTCGGCGAGACGGGAACAGCTTTCCAGCAGGAAATGAAGTCCAAGCAAGTCTCATTAGACGCCATGCATGCGACGCTGCGCACGACTTCGACCCAGCTTGGTGACGCCCGCCGCAATCTCGAACAGCTAACCTCCACCGTCAAGAAGCAGCAACTTGCTCGACAGAAGGTGTCCAACCTCGCACATGCCCGCGAAGACGAGCAGCTCCGCCTAATGAACGAACAACAGCGCTCATCACAGCCCAACCCCTCAGCGTCATGGGAGACTGAGTTATCAGCCATGCTCGAAGCAGCCGAAGAATCCACAAACAGCGGCGGCTTCGGCAGCGAGAGCATGCTCCCAACCGCCTCCATCCTCCGATCACGCATCCGTGCCATGGAAGCCCGCCGCGAAGTAACCCGCAAGATGGTCTCCGCACTCAAAGGACGCAGCCGCGACGTCGAAATCAAGTACCGCCGTGTCGTGGCTCTCTGTACAGGCGTCCAAGAGGGCGAGGTCGACGCCGTGGTAGACAACCTCCTCAAGGCTGTTGAAAGCGAGCGCGATGAGCTAGACATTGGCCGTGTACGAAGATTTCTAGGCGGAGTCGAAGGTGTGGTGCATTAATGATGGCTTCCCCCGGCGTTTTTGTTTCCCTGACTTCTTTTAAACTCCCGAGTGTTATGATATCCCGTTGATTCATATGCTTGTAATACCTTCTGTTTTTTTGGCGCTACTTGGACACGAACTGTATTTTGGGTCTTTGGGATGGACTTTGTTTTGCCCCTTTCTCCCCCTTTGATGCCTGCCCTTTTTGGCTATGGGGTTTTTGTGTACAAAAATGCGCTGTTGAGCGTCTGGATAGGCGTCGTGGTTGGCATTGTAATGATTATTATAGTACATTTCTGTAGGATTGCGGGTTGTTGCCTGGCAAGTAGTTCTGGAACCGATATTTGTCCGAGATCCTAATACAACCGATACGTTGATTCAATTTCGTGTCCCCTTGTTCAACTGCGCTTGTTTGTAGTGTCGGGGGATTAGTATAGTATTGTGCGACATGTACGTCTGGCCTTGACTATCCATTCTACGCATAAACCAGGCCTATGCTCCTTGTCCCAGACCCCTATCATCCAACCATTGCTCCCAAACGCCATGCCATGCTTAAAATACGCCTAGTCAACATCCAACCAGACAAATGAAACGCCAGAAACACACTCCCCTACGCCACTCCATTGCGGTATACTCCTTCCCATTTCTGCTCCACGTCCCCTACTTTTGTCTTCAACTGCTGGATCTCCTGGTCCAACTCGTCAACATTGCGTGACAAGGCGCCGACTTCTTCGAATCGTCGCGCTCCCGAGGCAGAACGAATCATCTCCTCAACCATGAATTTTTGCTCCTCCAGGATGGCTAATCGCTCCTTTAGGTCCTTCTCTTCTGTTTCTAATTGGCTGACAATGGTGCTACTCTCACTGGCTGCTTGAGATCCGGCGTCTGAAGCGAGTTCCGAATGCCGCAAGCTCGAGGTAGATTGCGACGGCGTTGCGAGAAAACGAGAAGACTGTGACGGCGTAGAGCGATGTCGCAACACCTGTGGCAAGCTCTTCAGCGGCAACATGTTTGTGTGTAGGAAATTATTCGTTTGTGAGTATACGGCTTGTTGTAACATTTGCTGCGTCGGGCTGTCTGTTTTCAAATCCCGTAATCTCTTTGCTGCCATCCCATACTTGCCGAAACTATCAATCAACCTTCTACGAATCTTGCCGGCTTCTTGAATTTGCGCATGACTCGGTGGAGGTACGGATAGGTCCATCTCTCCGTTGGGCAGCGTTGGCGTTTGCAAAGCTTGGAGAGCTCGGTGAAATGAAGGGAGCAATTGGCGAATACCTCGTTCAAATTGTCGCAGGGTTTCATATGCCTTTTGATCTGGAGGCTTGTGCAGTAGCGACTCGGTGAAGTCACGGCCGGAGAAAATGGTATGGTTGCATTCACGGCACATGCGTATATTGAGTGCGAGGCTATTCTCTCCATTTGTCTCGGGCTTCTCGGTTCCATTTCTGGGCGGCGCTGCAAGTCGGTCAGTTCATCATCTCAAAATTCTAATTTTAACCATTCTTACCAGGGGCAACATTGAGGCTGACTTCCGAGGAGCACCCAGTTTGACTGTCCGCACAGACAACCCGCCCACATATTCGACAATGATGTCGTCTAAACGTCCACGAGCCAAACTCTTGTTGACAAAATGGACATTTTGACACCTTTTCATCGTCCTCCCAGGTGACAAGAGATTGCTCTATGAGTTTTCGATTATTTTTCTGTCCAGTAAGGGTCGATACAGGGGAAAGCAATGATCCATTGTGCGACGGCAGCTTCTCGGGTGGGTTGGCTAATATCCTCGTCAACTTAGACAACCGTTTCTCCAGTCTTGAAACGTCCAGTTTTTGTCGCTCCATCTTTTTCATTCTAATCTCAACAAACGTTTTCATGTGATCTACTAGCACTCCATTGTGGTCGTTGTACCCCTCCCTAGATTTATAGCATGTCTCGCAGACTCTTGCCCAGTATCCTCGTACGGGTTCGTGGTTCGCGCTTCTGCTAAGTTTCATTTGGTACATTGTATGTTCTTCGCAGAATAGTCGCCCGCAGTGCCTACAGTTAATATTGCCATTCATAGGGCCCAGCCTCTTGCCGCACGCAGGGTCTGTACATAAATCATGGCTCGTCGGCCGTTGCCAGTGGTTTCGAGTGATGAGATCGTCGGGGTCTATAGGTGTCTCAAGTGGTGCTTTTCCTGCGGCCGTCGCCGGGGCAGAAATAGGGTGCGATTCGTTTGACTCGAAAACTTCCAGCCCACGTAGCTTCTGGTTTATCAGAGATAATGGCTGGAAACGCTTGGCTTTGAGGACCTGCTTATCAAACCATGTTTTGACCTCATCCTGCGCTGCTTCTGGTAGTTCCTGGTGGCTATCGTCGATATGTCGGTTGAGCTGGAGTAAGGTGACCTATTATGCAGACTTAGAGATGCTGTTATAGAGTCGATGCTCGACCGGTGATGCGTACCATTTCTTCGTTACATATTGGGCAAACCAGGCCAGTAGCGTCGGTTGCATTTTTCTTCCTCTGGGATCCGACGCTTATGCTAGCACCGATGTCCTGACCGAGCTCGGGTAAGCTCGCACTAGCTGGCGGTGACATTGATATTGAGCCCATAGACGCGGTGCTCTCGGACGGAGGAAGCGGGCTCGCGGATCTGGGAACTGATGGGGGAGTCGGAGGTGCCAGACCCTTGCCGCTGCCGAGAATACGGCCGCCTCCAAGTTTACGTCCAGACATGGCTGCAGAAGGACGAGGCTTGCTTGGTATTGAAGCTGGAAGACGGGCCACGGTCAAGGCCAAGGGAGACAAAAAGCAAAGCAACTCGAAACGACGAGACGACCAGGCGCGGTCGAGCTACGTGCCTCGAGCTGCGCTGACGTGTGCGGGAGCATGCAAGGCTGCAGAATGGTGAAGACGGAATAGAGCCAAGCCAGGGTTTAGGGAATAGAAGCAGTAAGATGAGGCAAGCAAGGAAGCGAAGTTGGATGTGGCGATGATGCGACTCGTTTGATGATCGTCCTTTGTCAATCAACGGGCCCCCGCCGCCTTGCCGAGTACCAGCTGGTAGGTAGCCAGCGTCCCAGACTACATCCGGCCCACATGCAGCATCTCCCACGAGGCCCACAAGCACAATCGCTGGCGGCTAGAGAGGGGCCCCACAGCGGACACTCGTGCACCTGGCAGTTCCATGTTACCCACTCAAGCACTTGAGCACCTCCATGTCCGGTTCGCAATATTGAACTGATAATGATAAGGTCGTCAAGTGGCAGCTCCAGTCCCGTCAACTGGCCCAGCTTACCAGCCAGCTATGTACTTTCAATGAGCCAGCCAAGCTTAGCGCTTCCACCCGATCATCGGCATCTCGACCCAACCTTTTTTTTGTCCTACACTCCCGTCCATCTTCTCCAGCTCACATTTTTCGGTCGCGCCATGGCTAGGAAATTTCCAGAGGTGCAGCCAGGAGGGAGTCTCATATTGGCCTGGCAGATCAAGGACAAGAGGGTACTTGTCGTCGGCGGCGGCGAGGTAAGCCACACGAAACTCCAATGCTATGAGACTGTCGCAAATGCAACGCCGCTCGATGCCATGGAATAATACCCCGGCGCTCAGCTGCTAACAAGAATTTGCAACCCAGGTAGCTGCGGGCCGTATCCTCAACTGTCTCAATGCCGATGCCAGTGTCACCGTCGTCTGTCCTGCCTCGGGCCTCAATGCCGAGGTAGCTTTCCGCGTTGCCCAGAAGCAAGTTACACACGTCGACCGAGTATTCGAGCCTTCAGATTTGGAAGGTGCCGAAATGGTCCTTGTGGCCATTGACGATCCCGTCGCCTCTACCGTTATATGGAAGCTGTGCAAGGAGAAGAAAATTCCTGCCAATATCGCCGACGTGCCCCCTGAGTGCGACTTCTACTTTGGCAGCGTACACCGCGATGGTCCGCTTCAGATCATGGTGAGCACCAATGGCAAGGGTCCCAGACTTGCAGCTTCTATCCGGCGGTTTATTGCTGGCAAGTTGCCGAGGAACGCGGGTAATGCTGTCGAGTCAATTGGTCTGCTTCGGACAAAGCTGCGCAAGGTTGCACCAAATGCGGAGGATGGTCCAAAGAGAATGCGATGGTGCGTCTGCATGCGTTCAAAGACTACGAGTCATTTCCCAAGTTTAATCAGCTAACTCGATGCTATTGCAGGATGTCTAAGGTTAGCGATACCTACAAGTGGGATGAAATGTGCAGTCTCACTGTAGAAGACATGGATAACCTGCTGCTCTTCTACCCGGCTGACAAGGTCCCTTCCATGGATATTTTGCTGGCCCTCAGAGGTGGGAATGATGTGAGAAAGCTCGATGTGTTTGACGGTTCTTTTGGATTTAGCGTGGGAGCATAAAGTGCTGGTTCACTAGCGTTTTGCAGCATTTGATTCACCGTCTTTGGGAAGCTATTTTGCGACAGGCTAGGATCGGAAATCCAGATTGCATGGAGCTATGTAAATTTAATTTATTTACTTATTTTGTTGAAAACATAAATCTGGTTTTAAAATATGAGAGCTCTTGTTGGTGATGTATTTTATGCGCCGGATTTTAGTCGTTTGCTCGCTTGGCCGACCTGAGAACTATCCCCTTCCATAAGTAAAGGCATTAAAGTCGTGGGGTGTATGTGTGTGTGTTTTGCTGAATACTACCTTTGACCGCTCTTCTAAGGCTTTCTTTTTTCTTTTCTCCTTTTCTTTTCTTTTTTGGCAAATTCGATATTAGGCAGTGTACGCAGGGATTAACAAAAGCAAAGATTGATGTGTTGGTGGAGAACTGAACGTCGTTGTGACCTGGGCGATTCTGAAGGATATTCTGAAGCTATCTAGTCCGTACTCAGTACCAGGAATACAAAAGAACAGAAAGTTAAAATTCAAACTTGAAAACTTTACAAAGTTTCAAGAAATGAGTTTCCTTAATCCTTTCCTTCATCGGGATCAACATCATTGCGATTTTTATGTATGTAACCATCTGATAGTTGTTCATGGAAGGGTAAATAGTTTCAATTGCCCCAAGCAAAACCTTAGTCAGCAAAATTATTGCGCGCTCATAGAACACCAACAAGACGGCTTCAACCCGCCCAACAGCAAAGCTCGCCGCATCCAGGTTTTCACTTCTTTCTTCAAGGCTTCACGTGATATATATCGCCCTGTCTGTTACGAACCATTTTACAAGACATAGTCGTCCTAGAAAGAGTGCGACGCGTCAGCCTCACGCGACACCAAGCTTTTGCATTGTGACAGCCGCAAAGACACGATGCCGCCGAGATCTGGGCGTTCTCGTAATGATTTGGCAGACGACGACAGTGACGCCGCAGAAGAAGTCTTGCCTCCATTTTTCAACACCACCTTCTCCACGCACCGCGTGTCTCCCTTATACGTGGGACGACAGGAACTAACGTCATCACGGCTGGAGCAGCTGGCTCATCGCCTTCGGGATACACTAGTAGGAGATGTTGTACGAGGTATTCAAATTGGTCTCGAGTCGACAGACACGCCAGCTGGGCAAGTTGGCTCGCTTAGGTCGGTCAAGATTCGCTGGTTTCATGCACAGAGATTACTGGATCGGGACCTCTTCTACACAGAACAAGATGGAGGCTCTGGGCTCACCGACACAGTGATGCGTCAATGGAACCGACTACAGGAGACATACAAAAGAGGCCTCTGGATTGAAATACGACATGAGAATGCGGCTTACATCGCACTGCTACTGCCGGGACACCCAGGCACTGTGAAGGATAGGAGATCAGGAACGCATGGCTTCACCATGCAGTCTGATGGCAACGCTCCCGATACGAAAGTCAACCAAGATCAATTCATCCATCTACCACTTCTCCTACTACGGATGCCGCAAGCTCTCAAAGGTGTAATTGGCGATTGGATATCAACCACATTTGACTGCCGAGTAAGCAAGCTGAACTTGGGTACACGAACGCTCGTCACAGTCTGGGAGGATTGGATCAAGACGGCAGGTTTGCCGGGAAAGGGCCCAGACTTTGCAATTTCGCTAGCATTTAACGCCCCGATAGCTAAGAAAGAGCCGTCTGGCCCGACAGAATCGGAGGATGAAAGTGACAACGACGGCATGTCATCGGATCCCGGACTCCGTGGCATGGACATTACCATCGCGCCGCAGGATCTACGCCGTTTTTTCCGCCGCGGTGAGCAATCAGGTGAAATGTACAGAAGCAGCAGCTCGGGCCCTTGGGAGAACGATATCAGGGAACGTCGACGGCTGGCTGGTGGCAACGCAGATGACGGCTGGGGTTGGCGGGCAAGCCAGGAACCAGATGAGCATCCATTCACCGAGGCACTCGCCCGTTATCTTGACCATCACCTCGCGCTCAACATGTTCCATCCCAGTGTGCGGGTTGTGCAGATTTCATGCGGTGGATTTATGCTTGCACAATCCCGCTTAAAGATCGTCAAAGTTGGTTCCGTGTCGGACGAACTTGCGCGAGCGGCATGGGTCTTTGTCACACGACTGGGCGAACGACTCCGTGCAGACCATCTGGTTGATCTCGGCTTATGAGGGAGCGCCCCGACTTGGGAAGGTCCCGAGGGTTCCAAAGGTTCTAACAACACGACAATACCAAATCTCCAGAGCGCTAGGCGCATTACGAACTACTTGCATACATGACACCACGAGGTGCTATTACAGTACTCTCAAGCCCCGCCGACATCGGCGACGCTGCATGTTCGCGCATGGCTGCCCAGCAGGCCCCCGCAAAGCCTCGTTTGTGAGACATGCGCCAACCCATCATGCAAGTGGCCCGCCAGAAGGGTAAGGTTTATTGTTATTATCTCACGATGGTGCCTTTTGGCTATTTTCGACAAGATCAGGTGGCCATTTCACCTGTTTCCGGACACGCAGCCCACCGTTCGATGGCTCTCCTCTAGCGGTCTGGACGGATGGGCCGGGATCAATCAGAGGAACTGGCGTAATCGGCGCGCAATTGTCTTTCTAGCTTATTAGTAACAGCGCTATAAGGGGAAAACTTTGACTAAGAAGTTGTCCGCTATAGGGAGAATCGCAACGGTAAACCCACTTTTGCCCGTACAAACACTTCGCGACATTCGTCAGAATCATCACCGGCATGTATCGGCATCCAGCGGGCCTTGTGGGAGGGAGGTGGTTGCGAACCCCGCCACTGGCACAGGCAGAGTTTTGAAGTCTGGCAGCCAGTCGAGGCCCCGTGTCTGATGGCTGTGTTCCTGGATTCTCAACTACTTGGAATGTTGATTCCACCTTCGCCGTCTTTCCACTGGAACCTCGTTGTAGGCGAAAACGTTCAAGTCCGAGGACCTCGCAAAGACACCCGGCATACCAGGTTGTCTATAGGTCATCGAGCGTTGCTGGTTTAGAGATATTAAGAAAAACAGAAAGGACCCAACGTTTATGTACCCCGACCTGCCACTCATCGTTTATTACCAACAAGAAAAATGCCTGACACAGGATACACCGCCAAAGAGAAGTATAGCTTCTTGGATGATTACAGTGAAGGAGCTCACCCACAGCTTCTGGAGGCACTCATTACCAGCAATCATACGCAGGAAACCGGTTATGGTAACGACAGATACTCTGCTGAGGCGAAGCAAAACATTCGCGCCCATCTAGGCCGCGATGATGTTGGTGTGTTCTTTGTTCCTAGTGGTACATCGGCGAATGCCATCTCCATTGCCGCGTGCCTTCGACCGCACGAAGCTGTCATCGCTGCCAGCTCTGGTCACATTGTTACGAGAGAGACTGGAGCTGTGGAGGCGAGCGGCCACAAGATCATCAATGTTCCTCCCACGAATGGCAAGTTGACACCCGAGACCATCACCAAGGCTTTGGACGACAATTGGCACTTCCCGCACATGGCCAAGCCCCGGCTGGTTTATATTTCAAACGCTACTGAAGTTGGCACGGTCTACTCCAAGGAGGAATTGACGGCAATCAAGACGCTTTGCGAATTGAAGGGACTCTTGCTGTTCATGGACGGTGCCCGCATTGGCGCCGCGCTCACCTCGACAAAAAATGACATGACTCTTGCCGACATTCTTGAGCTAACCGACATCTTCTGGATCGGGGGCACCAAGAACGGCGCACTGCTTGGCGAGGCCGTGATTGTCAAGCACCCCGTTCTCGCGCAAGATTTCGAGTTCTACATCAAGCAGCACGGGTCCCTTCTGGCCAAGAGCCGCATCATGGGCGTTGAGTTTGCGGAGCTCTTCCGAGATAACTTGTACTATGACCTTGCGCGGCGGGCAAACAGCGCAGCGGAGAAGCTGTCGCGGACCATTGTCGGAGCCGGCTACGTGCTGCGTGCAGAGACGGAGACCAACCAGGTGTTTGCCATTCTCCCGACGGATCTTGTGCAGGAGCTCCAGAAGAACTTTACTTTCTACGTCTGGGAAAAGTGTGGAGAGGATTGGGCCGTGGTACGGCTTCTCACCACCTGGGCCACGGACATTGGGCAGCTGGAGAAGTTCAACCAGACGGTATTGAGCTGGGCTCAGTAATGACGATTCCTACCCACAGCGTTGACGCCTACATTTGCAACTGATGACGACTACAAGGAGCAGGGTGACCAGAGGGAAAGGGGGGCTCCACCTGATGAGACGATGATGACATTTTCCCCAATAGATTAATACAGTTACGCTTTTCTTTTGCATCGTCTTTTTCTACTTTTGCACCCATTTGATAATGATATCGTTGGGCGGGGGGGGACTTGACCGGTGCTGTTGGAAGTGTGGAACAATGGGTTCGAATGCAAGCCTCCAAAAATACACTGGCACGCTGTTTGGCTCGACGCAAAGATTCCAGAGGCAAATGAGACTCGCATAGCTCAGCCATCGGCTCTGGCAAAGCATCCCATTCGCCAGCATTGTTGTAGAAGCACCATCGCGGTGTCTGACGGTCTGTCTGCCTTTTTGCCTGCCCACTTTTCCCGTCAACCCGTCCCATCCGCTGCAGCCTGTCACTCGTTATCGCCCTCTGCAAACGGAGCAATTGAGTCAATTCTTCATGGCAAACCCAGCCAACGGCCATGGAGCCTGCCGCGGAACCCGGGAACGTGGCAACGGGCATCTTGTCCCCATTCCAGAAAAGCTAGCTCCGTGTCAGCTTATTTCATACAGGCCTGGGATGACCAACACTCTCATTCCATTGATTGCCGTAGGGTCAAGTCTTTGTGGGTGAGACGACGAGGAGCACGGGGGACCTCGTGGCGTCAAGGCCCAATGATGTCGGGCGGCCAGGACAACAGGCGGCGGCTGGGCATGGCCAAGCCGTACGTGCTGGTCCAATGACCCGTAATACTAGATATCTGTTGATTCTTAATTTTAATAATAACATGTTAAATTCAACCACTGTTCTCGACGGCCAGCATCCAGCAACCGAAATGACGGCAAGCCCAGCTTCATACGAATCCGTAGCCTCGAGCTAGCCAAACCATCGTCTGGCCGGCTCAGGCCATTACACGTTCATACTCAACAATTACACCATCTGCTCCCCCCAGATTCCCTCTCAAGTCCTGTACGAGATTAGCAATTCCCCCTGCGACGCGGACACCACCGTCTACGGTGTCCAAAAGGTGCGATACCGCCTAGATGCCTACATTCAATGGAAGGTGAAAACGGCGTGGTGACTGCGCTGGAAAGAAGGCTAAGGAGGAACGAGGATAGGACCGTGGACGTGTTGCCGAGGTTGGGTATGATAGTGACGCTTGAGGAGAAGAATTTGGATTTGCTGGTGACTTTTTGGGCAGCGAGGCTGTGGAAGGAGGCCAAAGGGGACTTGAAGAGGCCTATTAAGTGGGAAGACTGTAAGTGAATCCTTTGCATTTCGGGCATTTCGGGCATTTCAGGCATTGCTGATGGGTCATGTAGTTAAGCGGATTGCGAGCGGAAAGACACACATGTTGAGCGTCGGTGCTCTGGGACTCGCTGGTGCACCGGCTGCCTTCTGATTATCGCAGTGAATCAGGTCTGATTTAGGATTCAGGAGGTGAAGGGGACTTGGTGATGGACGACTGCACACCATGCTGGGCAAGTTTATGAGAGTATGCCTGTTTCGTTTTCACGCATTCCAACTTTTCAATATCAATATATGCAACCATGTGTGGATAGCACTTTTGCATACTCGTGCACGGTTCAAACCCGTCAAATTCGCAAGCCGGACAATGGAAGAACCCTGGATGAGCAGCTGTCACTTCGAGGTTTTCTTCAGCGTTGTTTTTAAATCGAGTAAGTATTGTTTATAATCTTCTTCATGATACTACTTGCTGCTACAGGGTTAGGAAAGGGGGGGTTGGATTATGAGCTGTTAATGTGGAATGTCCTAATGTTGGGTAGCAAAAGACCTTGATGTAAAGGTGTAGCACTCGGACTACATGTCGTATCCTGGGTTTATCGTATCCACCATTGGATACAGGTTTGGCATTAAAAATTAGTAGACTGCCTGTTTCACTCACGTAGAACCTCGAAATTCAGGATCGGAGCGTCACTAATTGACCATGGGCTCTCGACAGGACGGAGACTGTTGGCTCGACCTTTACTCCCCTGCTCATTTGCACGAGCTGACGCAGCTGAGGCTGGAGACAGCCGCTGTTTGGTAACAAATTTTCTAGAAGCATCATATCATTAGAAGAGATGGGTCCAGCGTCGGAGTCGTGCGAATATCAGCTGGGATGGCGACTGGCTCCAAGTAGGGCGGCGGATGGGAAACGCAGCCCGTCGTTACCCCGTACTGATGCAGTGAGGCCAGAAGCAGGACGTCCACCCGTATTGGGCGATAATAAACAGTGGCTTGTACGGAGTAGATAATTGCGCGCTGGTCAGCAAAGTGCACCAGTCACTCGGATAGTCGGCACGTCGAATGCTGCATCACATGACAGTAAATCCGCCAAGTTACAAAACGATACAGTAATAGAGGCGTGATGGGATACGCTGGCTGCTTGGGCATCATATCGAAAAGCCGAGGGTACGTCTGCGGAAACATTCGGGACCAGGAACCGGAAACAGTTTGTGGAGGAGGTTCTGTCTATCCTTTGTGCGATGCGATTCTGTCGACAGACGCATGGACGTGACGACTCCAAGCGTACCGACCAGTATGTCTGTGGGGGGCGAAGAGCTGGGTTGCTCCGGCAGTGACTCGGCGAGAGTGGTACTCATCGGGGTACTTAAGTATGTTGGCACGGCCAGACGTGCCAAAATCATAAATAATATACCGAATTTCGAGGTGCCATGTTCCTCGAGATGCCTTGTGCGGGATGAGGACTTAAGTGCTTTGAATGCATACATGCATGTGGATTCGGCACCAGGACGACGTCGGGACATTTGGGCCAGACCGGAGTCACTGCCAACTGGACCCTTCCAAGTCGGTTGAATATGGCAACTTGGGGTCTGACACCTGCGGGAGCTCCTTCCCCACCAACGTGCCAGTTGAAGCCACAGATTTACCTGCAGATGTCCGTTTCAACTTGGACCAGATAAGTCCGCATGTCTGAGCTGCATTCAATCTTTGGCCGCGCCCAGCCAACTTCAAAGGAACTCGCCTGAGTTTAGAACCTCGGAGGCCTCTCATATTCTCCTCTCCTATACCCTGTCCGTATCCCGCATCCAGAGCGGGGAATCCGAGGCAGTAGCTTGCCGTTCTGACATCCCAGACTTCCGGCGCTGGCGTTGGCCATTTCCTTGATTTACGTTTTGGTATATCCAACCTTGGAGCGAGATCGCGGCGCAACCTACCCTAATTCTACATTATTCGAGGGCCCCTGAAGTGTTGACTGACCTCTGCCCTAGCCGTCGTGGACTTCGCGTCGATCATTGTGCGACTGGGTCAATGAGCCAAATAAGCACACGGGTCAAGTCGATGATCTGCACCTCAGACAATTATTTCCGCTGCAAGTCCGGATCCTGCAAGCTCCCCCTTCCAGCTCCAGTCCTCCCACTTGTCCGTTCAGGTGTTTGGTCAGCCCGTCCCAACATCCCCCAGCTGCAGGACTCTAGCGCAATCGTTGGTGGTCACAATTGGGCTGCTGGCTTACTAGACTCCGGGCACTAATATTATATCCGACAAGGAAAAAGAAGGCTTGCTGGGACTCCGACAATAGGTTGCGACAGCAGGTGGACGGACCATATGTGCACACTCGTGAGAGATTCTTGCTCCGCTGGCAGACTTAAACCTCATCACAGACTCGGTGTCTAATGCATGGACGACCAAGGTTCAATTTCGCTCCCGTTCTGACTATCCCGGCCTCCTTTTGGGGCTAGGTATCCCTTTGGCTTCTCGCGCCGACTCACTTCGCCTCACCTACTTACGCAAGCTACGCTATATATCGGTCGGCGTCAGCACCGAGCCACTCCTGAGTCCTTGGTTCTTGGCCTCGCAGCGCTTTGGTCAAGCTCGGTACTGAGGACTCCGTATCTAGCAGGTGTTTGCGACACAGCCGCTTTCCATTGACTGTGGCATTGTGACATCTGGACCCCCCCCGGCTCGAGCCGTGCTATGACAGTTAGCTACCATCCGATCATTTTGCTTGGCGCAATTTTGCTGCATTGCCGTGGCCCGGTTGCTTGGCATCTACCAACTACTCGCCATTCTCGAATGCTGGATACGCTTTGGCGATTCTACCTCCTCTGACGTATTTTATTTTGGGGAATTGCAAACTTGCTTGGAAGAAGCAGAAAGAGGCAATACACTCACAGGTACGTGGGGAGTAACTTGCAATTTGATACCTTTGAATCATTGCACATCAATGCCGATCCGGTCGACTGGTGCACTTGAAGGCTGAGGCCCATGCCAAGCCTCGGAACCCATGCATGGCTTCAGCCATGATATACGCACTCAGTTGAGCCACGATTGATTGAAGGCTGCACTGATGGACCGTCGTGGTAAATATCTAACCTTCAACTATATCAAGCTCTGTTCATTGAATAGAGCTGTCCGCTTGCCAATTTTGGACAATCCAGGGGAGTCTGGTTTTCCAGCATTATTGCGAGACCCCTCTCACTGTAGTCCTTCCTGCTTTTATATTCCTTAGTCCTTCACAGCCTGGGCACTAAAACTTTGTCTTTGCACAGATTACGCACGTTGAAGATTTTCTCTACAACACGCCGAGTCTGGTTGGTTGACTGCCTGGAACTTAGTCCTCTTTTCCGTGCTACCCAGTTTCCCAGTCAATACTCACGTTGGGTGGCGACCTGTATTGCTCGATTAAGGCGACCTCGAGAATTGCGCCGCCGTACCAGTTCCTAGTTTCCACATTCCATGAAGGTCATTGTAACTGGGCCCACCGGCCGGGCTGGCCAGGAAGTTGTTAAGAAGTGCCTCGAAGACGAGCGCATCACCAAAGTTGTGATTCTTACCAGGAGAGGACTGCCTGGAGAAATCGAAAGTCACCCAAAAGCGGATGTCATAATGCATCAGGATTTCACGCAATATTCCGACTACTTGATTCGCAGAATGCAAGGTTCAGAAGCTTGCATATGGTACGTTGAACGCATGAACTCGGGAGACCATCTCCTCTCCCAGTCTTGCGATATACGTGGCATAGTTCACAATATAACTAACAAACCCCCCTGTTCTAGGGCAATTGGCGCCCGTCAAGAGCAGGCGAAAACTGATAAGTTCATTGAACGCAGGGTTGGGGTTGATCTTCCTATTGCTTCAGCGAAGATTTTGTGTGAGAAACTCGCTGATAAGACGCCCGGAGGAGTCAAGTTTCGTTTCGTTTACTGCAGCCCGAAGCATACGGAGAAGAGCAAGAAAACCTTGATGTTTGCAAATGACAAGCGAAAACTGGCAAACGATTTGGAAAAAGGAATAGCCGAAATCGTTAATTCTTACAAGGGCAAATTCGAAGCATACACTCTCCGGCCTGCCAACTTCAGAATGCCAGACACTCCCCCGCCGACATTAGCGCCGTCATCGAAGAAACTCGTTCCAGGGCTAGGGCAAAGTGCTGCTGCGTCAATAGATCCGGAGAAAGTGGGCAAGGCTATGGTAATGATCGCGTGTGATGGATGGAAAGAGAAGGTGATTGAAAACGAAACCATTTTGAAGAACTGGTGCTGAGGGACATATTGATCTTCCAAGTTACCTGACTTGGCTCGCCAACCTGTACACCTAGAAGGAGCATGTAAGACTGTGCGCCTCTTTCCCGAATAGTTCTGATTCAGGGTGCATGCGATGCAAGCGCTTGGCGTATGAGAGGGCATTTTTGATATGGCGTTAAAAGGTTGGATGCAGGTCAGGGATTGGCGGCATTGAAACGGCTATTTAAACCAGCATCCCCAAACGCTTTATACGGATAAGCATTGTGCTAATTTTTATACGCCTCACTTTTATGTTCCAAAATCCGATACCCATCGTTTCATGGAATCCACGACTTTTTGCATCATCGTCGCTTCCCGTTCGGCCTCAGCACATTCTGTCTTACACTAGAGGCCGCTTCTTTCCCAGAAAAAGTTGGTATTCTATGAGAAGCCTTCATCATCCTCGCCACTGGTGTCATTACCGTCTTGTGTGGGCAGATGTAGCCTGCTATCGACACTCCCTTAATGCAGGACCGTAGAAAGCCATCACCGCCTTTCTCAATGATGAAATATTTCATCTTCGATAGACATTATGATACTGGACATGCTTTGGAGCGGCTACCACCCCCCCTCGAAGATGGCGGGTGGGCGACGGGGCCTTGCGTTTGCAGAGCGCTACAGAGTTCATGGAATTCGGAGCATTCTGTGCCGTCCAACCGAGTTGTCAGGCCGCAGAAGCTCCGTATTCCTTGTCTTCTTAATGTATATTTGGATGGTGGGAGATGCTAGGAAAAGCGGTTGCGTTCTATTTCGATTAGGAGGCGCTCTATTCGGAGACGGCTTCTTCATGCCGTCGCCTTTAACGCAGCCGCAGCCTGGTGCTGCTGTGCAGGACAATGTTGTGTTTGACGAGAATTGCTGAGAGCTAACTTCTCCGGGTGCATTAGGAGAAGCTTTAAAGTGCATTGTTCTTCTCGACAGCGATCCAGGCGCGAGTATGGTGTTGATGCTAGTATCACGAAAGCTCGCCGACGCAACTTACCCTTACGCCACGCATGCACAACCTACCACTAACTTGACTACTTTTTTTCGTGAAGACATATATAAATACCTGAGCTGTTTCGTTCATATTCTCCTTTGGGATACTCATATCGTGCTTGTAATTTCACTTGACTACAGAGCGAAACAATTCACACGTTGATATTCTCCTTTGTCATCTGAAAAATCATCTGTTATCCAGTTCATTATACGAGAGCAACTCTATCCAAGACGACAGTGCAACTACGCCGGCAAGAAGCAACCGTGCAAAATCAAGAACTGCTTTTCCACGATGGCGCTCGAAACCGTCAGCGATCTGAAGAATACTTCAGAAACCATCTTCTTCGCCATCATCCTCGTCATTGTGAGCCTCTTTGCGCTCGGCATCGTCTTGACCATACTCGGATGCATCACGTCGGCCATCACGGGGGGCCTCCAGAAGCGAAGGGCCCGCAAACAGAATCAAACTATTCCTCTGCAAGAGATGACTCCGCAGAACGAACCTGCGGGCAATGGCGGCGAAGCGAGTGGTGACAGCAGCGTTGCTGATAGCAATCATACGCCTCCGCCTGGGTACAGCATATGGCGTGATGAGGAGGAGGCGGCGGGCGGCGTGGGCGACAGGAACGGGCCGACTTTGGCGATTAGGACGCCTCCTGGTTGCTATCGCAGGCAATGAGCCTAGACCTGATGGTGGATTAACTCGGGGACTCTTTTGGGGGGGGATTCAAACTTGAGGCTTTTGCGATGAGTGTGTTTGGGCGGACAGAGGCGTGAGGCGGGCTTGGAGCCTCGGGCATGGCGTTTTCACTAGCATCAGTGCTGAAGTTTTCTGTTAAAAGTGCATTGACGGAACAGAATAAAGTTTGTTGAAGCGATTGAACCATAATTGTGTGACATGGCCTATTTCTGTAGCGTCTTGTCGCTTTGCTTGCTTGCTTGCTTGCTTGCTTGACGGCCTGACGGACGGCGACGAAGCGGCAGACTCGTGTGATGCCACGCACTTACGTGGTCGGACAGTATGTTTTCCTTGGAATGTCAAGACTGAAAGTCGCATGCTCAATTTTTGCTTTAAATTCTTTGGGGAAATGGCGCATTCGACACCCGCTCGATGCGTGAGACTTGGCTGAGGTTGTCCGGTATGATTTTACGATTATCCGGCAGCCTGTCAGCAATAGCCAGGGCCCAGCAGCATGCATGGATGCCCAGATGTTGCAGAAACAAGCCCGCAATGGTCTGATTCTCTCTAGGTTGAGAAAAGTTGCGAAACTACGCACCCGCTTGGAAATGGGATGAGCAGTGCCGCATCGTCGAGTTTGCAACCGGAAGCATAGAGGTCAGCAACTAGGTACGGTGTGCATGGCATGGAGTCCATGGACGAGAGTGACGACTCACGAGACCTTTTTGGATGGCGCTGGTCGGTTGCTCTTTTGCCGCACAGCCATCCACTCGTCGAAGAGTACTTCCCTTTTCCAGCAAGCCTCTCTTTACTCGATTCCCGGCGAAACTTGCCTCCGCCAAATCTCACTGGCGCAACAATTAGAGTTGGGTTTTGTTCCATACGCAAAGCGACGAGGCCCCGGCGAGGCCAATCTTGATGCGACGCCTCTCGCCCAAGATTTCTTCGCTTCGGAGCGAGCCAGACAGCCACCACCAGATCGGTCGCTAGGAAAGCCTCGAAGCCCGGGGCCAGCGTCTGATGCGAATCCAACAAAGAGACGGGACCTCTTGTCATTGGTTTGCCGTATCCACCTACGTCTTACATCTCCATCTAGATTCTACCGAGCATGGAGTACAAGCTGTCAATCGGCGGCTGTGGCCGCATCCCTGCGCCCCAGATGCAACCAGGGCCAGAACCGCGGACGGTATTTTCCACCAGTTAGCACTGATGCAGCTCTTTTGTCACGATGCGATGCTTCGATGGCCTGGACCTGGCGACGTCCCGTGTGGATGAGCCACGGCAAGCTCGCCCCAGGGCCCCGATTTTGGCGACATTCTTGGCCGGTGTCGACAGATGCCATCATGTGAAGAAGTAAGCCCGTTGAAAAATCTATCCGAGTCTTGACTCTTTGCTAGTCCGCCGGAAGCATTGCTATCTCGGGGTCAACCACCCGTAGAATATAAAAACCAGGTCTCGCCGTGCAACATGGTAGATGACTCCAGACAGCTTCAGAAAACACTCATAGCCCACAAGTAGCCAAGCAACCAACCCTTCCTATCACACAGAATGGTCATCAAGTCCTCCGTTGCCGTCTCCCTCTCGGCCCTGGCTGCCGTGGCCGCAGCTCGCGATGTTCCCGCCAACGTCAAGAGCTTCTACAACAGCATCCGAGGCCAGGGACAATGCCGCAACGTTCTCGCCGGGGGCTTCCATAGCATAGACGGAGATTCAGGAAGTAAGTGACTCTGTTCGTAATAGGGCATTTATATCCGCTCCCTTCTTGGCAACCACACATACACACATACACACATACACACATACACACATAGACAGGAGCCCTGACATGAAGCCCATAGACTTTGACTACTGCGGCGACCACATCAGCGACTACAACGTCATCTACCTTCAGGGCAAAAACGGCCAGCTGGCCAATATGGACATTGACTGCGATGGCATCCAGCACGGCCCAGCCGACGACGGTCGCTGCGGCTCCTCGGGCGACACCCAGTCCGTCACGTCCTTTGCCGACACCCTCCGGGGCTACGGCACCGGCCAGCGCGATCTCGACGCCAATGCCCATCCGTACGTCGTCTTTGGCAACACGGGCAGCAGGAAGGGCTTTGCAAACTTTGACCCGAGGAAGTACGGCGTCGAGCCGCTGAGCGTCATGGCCGTCGTGTGCAACAACAAGCTGGTATGTAACATGTCCCTACTCACACTACACACAAGCCACAACGAGTGCCGGTTACTAAAAGAAAACCCTCCATCTCGCAGATCTACGGTGTCTGGGGCGACGAGAACGGCGACGACGGCTCCGAGTCCATGGTCGGCGAAGCCTCCATCTCCCTTGCCACGGCGTGCTTTGGCCGCGGCATCAACGGCAACTCGGGCCATGACGACAACGACGTCTTGTACATTGCCTTCCCGGGCAAGGACGCCGTCCCCGGGGCCAAGGGCGCCAAGTGGAATGCCCAGAACTACGACGAGTTTGAGAACAGCATCACCGGCTTGGGGAATAAGCTGATTCAGAGAATCGGCGGCGGCGGCGGCGGGAACCAGCCTCCTCCTACCGGATCTTGCTCCTGGGAGGGACACTGTGAAGGTGGGTGGCTTTCTTTGATGAATGTTGCTTTTTTCCTCCCTTCTTTTTTCCCCTTTCCCGTAGCTATCTGGTTGGAGATGACATCGTCACATCGCCAGTCACTCAAGCAGTGTACCACGTCCAGGAGAGAAATTCAAAGTCACTAATGGTCCGTTTAGGCGCTCCCTGCAAGTCTGAAAACGACTGCTCCGACGAGTTGGTCTGCAACGCTGGGAAATGCAGCAGCGCGGGTGGTTCGACTCCTCCTCCGCCGCCGTGTAGCTGGGAAGGGCACTGCCAGGGTAGGCGTCGTTGCGCATTCTCTCACCCAAAGTCCATTGTTCACGCTGTAGAACGCTAACGATTGAAACATTAGGTGCCTCTTGCCGTAACGAGAACGACTGTGCTGATTCTCTGGTCTGCCGTGGCGGTCGATGCTCGCAATAGATGGCTGTTGGCATCGCATCAGTAGTTCCAGGGCGACTCAAGACAAAAGAAGAGGGGGAAAAATGACATGCAGGGATAGTCGTTTAAACAAAGCACGGCACGACTGTAGATTGGGTAGACGCAGACTGTACATAATACAAATAAAGCAGGAGAGGACTAATGCCAGGTCCTCTTCACATGTATTGACTGAAGTATTTATTCGTTTCATCGTGGAACAACTCTATGAATCTCCTCCAACCATCCTGATGCGTCCCTCCAAAACCGGCGCAATAACTCTTGTCCAGTCGACGGCGCAGTCCCCGTCTTTCAGGGGCTCACAAACCTTGGACTTGACGCCCGCCTTCTTTGCCCACCTCGCCCAGAACTTTCTCAGCAACAAAATCTCCAAATCCATGTCTAGATCCTCATCCCCACCTTCTTCACTGCTGTCCTTGTGGTTTGCGTGGGGATCAAAATGGTCGTCATCGTCATCGTTCAAAGGTTCTTTGTGCAGGCCGACTCTTCGTCGTAGAAAACCCCTCCACGTTGCACCTGCTGCTTCGTCATCTGTCTTGGGTGGCTTGTGAAGACCCAGCATCTTCTCCGAGTCGTCGCGTGCGTGCGAGGGCGACAAGGGCACATTGGCTTGCTCTGCCACATCGACCCAGTGGTCTGAAATGCGTTTCCATTGCCCGATGGTCCGGAGGGCCATGAAGTATTGCCGGAGTATGGCGGATATGAGGATGCCGTTTTCTTCGTCCACGATTTCATGGGCACTACCGCCTTCGGAGGAGACGAGAAGGCTAGTGTAGCCATCTAATTTGAATTAGTGCGACTGCGTTGGAGTGCCCGTATGGAGGCGTATCTACTCACCTTTTCCTCTGCCCATGTATCCCCTTGTGACGAGGACATATACATCTTCTGGGTTGTAAGGCCGGCCGCCTATTTGCATGAAATTCAATCTCTTCCCAGGCTCCCTACTGGGATCGAATTCGAACACAATATTTGACACTTGGGGAAACCGACCCTCCAAGGCTGGGTATGTCGACACTCCATTCTCCAATGCATCCCAAATGGCCTGGCCCTTGACTCTCAGACACACAACCGGGTCTTCGAACGGGAAGCACGTCGTGATATCCTTGATACGCACTACGCCTGGGGGATACACCTGGTCTCCGCGAATAGTTCCCGATGCCATGATTGTGCAATCCGCGTTGTGGTATCGGCGCATGACGTCGCACACAAAATTGCCCAAATTAGATTCCTTGATTCGAACGGTGCTGAAGCGAGCATCCAGCGGCATGGCCGTCCACCCGATCGGTCTCGAGAGGGACTTTTGCAACTTGGACGTCAACTCGCCCACCAGCTTCGCCGTCTCCTCATGTTCCGGAACCTCCGATGTGATGTCCCGCCTCCAGACGTCGAAATCCCACCGCTTCGATCCATCCGTTTTCCTCCGGGCTTCAATGTAGCTGAGTTGCTTGAAATCCGTACCCGACCGCAGCACATGGGTGCCTTTGATGAAGCTGTGGCTGTAGTAATGATCATGACCACCGAGTATGATATCAATGAGGCCATCAGTCTGCTCCGCAAGCTTGTTATCATTTGGTTCCCGCATGTGGCTTAAACAAATGACAATTTCAGCGCCTTGTTCTCGCAACTTTGGAACCAGTTCCCTCGCCGTCGCAGACGCAGACTTGTAAACGAGATTAGGCGGCAGGCTATTAATCGTTGCCAGCCACTCCCGCTCGCCCAGGCCAATGAGGCCAACTTTTATACCGTTGGATGTGGTGAGCATGTGTGTTCTTTTGGCATTGCCAATGGGTACGTCCTCGCCGAGATCTGGGTCCAGGACGTTGGCAATGAGCCAGGGGAATGTGCATTTTCCTACTAGGTACTCAAATTGCTTGACGCCAAAGTCAAAGTCGTGATTCTGACAAGCGAGCCTGCGGTTAACCATGTCCAATCTTTGTGGGATGAAAGGGTTGGCGAAGCGTCAACTTACACCCACACATGCGCAGTCGGTTCCAATGGCATTCAGAACAGGAACCATGTGGCGTCCTTGGGAATAGTGAGCATTTGCACGGCATGCCTGCAAACGAGGCTATCAAAGAACTCACCCTTGGTCACGCTACTCTCCAGACTAGGGTTAAAAGCATCGCCGGAGAACAGGGTTAAGATCTTTGGCTGGTTCTCAAACTGTGTCCCTTCTTGATATTCCTTGCACAGCGTCATAAAGCGAGCGAGCCCTCCAACCGGTTCCGCGCTCGCCGCATCGACATGGTAGACATCGTTGTAGTGTAGCAGTCGCACGTCAGGGACATCTCGGATCTCTCGGTTGACGCGGCCAGAGGAATACGTCTCTTGGGGCTCTGCGCTGGGCGGCTTCTTCTTGTCCTGAGCCATGGCAACTCTACTACCTGAGTTTCCGGGGGAGAGGAGGGGAAAAGGTAGGACGAGGCCTACGTCACGCGCGTTGGTGTATCTGATGTATGTAAATTGAAATAGCGGCTGGACCAATGGTCAGAAACTCCCTCACGGTTCGCCTGGGATCGCGAAGTGGCGCAGGAGCATATTACTAGTGGATTCTAAAGTTATGGGGAAACGGCACAATGCAGGACAATGGAAGCTCGATTTCTCTGCCTCACGTGATGTGGAAATTGCTGATTTGTTTGCGGCTGCCCAACATTGATGAATTGGTCTCTTGGTGATTAGCCGGATACGGAAGGGACACACAAGTGTCCATACAAGACGGTATTTCCATGTTTAGAAGAGGATGCAGCATGGCGGCCCAAAGTCGTATGAGGAATGAGGAATTGTTAAAGGAGAGGCATCGAGTGGTTGGGCGCCACGGTTGCACGGCCACCTCGGTGTACATATGGTGGGGGGTGCATTAGTAGTGGGGGTTGTGGCCTATGCCCCGCACTTCACCTTGCTTTCTGTTGTTGTACGGCGTACATGTTCGGAGTATGCTCTCCAGCATCTACTAGTATTTATTTATTTACACATGTGCTGTTTCACAGGCAGAGTCCGGCGTCATCAGAATGGTCATAGGCTCAAGTCACTCCAGCCTTGACATTTTGAATAGATAGTGGCAGTGTCCAACAGAGGTTTAATTATATATGCCCACAACCAGCCTCGAACAGGTCAATTCCATCATCATTATGCCCTTGTATAAGACCATCTCCCACGCGTCCGACTAATAACAAACGTCGCATATTATAATGAACACGCCCGTTCTAAAGCCCCCTCAACGCAAAGGGAGAACCCCCTTGTAAATGCACCCATCAAACCCAAGGCCCACTCCATTGCATCCGCAGCATGTACTATTGTATCGATTTCTTATATACATGCGCCTCAAAGCGCTGCTTTTCCTCTCGACTCAAATGGCAATAACAAAACCAGTATGCCCGCAGCAATAAATAATGCGCCGCTTGTATACACCGGTGCGGCAGTCTGAAGATTTGCAAACATGGCAACAATCGGCTACCAGAAATAGAAATTAGCCAGATCCTCGCGCGTTTCCATTTTAAACTGCCAACCACTCCCCCGTTTGAAATGTGACTTACCGCCATGATACCGAAAACTCGGTTGCTAGTCGCCGTCAGAGCATTGCCCGTTCCTCGTTGGGGAGTAGGGAACACTTCGGGCGTGTAGCCGTACAGCACCGCGTACATGACATTGCTGCAAAAGTTGAATGCACAGTTCCAGCCAAGAAGGGCGGTGCTGTTCAACGCCGTGGTAGAGCAATATAAAAAGACGCCCGTCAGTGCCGTGAAGACTGAGAGCGTGCCCTTTCGTCCGATCCGGGGCAACTCCACCAGCACGCCTCCCAGAAGCGCTCCTGGGACACCAAGGGTGGAAATGATGAGACTGTTGCGATAGGTGATGTACGTGCTACCATCATCAAATTGTGCGCCTTTGCTGGCCTGAATGTAAGGTAGGAAGGCATTGTACAGAGGATATGCAAGTCCAATCAGCGCCCAGATGGCCATCATTATACTAGTGCTGAGAGCCATTCGCGTGGTAGCAAATAGGACCTTGACTTTCTTGGCATCGACCTTTTCAAGATGTCGCTTCACTGCTGCGGCTGCATCTGTCTGAGCGACATAGCCTTCCGGTTCACACGCCCTGAGGTCTTCGATAGTCAGGGTGATGGTTTTGCCGTTTCGCTTCGCTACCTCGTGGATGACACGAACAGCCTCCTCATCTCGTCCCTTGCCAATCAAATACTTTGGCGATTCGTGGATTGTGAAGAGCAAAAATCGGGCCAGGAACATGAGCAGGGTCAACCCCCCCATGGCAATGACAAAGTAACGCCAGCCCATGTTGTGACTGCGGAGACAGGGCTTCTCCTTCTCGTCGCACGTCAAGTTACCCAGCAGCGGCCACGCCACCAGGTTGGCGATGACCTGGGCCAGCGCCCAGTCCAATGACAGGATGGTGAGCAGATATTGGTGCGACTGTGGGAGGAACTCCAAGAAGATGGCCGAATCAACTGGCAGATTACCGCCAACACCAAACGACCACAGAGCAGCAAAGACGCCGGCGGCGGCAAAATTGGGAGCGCTGGCCGCAATCATTCCCCAGAAGGCCGTGAGACCCAGAGTCAGGTTGAAGCCCCATTTGCGGCCAAAGATGTCACACCCGAACCCCCAAAATACCGCCCCAGCCAGGAGACCGATGTTCTGCGCAAGCGTGAAGAGCGGCGGTCTCGATACGTTGAACTCGTTGGAGATGGCGGGCAGGATGAGTGAGGTGACGATTGGCCACAGATTGTCGCTTGCCCAGCCAAACCCGACGACGATGAAAAGCTGCCATTGGTACCATCCCATGCCAATATCACGAATCTGTATTTTGCATTGGAGGCGGAATATTAGCAAGACTTTGTTTTACCAGGTGAAATTGCACGGTGCATCGTGAAATGCGGAGCAGCGTCTCGGCTTCAATGAGAGGCTGATTCAACAAACTGGGAAACAACAAAGAACATGGATAATACGTACAGCGCGATTCAAAAGTCGGGCTTTGGCTTCGTAGACGGGATCCAAGGTTCCCTTGGGCACAATTGCAGCATCATCATCGCTGAGGTCGATGCTGCTGTTGTACTCGTCGTCGCGGCCGCGCGACCGCTCGTCTGCATCGGTGGCGCCGTAGCCCATGGTGAAGGATCGATCTTGAGAGGCAACGGCTCGCACTCTTTGGCCCTATGCGGAGGGGAAGGACGAGCGGGCGCGATGATGGGAAACTTGGAAAAGGGTTGGCAATGGACAAGTCAATGCGAAGCTCGCCTTTTGTACACGACGACGCAGACCGCGACATTTGTGCCCTTTGTAGCACCATGATCCATCACCATCAGCTCCATGCAAGCTTGCACTCTGGGTACAGCCCAAAGCTACCACCATGCAACCATAGCAAACACACAAAAGGCGTGGGAGGTGATGGCGCGATCAGGCCCTGGCTGCCATGATTGGCCTCTGATGTGCTGCGAAGCGGGTTCGGATGGCAAAGACGAACATCGGCGGCGCCACATGGCTGCTAACAGGATGCGTTATGTGGAGGACGCCTGGAGTTGATCCGCATTCGCCGTCATCGTGACAGCCTACAAGCCAATAGGGCTCCTGGCAGGCCAGAGATAATCTGGATTGATTCCTGATGCTTAATCTTGCCAGCACACACGGCCGTGAAGGAGTGGCGGAGGTTGACATGGAAGGCGGTTCATCAAGTACTCCGTACCTAGGTAGTCTTTCGGGCCGACAGAAACAATGGCCTGCCTCAGGCAAATGCTGCGCTCATCACTCACTCAGGGCCGGCATCAAAGACAAAGTCAACCCTTTTTTTTTATTCCTTCAATGTTTCTTTCCCAGCCATAACTCGGGAGTCACCACGAATAACGCCATCGATTTCCAAATGCCCCGGCAGCCAGTCGCGCTCAGTAACTAACCGTAAGCGACAGTTGAAGCTAGTAGCTGGGGAGCTAAGCTTGCCGGTGGGCGCATTCGATTGTCAGCTGGTAAGGTGCCATGGGTGGGCTGGAAAATGCGTGCAGCCAGGCACGTCATCAGGCAGCTTCATGATTCCATCACCAGCGGCACATGTGTTCAATGAGGACAGCCAAGGTTGGCTTGGATTACTTAACAAACACGCCCAGCAGCACACGCTTCGAAAGTCAACCGAGTTGCCGCAACGAGGGGGAATATAGGCAAAAAAGAAAAAAAAGACAAAAATCAAAAATAGAATTGCACAGCCCAAAAAGAACCCGGCAAGACGAGGAAAAGGAAAGAAACTCTCAGTAGACTAGTACTCGGTGCATTCTATCCCAAGGTTGGGGGTGGCGGTGTCGCATCTGTTTGCGGCCCAGATGGATGGGTTCGCGAGCCATGGCTTCTAGAAGCCAAAGCTGACGCCCATACGATGGAACACCCACGAGCTTTGGATGTATGGGCATCATGGCCAAAGATCAAAAGATCTGAGAGTACTCGTACGACTAAAAACACGCAGCCAACAGCGCACCGACGCCTATTAATTTCATCTCGTCAAGGCGGAGATTTTGTGATTGTGAGATTACGATGCGTCGCTCCACTCGTAGCCGAGGACGATCACTAACTACTTGGGTAAATTGCAAAGCACCTCGCTTTTCTGTGGCGAGCGGTAGGTATAAGTTGGTATTATCAGATGCTGCTTCCACCTTTCAACGTCGGCCCATCTGTCGGCATCATGAGATGACCATGATGGAGATGCCGCTCTCATGCAGACCCAGAATGTAGTAAATGGCTCCATGTCGGGGCTTTGCGAATCATGAGGCGCCGACAAGCTCGCCGCAGTCACAGTCACAGTCACATCACTCACCAGAGCCAGTCACACCGTTGGTCGGGTTTTGCCCAGCACCACAAGCGCCGGCTACTTTTGCATACAGTACAAGTACAATAAATACTGCGAAATGGCTACAGCAATTTGCGCCTGCCAGACATCCTGCGCAGAAAAATCGGAGTGCATTTTTTCTTATCGGGCGCAAGGTCTGGATGCTTGCGAATGTTTTGGACAAGTAAAGGGATGTTTGAAGAAGTAACAGGTGCGGCAGGGAATTCATCGACTCAGCTACAGTTCAGGACACAAGTATCACAACATTAGTAATTCGGCCACCCGGGCGGCGTTGAATGACTCCAAAGGGGGTCAAATACTTGCAACTTCCAACCCCACTCACTGTACGGGTACATGGAAAAATTAATTTTTGAAAGAGGCAGAGGTCATGTATTTACACACATGCCCCCGTCGCCATCACGCATGTTTATATCTTTTCTTTTGGCCGCGTCAACCGGCACCCCGGACACGTGGAGCCACAATTAGGCACCTTGAACTATTGAATTAGGTCCATGGTGCGCCGTATTAGTATTTATCTCACGTTCATATACTCCGTATACAAACACGCTACGGAGTACTCCGTACTTGAAGTAGATACTATCCTCCGAGTGGCTCGGGGGCTCTTGCCTTACGCAGCGGGCATGTCCAGATTGGGTCGTCTGAAACGCCCTGACCCCTGGCTTGCGTAGTTGCGTGGGCTCGAGCACTCCGAGCCTCGTCAAATCGTCAGCCCATCAGCCAGTCATCTTCAGCGTCACATCCCGCCTCCCCTTGCCCTTGCTCAGGTCGTCACATGCATCTCGCCCTACAGAACACCAGGTCGCACGCGGGCAAACGTATGACTTGGTCAACATCTTAACTTTGCAACTCGCGTCAACCTGACACATGTGCAACGCACAGGGGGGGGCCATCACCAGTTTTCTGTGACTGGTCTCAATCGTCTTCAACACTGAATGCTCCATTTCCACGTTCCACGTCCCTTCACTACGGACTCACGGAGTGCCTCGCGCCTTGAATCTTGGCTTCAATATTTGTCTTCCGCACAGCCTCACGAACAACAAAACAAAGGGTTGGTCCACCCGCTCAGGAGCCAAGAAGACCTCCCGGGCCACAATTCCAGCTGCACCGCCGTTCGTCTCATCAATCCGTTCCAAGCTCTTGCACACCACGTCTGTGGGTATGCGCCACCGCAGGCATAAAAAGATAGCGTCTCTCCACCTCTCGCCTCTCAAGCGGCCGCATGGTACGAGGGCTCATATGTACACCAAGGCCCCAGATTTTAGTTCACGGGGCGTGTGTTCCTTTTGGAAGGGGGTTCCTCTCTCTCGATGGCTCTCTCGCCCCCTTCTATTTTGTGGCTCTCGTATCGGCCGGGATATCACCAACAAGAAAAACATTCTCATACACTGGCATGACAGGTTCTTGTCTACCCGGGGCCATCTCTGCTTCATCGCCAGTCCTAACGGTTTCGTCAATGTCTCAATAGCGGACTTTGGCTGGTGTGGCACTCCCACGACGTCTCACCAACTAGTCCCAAACCCATGCCCTTGTCATGTTCCGATCGGCCAATCAAATGCGTTGCCGAGTATCAAAGCAGAGGCTTGGAGACGGTGCGCCAGGGGTTTTTGAGTTCTTCATCACAACTTCGTGTGTACAATGGCTCCATACCTCTATCAAGTGTACGGCTTGTAACCTGAGAGATCAAACCATGGTTGCGGCCACGGCGGTCAGAACCGCCACCGCAACTGACGGATGACCTGACCTGATCCTCGTAACAGGGAATGAAACTAAGCTGCCGCGCCAATGTGACGGACCAGAGAAGTCGTCGTTGTTCGGCAGCATCGGTGCCGAGCAGACATATCAGTTGCACCCTTGGCTCTCGCACGCCAACACCTTTTATTATTGCCGTCTGCCTCTTTATATCCCTGCCCACTTTATGTACTGCGCTACTCTTTCACGAGTCGAGGTCGAGTCGAGTCGAGTTGAGCCGCTCATTTACGTTCCTACATACAACCTCTTTTCCGTTGACCGTGAATTGGGGTGAAAACACAAACTCGTCGGCGCATCGACAACTATCCCAATTGAATACACCGCTCGTTCTCAACATAACCATCTTAATTGTCTAATACCGGTGCCAGTAATCTTGTGTGGATCGATCGCAATTCGCCAGGCGCGGCCGGTCGATCTGATCAGGGAAAATATTCAGAACGCAACATATGCCCAGCAACAAGACCAATTTGGAAAACGAGAACGCTTTCCGAAAAATACACTACTCAGCAAGGAGCTTTGGTCAGGTTCACTGGCCGTCGTCAAGTGCAGCCTGTCATGCGAACTCCTGTCGGCATGGCTATGTCGGCGGTTTACCTGGTTTCTACGACATTGGCAGCCATGAGCTTCATGGGCGGCAATACCATACTCCGAGCTGATGATGTCCTGGAACGACCATTCTCAGATATTGTCAATGCTGCTGCTGCGCCGGTGCTAGTAAGGCGGCAGGGGAGTGGCGCCAGTGCTGCTGCGGAAGACGCGAATGTCGTCAAAGTAAACAGCGATGGGAAATTCAACATGACAGCGTGGGGGACAGCCACCAATGATGCCTGTATTAAAGCCCTCACCACGCTCCACCGCAGCTCGAACCCTTCAGGAAATTGTATATGCTACAATTTGCCTACACTCGATACCGTAACGGGCGTGTTCGAAGCGGACCTACGACTATTTCGTGTCTCGGAGCCCCGAGATGCATTCGCCAATATTCCTCCAGAGAAAATCAGAGTCGGTGTATCATATCAAGGTGCGAGTGTGAGCCCCGTCTCAGCCGACGAGTTGATGGGCATGGGCCAAGTGAACAATGAGACCAAGGTTGTCGCGCCGCGAGATTCGCCTGGCCCCAGCTTGGTTCAAAGCTATGTGTTTGTAGGCCAGATTGATAAGGCAAAGATTGCGGAAAACATGTCATTGTAAGTTGTCGTGTAGCCACGAAAATCTCGGGGCTCCCAACCCGCTGCTCCTTTTTACCTCGTCTCCATGCAGTCACTCACAACATGCTCCAGGGCCGCCTTCGAAGCCGTTCTCATCCCAACCTTCACATTGACCGCTACCAATTCCACTGGCGGTACAGTTCAAACGAATGTCTCTATGAACGAGGCTTCCTTTTTGACCGGCGTCTTCAGCAAATCCGTCGTCATGTCCGACTTCTCAGCAGCCCAAGCAGCCGTCACTAAACAGCTGGACCTCTTACACAACGGCACTATAGCCTTCATTCTACCCGGCACGCAGATCATGATATTCCCCATTGGAGCCATCATCACATCTATCTGGCTGGGCCTGGGGCTTCTTGCATACGGCTGGGGCACATATGAGAGAATGAATTATGCGGAAAGGTACAAGAGGAATTTGGCGGGTACTAGGTTCACATCAACTATTTGAGTCATGTGTAGTATCAAGGATGGAACAGTGGTGGGCATGGCTTAGAGGTGGTTACATTAAAATTATATCTTGGCATAGCGAGCCTTGGAGACATTGCATCAGCCTTGGAATTCAGCGTTGGGATCTTACTTTTCTTTTTTTTTGTTCATTTTTTACAATCTTAGCTCGTCTCTCAGGGCACTTAATACAAATAATGTATTGAATCATCGTGAAAATTGCACAACACAGCATTTGTATATAGTCCTTCCTTGGCCACACGGGGTTCGCCGTGACTCGTCGTGGTCAAAAAGGACTGCATATTAGATTCAACTATGTATTTGAGGCTCAACCATTCTGGGTATATCTTAGATCCAAGTATATAAACATAAGTAAAACACAGGAATGTGTGAACCGACCCGTGTCACATTGGTTTCGGCAATATGGCTGCCGTCTTGGCTGCCGCCATGCATGCTTGTCCGCTAGCGCTAATCTCACCCCGAGATGGGAGAGGGTAGCAATAGGCGAAGCCCCTATTGTCACATGAGACAAGGACGTGTATGCATGAAGAAAAGGAGAGAAAGAAGGAAAAGAAGAATGTATTGAACCAGCCCACTTTACGCCGTTCGTGTCCTACTCATGTACGTTCATGTATCGTGAAAAAGGCACGCCCCTGAAACTCCGACTGTAGCCACGACATTTGGCAATGTCGCTTCAGATTGTGACAGAGACTTTGCTGTCTCCCGCCCTCATGCGACCCTTGGCCCACATGAGACACTCTGTAAAAAGCACGTAGCAACCGGTGACTGCCCAAAAGGTGATGATTATGCCGAGACCACCCATCAACCTGGCGTCGATGATACTGCGTGTCATGGCCTCACGCAATGCGTTATTCATCATGAGCCAGCCATAAATGGGGACGAGCTGTTGCGCGGTTGATGACAGAGCAGCGTGTTCTGACAATCGCCTCACCTTTTCACACTCACGTATACGCTCTGAAATAGTATCAGCCATGCCCCAGGCGACCTTGTTGTTGATCTTGTCCCACGTCGCTTGACAGGCGGCTTCTCTGGCTGCTACACCCATGCGTTTCCGCAAGATGTGGTCATTGGCCAGCTTCACGGCCTTTGTCACAAACGCGTCCATGTCATTCGGGGGGATTAAGAAGCCAGTGTCGCCGTGTTGAACTATGTCAGACGGACCACCTTCATCACGGGCGATGACCGGCACGCCACTGGCCATGGACTCAAGTACTACGAGACCAAAGGTTTCCGTGATGGAGCAGTGCAGGAAGATGTCGCCGCTTGCATATGCCGTCGCGAGATCTTCGCCGACTTTGAATCCTGCAAAAACAACCTTGCCTTGCTCGCGAAGTGGATCAAACAATTCCTGCACCTCTTTTTCAACGTCTGGGTTTCTGTTGCCGCCAATAATGTAAAGCTTGAAGTCCAATCCCCGTGCGTCAAGTTCCTTGGCTGCCTTGGAAAGAAAATCGAAGCCCTTCTCACCGGCAATTCTTGAGACGGTGACGAAGATAATCTCTCCATTTGGAGCAAGCTTCTTGCGCAAGTCCTCGCTTCGTCGCTTAGGGTCGAACATTTCGGTATTCACACCTCTGGTCAAGAGTTGGAGCTTTTCGGGCTGCACTTTGTTGTGGACGAGGTAACGTCGCACAAATCTTGAAGGGTAGAATATGGTCTTGACGGAGGAGTGTCGGAAGAGATAGCTCTGGACAGCATCAAATGCAAAAACAGCAATATGGCTCAAGGGCGAAGGGAAAAGAATTGCACAGTATCCAGCAAGATCCGTCTGGAAGTTGCAAATAATGGGTATCTGCTTCTCGCGTGGCTGTTGGCGTAATTGAAGCATGACCTGGAACCCCAAACTCGCAGGCGAGGCCAAATAGATCAAGTCGGGCGACGAGTCGTCACCAAACGTCCGCGAGTAAAGGCTTGAGTTGCGAACTGGGTACACAATTGAAAGCTCGGGATTGAATGGAAGAGGATAGCCCGTCACACGAACTTCAGGCTGTCTGTCGGCGGGCGACAGGTTAGGCGAAGGGGGCGGCGAGAATGTGTTGTGGTTTGTATGGTTATGAGGCGCTACCACTGCCACTTGCGCGCCGTTATTGCGCAAATGGTTCACAAGCATCAGTGTCGTGCGACTCACGCCGTTGACAGGGCCGAACGACTCGGTGCAAAGAAGGATGCGTTTGCCCTTCAAAAAAGTCGGGAATTGAGACAGGTCATGTTCTTTGTACGGCGATGAGCCACCGGCGAACTTGGCTGACGACATTGCGATTCAGATCCGGAGGCGATGCGCCAACTTGACTGTGATGAGCTTTTCCAAAGGTTTACGAAGGTAAAAACAATCACAGCTCATATTTTGCAATCGCGGTCGCGGGGATACAGCCTTTCTTTTCTCTACCTGGCCTGGTATAGTTGGACTTGCAGACGCAGCCCAAGGTGACACCACGTGGTCGCAGTGAGCGGCCATGAAGATCCGGAATCGAAGCTATTCAGCACGGCACATGACTCCATCTGCGGGCGGGAACTCGTGTTTGGCCACAATGGTGTCCCCTGTGTACGCCACGGGCATTCAGAATTGGACCCTGTTCGTCGGCATATGCAGTGATGACGGCCACGGTCAGGCAGGGGTCGTCAAGCAGGGACGGCTGTGCTTGAAACCCCTCCATACAGAGGAGGGGCAAATACTCCGTATCTTGCATGGGATGCAACGGCACTGCTCCCGATATCGATAGCATACTCAAGTCGGGAACCAGGTACTACTTGAAAATGATGTCTGGGCGTCAAAGACGAGGGGCTTTTCTCTGTACCATGGTATCGAACTGTGCGGTTATTTGACCGGCTTCCAGTTATTGCGTTGTACCGGGCGAACCTCTGCTGTTGGCATAGCGAACGCGACGCTCATGCACATTTCGTCACGAGAGATTGACAGTATGTATGCATGTGCTCAGTGGCTCACAGTAAAAGAGACGAATCGAACGTTGGCTTCATGGCGTGTAAGTCGGCGGACTCGAGAAGGTCGAAGTGATAAGCCGCAGTGGACCAATCATAAATGGCACTGCAACCACATTGCCCTCGCGAACCAATCGACAAGTTTTGCTCAATGGAGAAGACAGCGACACACACATATGCCGCCACCCCAAATGCGCGAATAGGCATCTTGAGCAAGGTCCTCGTGCTTCACTTGGTTGGTCGTGTTGACTTTGGATGATGTGTCAACCCAACTTACTTATACTTCTGATTGAGATGTCAGACTTGTGCCCATGTTGGAATTCAGTGCGAGCGAATGTCTAGCAAGGGGTTGTGCTATTTCCTAGCAAGAGGATGGCCTCTTTGAGCACTTACCATGATACCCAATCCCGTGCCTCTAATGACCCATGTGAATCGCCACAGATTGCGTTTGCAGGCGTGGCAAAGCCTGTTCGTTGCATGAGATGTGGTCACGTATGTCTCCTGCCGGCTTGCCCGTACAATAAGGACAGCGGCGGCGGATTATCAGAGTACACCGCCTCGCAACAGACTAATAGGTAGGTGATTCCAGACGTCATGGCCACAAAAATCAGCTTTTGAGCAGGGCCTATGTCTCATCCAATTAGGGCGGGAAATGCCTCAGCTGGCTCGGTTTGGTTTCTCTTCCGATTTCGCGGCCAATAATTGTGATAGCAAGCGCAGAATCGACTGCTCAGCCTCAGCCTATGCGGGCGCATAATAGTCTTTGGAGGGCTGAGGCGGAAGCTGAGGAGTTGCGGCCCGATGATTTCATGTCGGCAGTTCTGACTTGTATGTAGGGTTGAAGGCATAGTTGATGACAAGGACGAGATGGATGAAAAGTCGAGACAGTGACAGTAGTCCCTCAATTGGCATTTCTGGTTGTCACGGCGCTTATAGTAGATGGCTTCTCGCTGGGCTTACCACCCTGTTGGATCCCGGAGCTTTGACAGACGGCATCCTTGAACACTTTGATATATCTTTCGATATTCCCAGAGCAGACTCCAAGGTACGGCAGTTATTGTTTTGAAAAAGCCACAATCCCCCGCCACTTATTAACACCTGCTGGCTAGATCTAGGGTCGGTCCAAGTCTTTGGTTCATTGGCTACGGAGCCATCAGGACGCTCGAACGTACTACTACTTCAGCCTCAGCCACTGCAAACTGTTGATGACGCATACAGCCAACATCTTTTTGGTGGACACATTTGCGATCGTAGACGCAATATATTAGCCGCTGGCTTGTGGTTCTGTGCATCTGGGTGTTGGAGGGTCGAAATTATGTCAGCGCTTGATTTTACATACTTCTTTTTGTAAAATTCAGTGCAATGTGCAGAAAAGTCGTCCCATTTGCAAGGTTTGACGGGTCGAAGGGGTTGGTTGTCAGGAGGCTGCCGAGAACGGCCCGTGGCAAGTACGTCAGCAGTTTTTGGGCCCTGGCATGTGGCTTGCCCAGGTCAACGGCCCTCAACACGCGGCCTCGGACAACCAAAATGAGTGATGGAGAAGGAGACAGCGGCAAGGCAAGAGAGATTGCAAAATAGTGCAAGAGATGAGGCAATTCGCGTGTGTTTTTTATTTTCGGCATTCATGAGAATGCCAGAAGGCAGCAGAGCAAGATGTTTGAAAATTGTACATTACTGCTGCAACCAGCAGTTGGTTCACCGAGTGCCACGTTCCTGGCTCCTGCCCGACAGCCACCAATAGCTGACAGCCAATTTAGAGTTGCGGAGGAAGGAGAGATACCCACCTCAAAGTACAGAGCACGGAGTAGACACATGTACTTAAGTGCCTGGGCCATTAATTGATTGTGGCGGCGGGCTCTTTCGTGGCCGTGAGCAGAATTTTCCTTTTCCTTGTCCTTTTGCATCTCCATTTACGTCTTCTCATCGCAGAATATTACTGTTCTAGATTGGGTGTGGCTCAGACTGGATTCTTGCTTGTCTCCGATGACACGGCGCAGTATACAGGACGGGTGACGTTGGCTAAGTAGCATGTGCACGAAAGCCTACACGCTGAACAGAGCACGTAGTACATTGTACCAGTTTGCCAAGTTGACGGTTAGCTCGGCACCAAGAATTACGAACCTGTCTTGGCCGCTTGGCAAAAGGCAAAAATGATTTGCCAAGCCGCCAGGAAATTCGAGGGCGTAGCAGGTAATCTGCATTCTGCGCGAATGTTGGGGAGCTGGTAACATGTGTACATATGTTCCCTGCAACGACGACGACGGGTGATGATCTAATTCGTCATTCAACATGACGATAAGCGGGTGTCAGGTGCACTAGTATAAGCAGAGGTTGTTTCATGAACCATGTTGCCGCGATGCTCCGTCATGAGGGCTTCGACAAGGAGGACAAAAAGGACAGGAGGCAGCTTCTATCACGACAGTGGGTCTTCATTCGGCGCGTGCGGAGACTAGAATTTATGTACGTTGCTTGGCGGAAAGTCGGTCTCAATAAGCTTGATGAGTTTCTCCCTCACATCAACGACACCCCAGTCTCCCCTGGTTCTCCGTTGTACTACTTTAATAGTACTTACAAGACATCCAATGGCTTGGCTCGACATTGAAGCTACTTGATCAGAGTGGCAGGCGTCTGGGCCAAACACAGGGGTCAGTTGGCGTAGGCACTTGCCACTCTTGGCGGGGGATGGTGAAGATTTACGCGCATCAAGTCTCAGCAACCCACTCGCCAGCTAAAATGACCTGCTCCTTTGATTATATTAGCGTCTACTTGGCGGCCGAGGGCAAGTGAATGTGTCTGGCCGGAGACTCAGAACTTGACATGAACTCCGTTCCCAGCCTCTGGTACGGAGTACCTCGAAGTACTTGAGTAAATACCTGGTACCACTCGCTTTGCGCAGGAGCGATGGAGACGTCAGCTTGTGTCTGTGGCCGACTACGGCGTTGGACGCCCACCGCACCCGCTGCGGCTCAACTGCAGGCCGGGATATCAATAGTACTAGTAGGTAGTACTTGACAAGACGCAACACGAAATGGCTGCGACTTTGCGAAAGCCGCAGCAATCCCGGACCCAGCGTGGGATGCCCAGCATGGGGTCCTATGTGAGAGTGTCAATGTAACGGCTGGGCCACGACATTTTAGAGCCAATGCCCAAGTCTACCAGCAACAATCAGATTGTGCCCGTTGACGGCGTCGTGGCGGGACGTTTGCGCTACTCCGATGAATGAATGTCTGGTACTACATAAAGTAAAGTAGCTCTTGGAAGTTCAGCTCGTCGTAAACATGTCCAGCCTGGTACTTAAGTACTTAAGTAGTTACTTCGTACTCTGACTCCATACTCGGTACCCCGTATGTTATGTACTTGGTACTTGAGCACCCTGGTACTCGTAGTCGATTGCTTGATTGCATGCTTGATTGCTTGGCTTAGATGCCCCGGGGGTGTGGACACGCGGGCGGCGTGCTCAAGTGGATGGCGCGGCCTTGGCGGACGCTTGCACACTGGAGACTGGATGGATACTGGATACTTCACACAGCAGTTGACTTCAAAAGAGCACCAGACTCCAGACGGCAAGCACATTGGGCGCTGCTCCCGGCGCCGTGGACAACAGAAGTGGACAACAGAAGCACTTGAGCCTTTGACTTCTTGATTGCCCCCTTTTACTTTTGGCAACCTCCCAAAAACCCGTCTGCTGCTTCCGAATCTTCTTTTTCCCTCCTTCATTTCATGTGTGTGTGAGACCAAACATCACGGCCGTTGGCACACATCCATTCGTTACCCTGCGTTCCTGTTTGCTCAGCCTGGATCCTCTACTGAATCATCAGAGTCCTGCCCTTCTGCGCTGCGCTGCGCTGCCGCGTCCGTTCGCATCCAACAAAGACCTAACCAAGGCGGCACCCGTCCCGAGTTCGGAGACAGACAGAGACACAGACGCAGACACTCACTGACTCCTCCATCACTCGCTGAGGGACCAGGACCAGTCCATCCACTTGCGCTGAAGCGAGATATTTGCGTACAGGTCGCCTCGTCGTGTCGCCGTGTCGCCGTGGCCGTCATGCACGAAGCTGTTGTCGATTCCGTCAAGAAACTCGGCCTCAATGGCTCCTCGGAGCACACTAATGGTGTGATTAAGGATGGCTTCAAAGTACGCACCATATGCTGTGTCGGTGCCGGCTATGTTGGTATGTTTTGTGGCCCCGTAAAGCGCCCCAGATCATAGATTCCATGTTGTTAGTCGGCAAGACTCGACGCATCCATCCCACCTCGTCATGGACATTCAACAAACTCCTCGCCCCCCGCCCCCTTCTGCATTTGCATGACGCACCCCATTGCGGCTCAATCCAGACTTGTTGCTGACCATTTGGCCGTCCTCGGTATTTGTTAGGTGGTCCCACCGCTGCTGTTATTGCCTTCCAGAACCCGCACATCAAGGTGACGGTTGTTGATCGAGATGAGCTTCGTATTCGCCGCTGGAACTCGCGCCACCCTCCCATATACGAGCCTGGCCTGCACGACATTGTCCGTGTCGCTCGCGATGGTTCGCGCGATTTCACCTTCGCCAACGAGAGTGCTTCTGAGAGCGAGCTGACCTCTGCCCAAGAGGGCGACATCTCGGTGCCCAGCCGGCCCACCAATCTTTTCTTTACCACGGATGTGGCCAAGAGCATTGGCGAGGCCGACATGGTTCTTGTTGCTGTTAATACCCCGACAAAGGACCGTGGTGTTGGCGCCGGAAGCGCAACCGACATGACGGCTTTCGAGGCCGTCACTGCCGTTGTTGCGCAGTACGCCAGGGAGGGTGCTATCATTGTCGAAAAGAGCACGGTGCCCTGCCGGACGGCTCAGCTCGTTGCCGATACTGTACGTTAATTATAAGCCCATGTGTATTTCCCATTACTTGGGCATTGACGTGTTCAATGTCAATTCGCAAGGCTCCCTTGGTGTTATTACTCTGGCTAACATGCCGTTTACAGCTTTCCATGCACCGCCCCGGTGTCCACTTCGAAATCTTATCCAATCCCGAATTCTTGGCTGCAGGTACCGCCGTCAACGATTTGCTCTACCCAGATCGTATCTTGATTGGATCTGCACCGACCCCTTCAGGCAAGAAAGCTGCCGAAGCCCTTGTCGAAGTGTACGCTGCCTGGGTTCCCCGGGACCGTATCCTCACGACCAACGTCTGGTCATCTGAGCTGGCCAAGCTCGTTGCCAATTCAATGCTGGCTCAGCGCATTTCCAGTATCAATTCCATTTCGGCTGTTTGCGAGCAAACTGGTGCCGATGTTGACGAAGTCGCTCGCGCCGTCGGTGTTGACCCTCGAATTGGCAATAAGTTCCTGATGGCTGGTATCGGTTTCGGCGGGAGTTGCTTCAAGAAGGACGTCCTGAACCTTGTCTACTTGGCTGATACCATGGGTCTTCCGGAAGTTGGCGAGTACTGGAGGCAGGTCGTCAAGATGAATGACTATGCGCGAGACCGATTCACGAACCGGGTCATCAAGTGTCTGAACAACACTCTTGTAGGGAAAAAGGTTGCTATTTTGGGATACGCCTTCAAGAAGAACACCTCTGACACGCGAGAGGCCCCTGCCCTGGAAATGATCAAGACCCTGCTCGAGGAGCGTCCTAGAGAAATTGCCGTCTTTGATCCGTGCTGCAACCCACTCGTCATCAAGGAGGAAATCAAGACGCTTCTTGGAGATGTCGCCGCAGGCAACAATATCTCCGTCTACGGCAATGCTTACGACGCTTGCAGCGGTGCTACCGCAGTAGTCATCGCTACAGAATTCGATGAGTTCAGGAACCAGCCGGCTCCTAAGCCATCTCCAACCCCTGTTGTCCAAGAGGCCGCCCCCAAGATGATTGGTCGCAAGCCCAACCCGAAGTCAGATCCCCGGCCGTTCGAGAGACCAGTCCCTACGGAGAATGACTTGTTGGCGCTGCACAAGTATCTTGTCCAGCGGCCAAGCGAGACTTCAGACGACCCGCTGGGCAGATTCAACATTGAGCCTTCATGTGCCGACGACTGCCCCGACTGCATTCAGGAGAGGCAAAGCAAGAAGACCGGCCATGCCACTGGCATGGGCAGCGCCGAGGAGTACAAGGCCAAGGAACGGATTGACTGGGTCCGCATTGCCGACGCCATGGCCAAGCCCCGGTGGGTGTTTGATGGTCGTGGTGTGATTGACTCGAGAGAAATGGTGAAGCTTGGCGTAAGGGTAGAGAGCGTGGGCCGTCAGCACCGATTCTAATGTGTGGAGTTTGACTGGGAGTTGCGGTTTCGTATGGGAAGGCATTGAGGTTATAGGAGTTGAACATTTTTTTTTCTTCTTCTCTTTATTCTTTTATCGGCTGTTACAACGGCCGGCTGTTAACATTCTACGCGGCAAAGTGGTGGCGCTCTGGCTATGCCTCCCAAGGATGGGTGCCAAGGCCACCTTGCCAATTACCACTGTTTTATTAGGGCATAACCCCGGGGGAACATTACAGGTGTTTATAAAAGGGAACGTGCAGTCGTTTCTTTTGTTTTCAGATCAAGATATGGTAGAAGGATACAACTGGAGAAGGTCTGATAGGCCATGGGGAATCCCTGAACTGCATTCGGAGAGAATTGACTCGTGAGGGATAGATAGGACTGCTATATAGCATGGCGGACTGCGCTTTGATGCATTATTTGTAAATATATGCATCTCTCCGGGTCAGAGTTTGTCCGTGTAGAGTCTGACCAATGCTTTCTGATAGACGATGGACAGTGTCTTCGTGTTGCCGATGACAAAGACGGCCACCTATAGCCTCCATCTGGTACAAATTACGGGTTCCAAAGCGAGAGAAACGATGGCAAGACTGAAGCAAGAGATGAGGCGCACATGACGTGACAGTCGTAGATTCCTAGTCTCACGCGGCTGGATCACCACCACCGGGAAGGCAGCAACCAAAGATTCAAGCCGGCAAACTAGACGACCCCTTGGTATCAAAGGCATGAGTTTTGTTTGAGACCTTGGCGGAAGCGCCGGGTAATCCCCCATCGCGCTCTTACGCGGCTAGTGTGTAAGCGGCAGCAAGTCTACACACCAGCCGACGACGGCATTGTGGAAGACAGGCGTGTTTCAGCGGCGGAATTGCCCACGGCGGTGTTGGGTCATCAAAGTGGCGTTTCGAATGCAGGTCATCGTGTAACACAGGGAACGGAGCCAGCAAGCCTGGTGCTGTGCGTGTTTAAAGTATTCTTCTCACCGGCCATGTGAGTTATCGGGACGGTGCGGGGTGTTGTGTTTTTTTTGCGATTTTATATGGCGACTGGCTGCGATCTATTACAATTTGGGGGGGCAGTCTCGACTCTTGGGTGGTTGTTGGGCCCCTGCCGACGTTGGGTGCTTGTTACGGAGGCAATACTTCCGGATTCGAACAACTGCTGCGCGGCCATTGGGCCCAGGGCGTGTCAGCGGTGCTTAAGCGAACCCCGGTGCCGTCAGATTCTTGTTCCGCCGGGCGGAGATGCGCGGACCTGCGGCGCCGCGAAATTGCCTGCGCTTGCCGCTGCACCCTGCCACGAGTTTATCCATGTCCGGGCCGTGCAGCCAATCTTCGGGTATGTACTCCGTGCGCCGGGCTCAGCTGGACGGCCGCGCGTGTGTATTATCCAATGTATGTCTTTAACCTCGTGTATTCATGGCTTGGCCGTGATCCGCCCCCGTCGGCCAATTCTCACGTCACGTCGCACCAGCGCAAAATCCACAAACGCACGAGTCGCAATGCACCGGACCTCATGCGCGCCGGAGCCACGGGCCTCGTCGGCTCGTCCGTCCTCAGCCGCAAGCCCGTGCCCGTGACACACAATACACAGAGCCCACACATCAACATCATCATCCACCCCGACTTTGAGAGGTACGACGCGCTCGCCGCCGCTGTCGGCGTCCCGGCTATTCGCCTCATTGCAAGATTGCCCACTTGCCTACAGAGCATCTCGGCGGTTTCATGACGCACATGGCCGTGGGCAGTCTCGGCGACAAGTTGCAGGGCGCGGGTGTCTTCAAGCCAAGTCCTTCTTGAATCATTGACAACGTGGGGTTTACGAGCATCGTGGGTCCATGAGCGGCCGGTGGTCCTGGTCGTGAGGGGGGCATTCTGCCAGGAACTGTACTGTGTTAAAAAAAATGGCATTTTCAGAATCGAGTTTGGCGAAACCTTGCGCGGGCATTTGGGAAGCGGACGAGGCTACAAAGATAGGGCAGGACAACCAACCGTCTTGATGAGGAAATGTCGGCGTCTGTTGAATTAGACTTGCATCTTTTAAATAAACGTGCTGGAATGCATCCATCGTGTAGACCAACAATGTCGTGTCTTTTATTAGAGCCACCTGCACGAGCTTGTTGTACCAACGGCAGCGCACCAGTTGATGCGCTTTTTGCTGGGACAACAGGTCGCCAGGCCTATCAAGGAGGTCAAGGAGGTCAAGGCGGCCGGCGCCGGATGACGGAACAGACGCGGCCCTATCAGTGATACTATCATCCATGCGCATAAACAAACATCTCTGCAAACACCGAGCCACCAGCTGCTCCAAGGGCGCCAGGGGGTTTGTCGCCGCGTTCCCCGGCCGCGCCTGGGACGTCGGCTGTAAGCGGGATTGCGAGTGTCCCGGTGCTGAAAACTGCCGTTGCCATGGAACTCTTTTTGTCTAGGCATCATGTTCATGTTAGTTACAAGGAATTTGAATACATCGGAGTATGGCCGTGCATCCAGGCTCTGTGGACATGTGCAACGATTATTTGCTGGTCGCAACTCAAAGTTGAGACTATCTTGTCGCTAAAATGCCCGTGGTAAAGACGGCTGTTCGCACGCATCCCATGTATATGCCTATGGAATGTTTGAGCCGAACATTTAAAAAAATCCCACCTATGTATGGCATTCCACCACCCGAAAGAAAACATTGTTCGTACCCCTTTCAACGCCGGTGATCCAAGTATTAAGCCCCAAACGCCTCGCTTACCGTCTCTCCCTCGTCAGGTGTCACGGCCATTTCCAACAGCTCGTGAGCTGCCTCCACAACCTCGCCTTCAATGCCAGCCTCAATTACCAAATCCTCTTCTGCAAATGCCAGACGGCCCAACGCCAGGAGATATCGCTGACTGCCGCCATGAGACATGGACAGCTTTTGACTAACGTCCACGACATTGGCAGTGCTAGTATTCGTGACCAGTCTGTGTATGAGAAGAACACTCTGCGAAATGATGCGATACAGGTCCGCCGATGCGGTGGACTCTGGCAGTTTTAGAGACTCCTTCAGAGAGTCTGGAAGGGGCAGAAGGATGCTAGGTGGGATCGGCTGATCGTATAACCCGTCAATGGCAGCGCTTAGACATGCAACAAGTCGAGGAATGGCATTCTCATGAATACCCAACTGTAGAGCTCCAAAAGATGACAATGAGAAGGCTATTAGAGTCCGCAGTGCTGCCAGTCTGATCGACCTTCTCTGTTTCTGAGTCGTGGAGCCGCGAGGCTGTTCAGTCAATTTGGCAGAAACGCGCTCGATGATTGCTCTTGCAATGACAGGCGGCTCTGCATCACCGCTGACAGGCCCGATGGATGTGGGCAATACAGACGTGGAAAGCAGTTCGAGCATACCTATTACATCGCCCGGCCTCTGCCTCGGAGTCAGGAGTAATAGAACCATGTCAAGGGACATCAACTTCCAGAACCCGACCGACGTGTACTCAAAACCATTGTCTGTTTCGGTTGGCGTCATTGAGCACGATAGCGCCGACGTATACAAGAGGCCCAACAGCCGTTTGGTGTCAATGTGCTCTTCCAAAAACCCGTACTCCGCGCTAGTAGACAGATGGCTATCTGGGAGTCGTCGTCTCAAATCAGCCAGAGCAAAAATGGTGGATTGCGCGACAGGTACCAGACTGGGTACGATCAAAGGCGCCACCGACGTTGTGTGAAGGTCAAACGTGAAGGAGATGAGAGACACGAGATATTTGATAGGTTCCCAAAATTGCTCCTCTACACACCGTGTCCAAAGAGACACAATATGCTCAGCAAAGTCAACAAGAAGCTGCATGGGGCGGTAGGGGTTTCCCATCAAGGGCAGCTTCTCAAAAATCATTGAAGCAAACGAAGTGGCTGGATCGGAGGGGAATGTGAACCGAGATAACGTATCAAACGTCGGAGGTTGTTGATGAAATGAACCGTGGTCTAGCACAAGTTGAAGAAACTACATAGGGCAAATTAGTCTCGAGCCTCACATTGACGACACACAAACCTACTTCGAATGGCGCCGCCGGGGCTGCCACCGTGATCGGGGGCGAAGGCTTTGAATCATGTTTGCTGTTGTCGCCCATAACGACGTCCTCGGTGGACGTTTCGAGAGCAGCGATGGGGCTGTCCATGATCGGGCGCTTCCTTTTACCTTTGCTGGGCGTACGCTCGCCGACGTTAGCAGCGACGGAACCAGTCTTGCCTCGTCCTTGACCCTTACTCGGGCTTGCGGCAATGTCCATTTCATCAAAGCCATCCGCGATCCCCCACGACTTGGCAGCCTTTTTCGGCGTGGTGTTGAATCCACCACCAATGTCCTTCCTCCTTGCTCGATCATTAACTTCTCGCATGTCTCGTTGCAAGAACTGTAGTTCAGTATTGGCACTCTTCTCGGCTGCCACGGCTGCCTCCACAATCCTGGCTTGCTTTTCCAGTTGCTCAGCATTGAGCTTCTTGAGCCGTGCCACCTGGGAATCGTAGTCATGCTGTGCCTTGCCGGCATTTGCGCGAATAATAGAGGCCTCGCCACGGGCTGAATGCAGCTCGGATTCAAGTGCACGCACTCGCTGTTGAAGAGCGGATACAATGTCCCCGGCCTGGCCAGCGTGAGGAGTTTGGGGTGCGGGAAGGCGACTTGGTGGCAGCGCCGGCCGAGCATACTGGCTGGCCTGTGTCGGAGGCTGTGGTTGGAACAATTGAGAGCCAGAGAAGCCTCTGGCCTTTGGCGGCGGATGAAGAGACGCTGCGCCAGAAGCGGACCGCGAGGGCGGGTCTACAGCCGGATTCCATCGTGGATTCGGCACAGGAGGTATCGGTCGACGCGAAGCTTGTGAGCCGGCATGTGCAGGTTGGTGATGATGCTGCCGCGAATTGGAATTGTTGATGACTGGTCGGCCAATGGGAACACCGACGTGATTAGTAACTTCGGTATTGTCCAAGTCGTCGTCTTCCTCCTCCCAGCCATAGTCAGAAAGCTTCTGCGGTGGATCCCGGGAAAGTGATGGCTCTATCTGAGCCTGGGTGAGCTGGATGGCATTTCGTTCGAGTTCTTGGAAGGCATTATCGGTGAGATCATCGAAGCCGCCATCGGAAAACTCGTCGGCATCCATGGTCTCCGTAGACGCGACGGCGCGACGACTTCATTGCCCCTACAAGCGATGCGATGTACGGAGTACAAGCTTGATGTGAATGAAGGCAGACAATGCAAGTAGTACACGCAAGCCGGGTATGGGTCGACATGGATGTTGGTAGAAAATCGCCAACTCATCGCGTAGTCACGTTTTTTTATATTGGAGACGCATATGCCTCAAGTGGCTAAGGTCTGGGCGAGTCAAGTGTGGCTTGAACGGCAACTAATAGTACTAACTAGTACTCCGTACGGAGTAGTACTACCACAGACGTTGCTAGTGTGGGTTGGGGGACGAAGCTGAGTGGCCAATGGCCCAGTGTCCAGACTCCAGAACGGCAACATATCGTGCGCAACTTGCCAAGCAGCACGTGCCGTCCATCAGAGGCCGTTTGCGCACTTGGAAGCTGGTAACAGCTGCTTGTGACGACGGTCTGCGAAATATTGGACCGAGGAGTCCAAGGACAAGACCCACAGTGTTGGGCATTGATGAAGACAACAGACTGTATATCAAGGATAGATGGAAGGAACCGACCATGAACCTTCCTAGGTAGGTACTCCGTACGTACAGTCGATTCTGCAGTGTCGACCCAGATTGAAAAGCTCAAGCAGACTAATTGAACGCCGGACTTTGATCTTTTAGATTCGTCAGGCTTTGTGGCTGCAGCCCACCCCTGACGCGCACGCTGATGCCGAATCTTCTTGTGATTGTGTTGTACGGAGTAGTACTACAATGAATGCATGCGAGCAATTGTTAACTCCGTCAAGTCCGCTGGAGCCATGTTTGTGCACCACGCATAAAGCCGGCACCCAAGTACTTGCTTGGTAGGTGACGTCAACGGGAGAATAGACCACGACGGAAACAGCTTGTTGGCGGCGGCCAGTCACGATCCTCGGCCAGCCGCCACAAGTGGCCACACCGTCTGGTTGAGGGTGGAAGCCGTCTGGGGACATTAGACCTCCAATGTTGAGAGCGGCCGCCGGGGAAACATTGAAATCCAGTCAATTGATGCGGAAGGGGAAAATTCAGGCAGGCCCACTCTTAGCCTAAAAGAAAACAATTGAAGAGTCTCAGACTGGCCTTCAATCTGGTTCTTCCGCCCCCAGATCGCCCAACCACGCTTCATGCATCCAAGCACTGGTTAGGGCCAGCCTAATGCCTAATAAGCCTAAGCCCATTAACTTACCCGCCACGTCCGCACACCACCCACCACCGACAGAGCGACGGGACACGGAGCACGGGAGCACGGGGGACGGCTGAAGTCAGGGAACGCACAAGGCACACAATCAATTGCCTAGGCAAGTGCAAGTGCCAGTCAGCATTCAAGGTTAGGTCGCGCTGGTTCCATGTTCTGCCGCTCCGCATCGTCATCAACCCCAAACGGTCCAACAATCCAACCAGACATTCTTCAAAACCACCAGTCTCCGCCATCACGGACAACCACTCTCTCTGTCTGCAGTTGACCCCTCCCCCCGACTGCACATCTCTGCTGGCCTGGCGACTCCTTGGCAGCCCGTGCCTGGACATTGCCTCTTTTCCCCGCCAGTAAAGCTTCAGCTCCGTGCTGCAAGCTTTGTCGCGGCTGTACGGCGCA